GTAATACATGTCCAGTCACATATGCTTGGGTACAAAGATTTTATTGGCTGTAAAAACGCAGGTTAAAAAAAAAAAAAAATTATAAAATAAAATAAAAAAAAAAAAAAAAAAAAAAAACATGTTCCAAAAAAGAAAAAAGAAAACCCCAAAATCGACTGGGGTGTGCGTTTTCCTAAAATAGACGTGGCGGTGCATGCAAGCGCCACACCATGTGGCGGACTTATCCGGCCCCACCCGCGCTTCACTCTTTTGCTTCATTTTGCACACGGAGATTCCGTACAAGTTGATGTCGTGTTTGATCCGAAACCGGTTGTGAATGATGTGTTGGCTGTCAATGGAAGCTGAAATCAGCTATGGGTCTCATCTCCATCGGGCGGGTGCTGAAACTATGGACCTATAACCAGCTCAATTAAGTTGAGGGTCAAGCAATGAGGTAACCTAACTCCAATCATCATATTCGTAACTGGAACAGGTATGATAGCATAGCTTTCCATTGTATATGATTCTCTTTGAACAGATGACTCATGTGCTCCGTACTTATCCGCCCGACCCTAGGGCAATACCACAGATGGACTATACACTAAGGGACATACTCGTAAATGTTGCCCCAACATTGTTGCATGCGATTCTATCCACTATACCCTAGGGAATAACCGAATGAGTCACAGCATTTGGCATATGATCAGCCGCTGCATCACAGCGGCTCTTGGTTAAGATGGAACTCGAGAAGCAGGAAACCGATCCGGTGATCAATCGCATATAAAATGATTGGTATCTCGCCAAGGCCTATGAACCGGAGCCATAAAACACAATAATTGAACATTCTTCTATAACTTGATTCAAGGCTTGACCACATGACTCGGACGTATGAAATAGAAGGATACTGTAGTCTCGAGGCTGTGATATCACGACAAAGTTAACAATTTTGGGAACAAGATCATGCATGAACCACATATTCGTTTGACTTCTCTTAAAAAGGTTGGCCTCCAAGTACTTATCACGTCGCACAATGTTTGATTTTCCTCGGTTTTGACTGCAGATGAATACTCCGTACTTTGAGATCCATATCTGCCGAGACATTGAGAGATCGACCAATGTGAGATGACTGATCTAGAGCACCACTCTTTGAGATTCGTACATATTAATACACACAGAGCACGGATCACGGAGGAGAGAAAATTTGTCGACGCTAACTGAGCAAGGCGGCACGTTTCATTGAAGAATGATTGGTGCTGATGTATTCTTCCTTTTGAAGTTAGGTCCCTTACTGGGTAAAACTGTGTGTTTTATAAAACAGGGTTGGTACTCCGTACTTCGTAACTATACGAGGGCTCTAAAACTTAGGTGATTGATTCTGTGTGCATATGGTGCATTTTGCCGCCACTTAGTTTCAACTCTGCTGCTGTCCACCATTATGCTGCTAGCCGGTCTAGGCAGCAGGGAATTTTGATCTGCGGTAGCCAGTCCGTCTGACCAGAGAGACGATGCAAAGCATGATACTGTGCAGCCTAGTCAAACATAAACATTGAACCAGATGCCATCGCCCCGCTCCTTCTGGTTTCGGGGATCTTCGTAAACTGCCATACTTCCAAATGCCATGGCGTTTGCTGCTGTTTTGACGTCTCAAATTAGTAGCAAAGATAATCAAAATGCCAGTTTTGACACTGTAAATGCTCTACAGAGAATTGTACATAGGGCTTCATCTGCTGCCCACGATGGCAGTCCTCAAACAAGTTGCGTGCTTCCAAGGTCCACGGGTTGAGCCTGCAGTCTCGTGTCAGCAGGATGTCTGATTTGAGGAGAGTTTCTGCAGAGACTGCCGCTGCTCAACCAGTCAAACTTCCCGAGTCGTTCGAACAGTCGAGCCTTTAAACGTCCCTACCTACAAAAATGTTCACACCGATCTCCACGCAATACTCCGGAATGTTACTGTTATATGCGAAATTTGATATGAGATGATCGAAAAGATGGGTTGCAAGAAGTTTGTATTGCAAAGCTGGTGGTGTGCGGTCTTGTAGACGGGGCAATATTTGACATGTGTTAAAAGCTCGCTGATTGCTGATTATTGGCGCTTTAATGGGCCATATGAATCATTTAGCAGTAATGATGTGAGACTAGTAGGTCATGGTCCGTGTCTTCCCCTGCACTGGCGTGTTTGCAGTTCTTTTCATGCCCACCAGACTCGGGTGAATTCCACCTTGCTGATACAGCTTGCAGCGGATGCAGATATGCACGAAGTTCGTAGCCATGCCTAGCCAAGTCAAATTCCCTTGAGTATCACTTGGGTATTGCGCGAAAGGGATCATTCATGACGGATGGATAGCTTTGGTCGTAGTTCATGGCAAGGTGATCACGTTGTGGGATCCAGATAACACGATGATCCCAAAGTTGAGGCACGCTGGTTCATGGGGCCAATTTGCCAAGCGGGCGTAGTGATAGTTGCTCTTGTAATCCTCCCCTATGTTCATGAGATATCCATCTCTGTGGCCTGGGCCTCTTGGAACTTGGAAACGACCTTCATCTCGGTGTCGCGCTCTTTGATCTTCTTATCCATTGCCTTTTGAACGTCTTCGCGCTTGCGCTGGGCGGTTTGAATTATTTCTTTCACCTCTTTGACGGTTCTTTCTTGGGCAAGTAGTGCAGCTTCCTTCGATGTGTACTCTTGCTCCAGCTCCCGCAACCCGTCTGGGTAATCCTGAGACTTGATTGGCTCGCAGGTTACCGGGTGATAGTTGTGAGGTGGCAGTGGCCCCTCGGGGACTTTAATCTCTGGGAGATCGGCGTGGATGGGAATGGCGCGCAATGGGGAATCCAAGGGAACGGAGACCGAGGCTTTATCGCCCGTCGAGAACGGAGGTGTGGACTCAGACTTCAACATGGTTGAAAGAGTTATCGTATGATGGAGGTGAGGTAGACTTTTCTCCAGAGAAAGTATCAAGAAGCAAGTTGAGGCCTTCGGATTGGGAAATGTGTTGGAGTAAAGTGACCGCGGACTGAAGGCATTCTGCCAAGTCATCCGCTCTCACCGCTTCTGACACCGGCGCATGCGGGGAGCAACTTAGTCTGAACAAGTACATCCCTCCTTGGCATTTGATATTCAATATTCATGCTACTTGGTTCCTTCGAATCCAAATCGAGACAGACCCCCTAGGCCTGGCCTGAACTGGCCAACTGGCGTGTGTGACAACTAGGCGTGTTGGACGCTTGGAGCCGGTGACGTTACTACCACCATGCAGGCATTTGGTACGTCTCCTGTATACTCGCTGGTTCGGGTCGTTGCATAGGCTAACTACAACAGTCCCCAAGAATAGACGGGTAAGCTGCTCTTCGTAGCGCGGCACTCTCAATATGGGTATTGCATGTACTAACTTCTTATTATAGCCCAGATTCGAGCTTGTGCTGAGGGTATGTATGATTATCGCCTCTGAAGTTATTTGAAATGGTTCTAAAAAATATTTAGATCATCGATATCAACAACGTTCCTCTGGGAAGTAGCGTTGCATTCGTGCGATGGAGGCTACCCTCGTCAAGTGCCACTGAACACCAGGGCCATACAGAGAAAGCGAACCTCTCTGACCACCGCGCCTATTGGACATACGAAAAAACCCTCCAAGTGAGGCTCACCATTGATAGAACATCAATGCTGCAGGAGTGTGAAATCAATTTTGAAGTCATCCAAGAATTCACCTCGTCGCCCATTTCTGAAAAGAGTGTATTGGGCAAAATCAAGCTCAACCTTGCCGAATATGTTGACAAAGTCGAAGAGGATGAAGGTGTGATCCGAAGGTATCTAATGCATGAGAGCAAAGTGAACAGCACTGTCAAGATCGGCATAGCTATGCGCCAGATAGAAGGCGATCGCAACTTTACCACGTGAGCTGAGGCCTGGAGGCTCTCTTCTTAGGCCCTGGTTGCTAATCTAGAACAGTCCACCGCTGAAATCAGCTACAGTATTTGGAGGAATTGCTGGAGTGGTTCATTCTACTGAGCAACCGATTGAGGATGACCTTGGCCAACTCCCATCTATCAACACTAAGAGCCGAGAAATGGCAGATATGCAGGATATGTACCGGCGAACCCTCGCAGCATCGTGGTCCTCAAGAGCTTGCGATCTGCCCGCCGACAAATTGATTGAGGAATTGTTTGCTGGAAGTTCCTGTTGGAACAATGACACACACAATGCGAATGCCGCCTCTACAGGGGGCCACCGAGAATCACTATTAAGTGCAGATGCAGCTGCGCGACAGAGCCGCACTGGGAAATATCTGTCCCCTAGCTTTGAGCGGCGCCCCAAGAGCTCCTCCAGTGCGCATTCACATATCAATGAGAAGACACCCGACTCTCTTGCTACGCTTGGACATCCAAAAAAGGGAGGAAGCATTGAACAACAATTGTATGATGGAGCAAAAGGCCGTGGCTGGAAGGCGCCAAGTTCAAATGATGAGCTCTCCGAGTTTGATGTGAGGGAGGATTTGCGCAGCTGGGAAGTAAAAGAATAAATCCTGCTTGCCACTCATCATGTCATGTAAAATAGATTGAATTATACCATCTGATGCTTGTTATCTTTACCAATTACTCCTTGAATACCTTATATCACATCTATGATATAAATTTTGTTTTTGTTGTTTTGTTGTCCAAATGTTAGGTATACTTCTGCAGTTGTCAGCTTGATTGCGGCCTGAGGCATTTATTGACTTCTTATCGTGGCCTAGCGCCGCGATTATCGCCGGAGAAAAGCGACTGCAGGAATATTTTGTCTTTCGTACGTGCGCAATAGCATTGCTCTGCTGTCATGCTTCGACGTCGTGCTGGGAAAGCCCTAGGGTCTTTGAGCATACATTCTACTACTTATCGCAGACCCTGTTTGACGTACCCATGCACCATCCTCCCCCGATACCAGAGCGACTGGAAGTCCGATGAACGCGAAGCCCTCGATAGGCAAGATACCGAACATGAAAAGAAATCGCGACAGCCTCCCACTTCTGATGCGAGAGTCACACTGGATGTGAACTCGCTTGGGAAACCAGGAGAGATCGTTGTCGTCTCCCCGCGGCGCCGTGCAGCACCCAGAAGAACCCACAAACCCAAGAATAAAGACGCCGCTCAGAGCGGAGAGACGGTCAGCACCATTCTAGGTGCACTCGATGAAGAAGCCCTCGATCCAAGTCATAGCATAATCCACGAAAGCATTGAAGCGATTCGTGGGAGCCACGGATTAAAACAAACGCTGCCGGCTAGTGAATTCAAGGACATGCTGTCTGAATTGAAATCATCATACAAAACTACTCAACTGTCGGACTACATAGCGGAGTATCGGCGGGATCTCCGGGATCGCCGTGGCTTTGAGAAGAAGGAGATGTGGACATGGATCACTTCTAAACGATCCACGCCAGAAGGGATAAGGCAATCGTGGAAACTTCAGCTTGCAGAAGTCATTGTTCGCGAATGCTGGGAGATGGCCGTTGATGGAGAGGTTGGTCGGTTAGACTTGCCTCTCTCGGCTCAGCATATGACATTACTTGTTCATGCCAAACACTTCTCATTCCATGAGCTGGCCAATCTACACCATTGCGGTATCGATCTCTCGCAATCTTCAGACATTATATCCATAACCGGGAAACGAATAGATTGCGAGGCTGTTGCTGAAATCATTCGCGACACAACTACCAGAGCCCGTGAAGAGGATGTTGGAATCAACACTCACCTCAACGGCGATGGGAACCAAATATTCACCCCTGGATTTTTGGAATGGGTCAACACCACATATGGAGTCCTTGTTGAGCACAGATCCAACAAGCCTCCAGCCAAAATCTACTATCTTGCCGAAAACAAATCGGGGGCTGAGAATGCTCGCCGGACATTGAATCTGGCACTCTCCAACACCACTTCTCCATCAACCCCCTTTTCTACCTACCTCCCTGCTTCAGAACTCGCCACTGTATATAGCTACAGACCAGAAGCGCACGCCTCGTGGTTTGAGCGGCAAAAATCCTGGTTCCGATGGGCTATGTCCTCCACTCAGAATGAAGAAGCGGAATCTCTCGACACCCCTTTCTTCGACAAACACCAGACACGTCTCTCAGATGAGCTACTGAAACTACTTCAAAATACCCCACCCTCAGAAGTCAGCTCGGGGAATCATTTGCATGAAACTGTTACAGCCACATTTGGAAAATGCCTATTTATGCAAAAGCCGTCCTTTGACGATGCATCTGTCATGAGTCCCACTCAATTAGGAAAATTGTCTCTTCCGCGGATCTTTACAAAGGATGGTCCGCTCATGACTCAGCTTATGAATGCACTTTGGCCTGTGCTTCCAAGGAAAGAGACCGAGTCATATCGATTGCGATTGATCCCAACGTCCTCCTCACATGACCTGCCTGAACTAGAGATCGAGGTGGCCATGGAACCTCAAGTTGATGGTGAAATCGCCATTGAAAGTGTGAAGGCCATTCAAAGCACTACGAGTGTGGACTATCTGCTCCCAGAGAACAGCTTGGATTTACGCTTTACACGAACAATTTCTCAGGATATTTGGAAGGAACACTCACCTGATACACAGGACATGGAATATGCCCCCCGTAAGGTTCGTGTCGCACCGGGTGTCGAGGCAATGCTCCAAAGCATCAAGCAGCCCCTCCAGGGTCTCTTTGTTGCTGCCGAATCTTCGAGTACGCATGTTCCATTTCCCCCATTCTGCCAAATATCTCTTCCCTCAGATCTCGCTCGACAATTTGGCCTCCGAAAGGGCCAGAAGAACGCCAGTGATTCAAGCCCAGAAGAAAATGTCGCCGTGGAATACATGTTCCTTCCATTGAGTGATATTCGTGGAGCGATTGTCCAAAAGTATGACATCAATGGCCGACCACTCCACTACCAGCAGTACGATAGCGGGCCATTCCTTGCTACCCGCGCAAACCAAGTCTCACTGCTCATGTCTCTTCCGCCAAATGGTGGCTTGGCCTCGGAGAATGATTCCCAGGAGGCTCTCAACCAGCAGTTCCATGACTTTTACAATACCGCTTGTGACATGGCCTTCAAAGTTCATGGGAGCAGCTTTGCGGAGTAAAGGCGTGGAGGTAACCACTTGAGCATTTGTTCGGATTCTGCACAGCGTCTGGGCGTGTACAGGATCTTTTGACATGGTAGCGGCGTTCTAGGCTCTTTTTACTGTACAATATGAGAATACATACTTAATCATCAAGCATAGCTCTGGATCCTTTCATACTTAAGTATCAATGAAATATTTGGACATGACCGGTAGCATCAAGCAACTTGAAACCATTTCAAAGTTGTTAAAATGGCCTTGAAAAAGACAAGTAAATTTGTCTGCTGAATGCGCTTTACCATTTCAGGGCATTTACTCCGCCAAGACTTTGATCACTGCATACCGATTGGCTACAGTAGACAGCTTCCCAGGCGCAGTATCCACTGTTTTACTACTCCGTACTCCCAACTCGCGTCCGCCACCATCTGTGATCCAATCCATCTACCCTTTCAAACTTGCCAATATGAGGGTGAAGGAGAAAAGTGTATGCCAGACATGCAGGGCCCGCAAGCTTGGTGTATGTCCAATGTCCTCCACCTTCGAACGTTGGATCTTAGTGCTAAGTGAGGTTAGTGTGACGGCAAACGGCCCAATTGTACCCAGTGTACCTTGAGGGGCCGGATCTGCGACTGGAGTACTCCTGCATGGACGTTTGTGACTGCAAAAGAGCCCACTTCTATAGACTCCTATGGACCACGCCATGGCCACATGGACATCTGTGCCTCACGCAAATTTATCATCGAGTCAATAACCAGAGCATATATCCCTCGCGAGGAGCTATCTCATATCTATCCAGGCTCGGGTGAGGCTCCCCGAATATGCGGTGCATGGGTAGGGGTCTTATCAACTCTCGCTGAGGGTTCTTCCACACGATACGACAGTGTTCTGTCCCCAGCAGTCACGGCCTTGAGCTCCTGCATTATGCCTAAAGCGGATGCACAGAGTGTAAAAGACTACTCGGATGCTGTCGACGCTCTTAGGTCAAATGCACAGGAACTTAAGGTTCTAGATGCTGAATTTGCTGCGGCAATTATGTGCCTGTTCCAAGCTGAGGTATGACTTCTGGCTAACCTTCCATCATCCAAAGCTGAAATTTTGCAGATTATGCTTCCCGACTCTCGGTTTGGTCTTGCCATGCACATGAATGGCGTGGCTCAATTATTCCAAGCCAGCGGACCAAGCATGTTTAAGTCGGGAGCTTTACAGAGCTTGTTTGTAGGCTTCAGGCCTCTTTTTGTGGGTGGTTCCAGGAAAGAAGACTGACTGGGTGTTGACTTGTTTCAGATGGTCCAAAGTGTTCAAACTCGAAAATCAACCTTCATTGCATCGAAAGATTGGATTGATATACCATTTTCCGCCTCTCCGCCATCGCTCATGCAGCAGTTGATAAATGTGTCTCTCGTTCTACCATCACTTCTTGAACGAGTTGATCGGCTTTCCGACGTATCATCTGAATTGCTGACTGCCGAAATACTGGATCTGGGGCAATCCTTCTCGCACTTGCACTCACGGCTGGAGAAATGGGAGGAAGCCCTGCATGGGCAGTCGATGTGGAGTCCACCCTCGGACTCAAATTCCAGGTCATCACCGCTAGGGGCTGATATTTGGTTCACAAGTATCACCATGGCCAACTTTTACATGCACATCTGGGCATTTCAAATTATCTGTATCCTTGAGCTCAGCAATCTGGCAGACGTGCATACTTTCAGGTCGTGGACGTTGCCTAAAGGCCCCACAACCATACAAGCAGCTTCACTCAAGATATGTCTCAGCATGAACTATCTTTTACAGGAAGAAATGAAGCTCTTTGGGCCAGCTTCAGCAATGCTACCCTTGCAGACAGCCTATAAAGTGTTCAGCGAGGATAAGTGCAAGTATATGCGTGAGCTCCATTATCTTGAGGGGATAGTGGACTGTCTTGTCAAGAAAGGAATCCGATCCACGCCTGACATTGTTTACTCGTAGGTGCCTAGGTAGACCTACTTAGATTATAGAAATCTGAAATTTCCCAAAGTACGACTGCATTGGTCACCTGCTCAAGTGGTATACTCATATGTACTCTCAAATTACCTCAATCCGACTTACGAACACTAAATCTTTCTAAGGCTCTTTGTATTCTTTCATCCTGATTTAGATTCAAATATAGTCTGGCAATATCATCCAAATCAATCGTCCAGTTCATATAGGCCGAATTTACTGTCGTAAGAATTATATACAAATGTTGGAGACCCGGTGAGGCCCCCACTCGTCACAGGCCCGTGACGTGTAACACCTCCCCCCTTCAACTCCGCGCTCCCCACGTTTCCAACTTTCAGATGGAATCGTCGCCTTGACTTAACCTGTTCGTTCTGTCTCAACTCCCTACTACCGCGACCTCCATTGCGTCCCGCCGATCTCCACCATTCTCCTACGCTCAGCATGAAGATCACGCGCCAGTGATTCAACAACGGAATGGAGAAAACACGAGTGGCTAAGGTTCGGCCGTACAGTTGGAGGCAACATGCACATCTCACTCACAATCTTCTTGCAGGTTGACAATGTGACCTTGACTCGCCGCGGTGAGCAGGTCGATGGTACCCTTCATCTCACCCCTCACCACCTCATATTTTCGCATACCCCCACAATCTCCCCCGAGGACCAGATCAAGGGCGTGACGGTCAGACCGAGAGAGCTCTGGATCACATACCCCATTATCGCATTTTGCACGTTGCGACCGGCTCCCGCAGTCTCCCGCCAGCTCTCCTCCATCCGCCTCCGATGTCGAGACTTCACATTTGTCTGTTTCTACTTTGTAAATGAGCACAAAGCCCGCGAAGTATTCGAAAGCATCAAGCAATGGACATGCAAGTCGAGCCGCATCGACAAACTGTACGCTTTTAGCTACCAGCCGCCTCCACCCGAGAGAGAGTTCAATGGATGGGACCTCTATGATGCGCGCAAGGAATGGACGCGCCAGGGTGTTGTCGATAGTGAGCAGTGGCGCTTATCAGAGATAAATGCGAACTACGAGGTTTGTACCAGTCAATGATTGGGCTGGACTCTGTTGACCTTGTGTGCAGTTCTCTCCCACCTATCCTGCCATTATACCCGTGCCTTCCTCCATCTCCGACAATACACTCAACTATGCAGGGCGTTATCGATCCCGCGCAAGAATACCCACCTTAGCATACTTCCACCCAGTCAATAATTGCACCATCACCAGAAGTTCGCAGCCGCTGGTCGGTGTTCGTCAGAACCGAAGCATTCAGGACGAAAAGCTTATGTCTGCTATCTTCTTGACGTCTCGATCTGAACGACCGCTGGCTGCCTTTTCACAGTCCCCAGAGAAGGAGACAGGCTCAAGCCGCGGAAGTCCGGAAACAAGCCAGGTGATGGTTCCGGAGTTGAACGCCGAGGAACTAGAGGATGACTTGATGGCTGCTGCCAGTGGGGACTCTGAAGAGAATCGCTCGATTTACGGCGCCCAGCAATCAAATATGATCGTAGATGCGCGGCCTACGGTTAATGCATTTGCCATGCAAGCGGTTGGGCTTGGTTCCGAGAACATGGATAACTACAAATTCGCTACCAAGGCCTACCTTGGTATTGAGAACATCCACGTTATGCGAGAGTCGCTGAGCAAAGTGATTGATACCCTCAAGGATTCTGATGTGACTCCACTCGGGCCTAACCGTGATCAGCTGGCGCGCAGTGGTTGGCTGAAGCACATTGGCGTCATTTTGGAGGGAGCCCGAGTGATTACTCGGCAGGTCGGACTTACTCATTCCCATGTTCTAATCCATTGCTCTGATGGTTGGGACCGCACAAGTCAGCTCAGCGCACTGAGCCAAATCTGTCTGGATCCATACTTCCGAACACTGGAAGGCTTCATGGTTCTTGTGGAGAAAGACTGGCTTTCCTTTGGACATATGTTCCGCCATCGATCCGGTCATCTGAACAGTGAGAAGTGGTTCCAAATCGAGAATGAACGTATCGGTGTAGACCCCAACCGCGCATTTGGTGACGGCGGAGGTGCAGGCAAAGCCCTCGAGAATGCCTTCCTCAGCGCCAAGGGCTTCTTCAACAGGGATAACAACAGCAAGGATTCCTTGCCTGACTCCGATGGAGAGCTTCAAAATTATGAGTCTGACACGCCGAAGAAGGCAAATGCACCGCGCTCGGGTCCCGAAAAAGAGGTCACCAAACCGAAAGAGACAAGTCCCGTATTCCATCAGTTTTTAGACGCAACCTACCAGCTGCTTCATCAAAACCCGACTCGATTTGAGTTCAATGAGCGTTTCCTGCGACGTCTCCTATATCACCTTTACTCGTGCCAGTTTGGCACTTTCTTGTTCAACAGCGAAAAAGAGCGAGTCGATTGCAAGGCGCGGGATCGCACCCGGAGTGTTTGGGACTATTTCCTTGCTCGCCGGGAACAGTTCACCAATCCTTTGTATGACCCCGTCATTGACGATCACCAGAGAGGGAAGGAACGACTTATCTTCCCCCGGGTGAGTGAAACTCGGTGGTGGAATGAGGTATTCGGCCGAACCGACGCTGAAATGAACGGGGTGGTGAACGGACCCCGTTCCCCTGCGACGCCCCCTACTCAAAACGATAATCACGCAGAGGCAGCATTTATATTGGCAGGGATGGAGACTGCAACCCAGAACAGCGATGGTGCCAGTACACCCGTCCCTGAAACTGCGTCTGCGGGAATGACTACGATAACATCGGGGGTTTCTAAGCTTGCATTTGCACCAGAGCGGGACACAAACAAGTCGAAAGAGTTGGAGGTTGAGATGAAATAAACATGCTTCATGGGAAGTCAATGATGGATTTGGAGCATTTACGATTCTTATACGTATGGCGTGTGTCTGCGGTTGAATATCAATCATATTCGGCCTTTTACTCTCGTATCCACTCTGATGACGTCGGAGAAGTGAACATAACCCTTGGTGCCTTGGTGCCTGATATAATGCCCAGAATCTCCGCCCGGGCCCAAACTGGCTCGGTCTCTGTTCACGTGATAGCGCTCTTAGGGCTACGTAACCCTATTCCCCACCAAAGAATTTGAAGTGTGTTCGAATTGAGTACCGTTTGAAGCAACTTTCGACCTACGACTCCCCTTCCCCGACAACCCCCCTTCCACCACCAAAGGAACGTCAAAATGGCCGCTGTTCAGGGTGCTATCTCCAAGCGCAGAAAGTTCGTCGCCGACGGTGTCTTCTATGCCGAGCTGAACGAGTTCTTCCAGCGCGAGCTGGCCGAGGAGGGCTACTCCGGTGTTGAGGTCCGCGTGACTCCCACCGTCACCGACATCAGTACGTCGCAAAACCCCGAAACAAAGCCTTTCATATCCGTTTTGATTGCTTGGTGAAGAATTGGACTGGAACGAAAGAAAGAGTTGGGACAAGGGCTCACCACAAGATTGACGGATATGGATTGGAACATGAATGTTGGGTTTTGAATGCTAACGGATGATTTCTTTCAGTTGTCCGTGCCACCCACACCCAGGAGGTTCTCGGTGAGCAGGGTCGCCGCATTCGCGAGCTCACCTCCCTCATCCAGAAGCGTTTCAAGTTCCCCGAGAACTCCGTTTCCCTCTACGCCGCTAAGGTCCAGAACCGCGGTCTCTCCGCTGTCGCTCAGTGCGAGTCCCTCCGCTACAAGCTCCTCAACGGTCTTGCCGTCCGTCGTGCCTGCTACGGTGTCCTCCGTTTCATTATGGAGTCCGGTGCCAAGGGTTGCGAGGTTGTTGTGTCCGGAAAGCTCCGTGCTGCCCGTGCCAAGTCCATGAAGTTCACTGTATGTCCAGACCAGTCAAATTTGTCGACTTCTTTTCGAAGCCCGCAACGAGCACAACTAACGATTAACAGGACGGTTTCATGATCCACTCCGGTCAGCCCGCCAAGGAGTTCATTGACTCCGCTACCCGTCACGTTCTCCTCCGCCAGGGTGTCCTCGGTATCAAGGTTAAGATCATGCGCGGCTCCGACCCCGAGGGCAAGGCCGGCCCCCAGAAGACTCTCCCCGACTCTGTTACCATCATCGAGCCCAAGGAGGAGCAGCCCGTTCTCCAGCCCGTCTCCCAGGACTACGGTGCCAAGGCTGTCGCCGCCCAGCAGGCTGCTGAGCAGCAGCGTCTTGCTGAGCAGCAGGCCGCCGAGGCTGAGGGTCCCGCTGAGACTTTTGCTCAGGAGTAAATTTGTTCTACATTCCTAACCTAACCTGATACTCTACCTCACGCAATCAAAATTACATGAATGACCTTCAAGACTTCAATGATATCTTAATTGTATTGGCCGTAAGGGCTTTTTTTCCCAGCTGGAAACCTTAGAATGGGTGTACGCGGATGGATTCACCTGGTGAAAATGACTTGAATGGACCGCGGGACTTCGATTGCCGTCGGGATATGTCTTCAATGCCTAATATCCTTCCGTGCACACGCAGTACTTGTGTAAACGTGGAAAACGCCTTGGGGACTCAGCCATCTCAAGACTCCAGGACTTGATATCATTGGAATACTATCAATGATATGCCCAGAATACAGTCCTCCACCTTGACCAATTCAAGTCAATCATTTACAAATCAATTGCCCTCAGACATCTAGATATATCCTGAGTTATTCGTCCAATCACGGGGCACAAAACATTAAACATATGCCCAGGTAGACGATGTATATCAGCTGGAGTCACCGTGGGTCAATAAATACATTCATCTATAGATGGACTTGAGATCCAAACTGGAGTTTTTGATACAATTCTACCTGGGTTCGAGGGTCCTGTCCAACTTGACATCCCTATGGCTATACAACTACTTAGAACTTTAGGACACCTGGGTCAAACCACGAAGTACACTTGACGTTGACAACCTTGGCAAAAGAGACAATGCAAATCGATATATTCCAAAAAACCAAATGTTCACTATCCTCATTAATATTTTCAAACATGTATCAAAAAAATGCAATATGCAAATGCAAAACAAGACGTTATACATCTCCCAACAGCAAAATCTCACCAAAAAAGATCACAAAAGATGAAAAGAAAAGAGAAAAAAAGAAAAGTTCTCCAAGCCTCACATCCCCAATCTCCTAAGCAGCAGTTCCGGATCCTGTAAAGCCTCCTCCTGCATCCGCCTTAGCTCCTCGAGCCTCGCTACTGGATTCTGTAGACCGCCACAATAAGTACGTTGCGCTAAGCAGAGAAGAAAACGCATCAACCGTGACACCCACCCAGTCTTCCTGGTCAGGGACACCCTCCGCAGAAGGCAAAGAAGTACTATCCTCACTGAGTGTGCGGTGGATCGGCGCAGGCGTAACGGGCAAACTGGGGCGCTCGATCTCAGTTGGGAAATCCGTTATCTTTGAAGGTGATTTGTCAGGGCTGGATGGAGGCGGCTTGCGGCGCGCTTGTTGTCGCTCGATGAAGCGCTGAATCTCAGGGTCTTCGTCCCATGCGTTTGAGCGGTCGTAGCTGTTGTATGTTAGGCTGGGTGAGTAGGGGACGCGCGTGTATAGGGGCCCTGGGGTGGGGAGGTCTGGTTTGAAGAGGGGCTTGGGTTCGGTGGGTTGGTTCGTGGATTCGGGGATGGCTTCCTGTGAGGATTCTTGGGGATTCTCGTTGGTAGGCCATTGGTGTTCTTGGGTTTCCTGTGGTTCCTCGTGGGTGGGTGGTTGGAAAGGTTTGTTGCAGATTGGCTCCTCGGCAAAGACACGGGTGGGTTTGGGTGCATGATGCTCCCAAGGGAAAACAGTGGTATGCGTTTCGGGTTCTGGTTTTGTGCTGGGAACTTTGTAGTACATGTTTTTCGGTGCCTCCGGGTAGGAGGTTGGTGGTTGGAATAGTTGGGTGTCTTCGGACATGAAGTAGGTCTTTTCTTGAAGACTGAGTCCTTCGGGTCTGGTGTTGGCTGGCGGTGGTTCCCTTCATATTATAAGCACTGACTGTCAACAATTCGTGACTCGGACATACCTTGCAGGGTTCCATTCGGATTGAGGAGCCTCAAACATTGGAACCTCGGGCGATGGAGAGCGAGGCGGTTGGAATGACTCGACAATGGAGGTAATCGGGGTCACTGGCTGTGGCTGGTGGATATGACCACCATCAGATTGTTGATGAGACTCTTGTCCATGGTCACCCTCATTGGGTGGCTCATGGTGCGCCTGTGAGGTCTGGTATTTTTCATGACTCAATGGAGGCGCAAAGGTGATTGGAGCACTGTGAGGCATTGGTGGAACGAATGTCGACACATTTTCCTCTCCACGAACATACTGTGGGACCATACTGAGAATGGGAGCTGGGACCGGGTTATGGTGTGCGTGGGTGTGGTAGGTTGGCTCACTATGACCCTGCTGGTGCTGGGTCTCTCCATGAGTATGCTCGAACGAGGGCGCATCCTGATGTGAATGCTCATGGTGAGAACTTCCAGGCTGTTCGTCTTCCTGCGAAGCAACGTGATATGGTTGTGGCCATGTCTCAGACGTCGCCGGTTGTTCGTAGTGGTTTTCGTGAGATGCGACATCATGATATCCCTGCGGTCCGCTTGGTGTTACCTACAGAAATCAGTAATAAGCCCTGAGATCCAAGATCTCAACTTACAAAAGGCAAACGATAATGCTTGTCATAGATGGCCCACCAACGGCCTAGCAGCTGATTGTACGGAGACTCCAGCGGTACAATCTGCCTGGGCATATTCCATGGCTTCTGCGAGCCAATGAAATGGATCAGACTGATGGTACTTTGGAAGTGTTTGTACGCAGGAATGTACTGGTAATTGGCACTTGGGGTGCAATTATACGTGAAGCTTAGCCTATGCCAGTCCTGGAAATGCATGTTCAGCAATCCCTGGTCGGCGCCATCAAAGCTGATGCCTCGTTGAGCCAGAGCCCGGAGCGCATAATAGTCCTGCAGATTAGGCCGGAGCACCATCAGTCCGCTATTAAAGCAATCCGGCCAGCCCACATCGGGCGCGGCGGCAAAGTCCGCCTCCAACGATAATAACTCGTCGGGGGCTCGTAGAGCTACCACATCGCAATCAATGTACACCACCCGCCGGTATTGTGTTAGACGCCAGAGCTCAATCTTAGTGAATGTGGCAATGAGGTCTGGGCGGTCCATCAACCAGAGATTGGCGGGTGTATCGTTTACCATGGAGCTCACAGGGATGAGCTCATCATAGACCGTCTGTCGATAGCGTTAGATCGAATGGTATTCCTGGGCGCAGGTCTCGTACTCTCAATTCATCGATGGTGGCCGCTTGTAATCTGTCGGGTGTGAACAGGGCCACCAGCTTTGCCTTTGTGCCATTGTCGCGTAGGGAATGGGCAAGGACCATAGCACCTAAATAGTTAGCAATTGCCATTGAAAAGTCCTCGGAGTCACCCACCTGGCAAATAATGATCACTCAGCAGCAGCTGTCTCGCCATTAGCGCTTCACCATCGCGAAAAGAGGGGGGAAACCCACCGTGCAGTAGACGGCATCCCCATTGGAATCCATCATGCCAGACAACGAACAAAGAGAGGGGGGAAAGTGCCTATTCTCAAAACAGCGAGAATGAAGAAAAAGCACTAAATTTAACCTGTCAATTGGCAATGACAGTTCGGGCCGGGAGGGACCAATACACTGTGGTACCTGAACCGGACGCGGGTGGGACGAAAACAGCTTCCTTCACTGCATAGTCAAAATGCCCTAAATGAAACAAAAGCCATCAGGGGGTGAGAGAAAAGAGTCCGAGTCTGCCGAGTCGGAGGCAAAAGGCGCGTAAGAGGGAAAGACTACTAAAAGAGTCCCAAGGACCTAACGCCTCCCCAGAGTGGAGGTTCTCCCCCTCACCGGGTAAATCGTACGTTCGACGATCACCTCCGCTTTTCCGCTGGGGACAAGCCGGTCTACGAGATTATGACTGTACAATGCTATTGAGACTCAATTGACTTGAAAATTGGAATATTCAATGGGAAAATAAGAACAACTTCGTGAAATTTACGTGAAACCCATTGACCTCCTATCTAACCACATACAGTTAACCCCCCACGCCTGTACTCGGACGCACATGTAATACGAGGCACGTCAAACAGACTATGACTAGCTGCATTATCTTGAGAATGTCACCTGCACACCGGGATATGAGGTTTGAAGTGCATCCCCGATCTCCCCCTTCTCCCCCTGCACTGTCCATTCCACGGCCTTAATAAGAGCCGCCCGACTCTCTGTCTCAACCGGAGTCCAGTGGCCCGTTCGAGGCAGCAAGACAATCTGCGATCCCTGCACCAGGAAATCACTCATTCCATCGAGACAAATTCTCCGATCCAGCGCGAGATCATTCTTACCCCAGAACACCGTCGTGCTAGCTTTCAAAGCTCCCGGTGGTCCTTCGTTGAAGAGGCCCGCGCCACTGCTTGCGCGCCCGGCTCCTGGGGTGATACTGTGCAGGCTGGCGACGGTTTCAATGGACTTGGTCCAGCGTGCGGTCGATGCCCGGTGGCGGTAGTAGTTTGCCATGTGAATGATGTGCGCGAATGCACGCTCGTCCTGCAGAGTGACAGGGTAAGAGTCACCATGGGCGGTCTTGGTTTTGGCCTCGGCGACTGATGGTCCCATGCTGCTGGCCATGCTCTCGGCGATGTCTTGGGTACTGTACTTGGCTGTGCCATGGGATCTGATGTGAATGGACCTCAAGAGTGACAGCTGGCCTGCAGTCAGGAAGTAGTTGACGAGGGGAATGGGGAGTTGCATGGCAAAAATGTACCCCGAGAGGAAGATTTGGCGGAAGAGAGGGGAGATGGTTCGGAATGCCTGTGTGAGGGGAACACGAGCTTGGAGGGGATTGCGCCAGGCATTGCCGAGCATCTTCTTTGACGAGAATAGTAGGCGGCGGATATTTGACTCCACCAATTTCATCTACAGACATGATTAGCTTAGTCGAACTATAGAGGGCATCACACATACCGACGGTCCATTGGACAAGATGAACCGATGAGCCAGAGAGGGAGCTTCGGCAGCAAGGCGCATCGACAAGACGCAACCCCAGTCATGAGCGACGATCACAGTCTTCTTTTTGTTGCTCTCAGTCTCGGTATCCACGCCATACTGGGTACGCAGAGTGACGATAAGCTCGGTCAGCTTCTCCAGCACGTTAGTCGCGGTATATTTGTCGAGACTGTCGGTTCCTCCATATCCTGGCAGGTCAATCGCAACGATCGACACGGCCTCTTGCAAAGCAGGGTTCTTGATAATGTGTCGCCAAATAGCCCAACTGTCGGGGAATCCATGGATGAATATGACCAATGGCTTCTTGGAACCAATTGTTTCCGCGGTGTTGGGAGTATCATTGCTCAGGAAATGAAACTTGAACCCGCTCTGCAGGGTCAAGAGGTGGTGGGAAAGGCCTTCAAAGTCCTTGGAGAGATTCCACAAGCGGTCGCGAGCTGGTTTGTTAGCGAGGTGTTTACCCAAAGTGAGACTGTGTAATTCTCACCGAGCTGTAACTCCAATTTTTCTTTCTCGGTGGGCCGTTTGAAATACGTCCCCTTCGATATGGAGATCAGTGCATAGAGGGCGATTGTGAATAGGCCGTAGGCAAACACAATGACCCCGGTCAAAGCTCTAGCGAAAGATTTGGCCATGCTTAATTGTTCATCAGGAAAAGCAAATCAAAAAAAGAGAAAGAGAAAAAGAGGAATCAGAAGCTGTTCAGTACATTTGCAACAGCAATCTAGCCGAGGTTGCGTCACCCGTTAGTCAGCCCAAGCTGCCCAAGGTGGGCTCACTACTTAAGTATGGAGTATTCAGTCCAATGTATTCAGTACAAAGTATTCAGTAGAGACAGTCGAGTTTCATATTTAAAGGTCTTACATTAGTCTCGGTAACTACTACATGGTACTCCGTACTACACTTTGTACTACGTGCGGGTATCTGCAGAGACACCGACTATCATTTCCTTAAGTGGACTGTCGCAGTGCATATAATTAGCTTGTATTATACAGTTTCTAGACTATCGGCCACACATGCATCCAACCATATCGAAAAGAGGGTATTAACAGATGCAAACAAAAACACAAAACAAAACTAATAATAGGGCCATGATCTCGTCGAAAATGCAGGTCAAAGAATGAATCCAAGTTGGTCCCGGTTATCGTCGACCAATCGACCATACCTATAGCTGTCAGTATGCCCACTGGAAATGGAATGGGAATGGGAATGGGAATGGGAAAATACATACTCCAGGAGCAAGCGGAAGAACCAAACCTCCAGATCTTCATTACGTAGTGTCTTCTGGGCCCAGCTCTGACCCTGACTGGCGATTTGGCGAGCAGAGTCCGAGCCATCCGTAGAAGTGAAGTATCGCATGCTCTCGAGATACTCATTACCCTTCAAACTGAGGGGCACATAGTGCACCCAGGGCTTCAGCCACTCGTCATGCCACTCGCGGAAGATGGCAATCTTGTAAACGAAGCTGTTACTGTGCAGGAAAGCGTGGAACCGGCCACTGAAGGCATTACCGTCGATATCGACCAGGTACTTATGTGCCCACGCATCCTGCTGCCCAGTCTGCTTGAATACTCCAAAGTATTCGGTTTGCGCATTGCAATCGTCTGGATCACACTGACCAATCAGTGTGAACTTGACATCGAACATGTCCTTATAGTTGGCTCGCATGACATCTTGCGACACCCAGGAACTTTCCTGGTGGCTGAGGATCTTGCTGGTGCCCAGAGCATTGACGTTGTCGACAAACTGCTGCCGGTGCTGTCTGCGCCAGCCACCGGCGCGTGAGAATCCACCAGTTGTCGACCCGCGCCAATACATTCGGTTGGTCTTTGCATCCCACTCGTAGTCCTTCTTTTTATCATACGGCACCTTATCAGCCCAGTACCAGGGACTTGGGTATATGATGTCCTGGAAGCTGGAGATCTTGCTTTGCGAAAATATAGGGAACAGGTCGTGGACAACGTCGAATGCATTGGGTCGGTCGAAGAATCCATATGTATAACGAAGCGAAGGGGTATTGCAGATGTCGGAGGCTGCAGTGGTGTTGTAAATAAAACCGAGCTCGCCGTAAGCGTAGGGATCAACGTTGTCCGGGGCATCATCGTCGAGCGAGCGCGCAGGGCTGTTGACGGGGCAGGAAATTCGGGAGTTTGTCCAAGTCGGCTGGTGCGCAAATCTATTAAAGCGCGTGGTGCGCACCTCGTCAATGCGGTCGCCTTTGTTAATATCCGATGCTCGAGCAGACCACGCATTAGTAGGGGTTTTCTTGAACGCAGCAGGAAGGATTTGATCCTTGGCTGTCTGCACCAAGCGCTCCAAGTCCGCGCTTGGCAGAATCACACGAGGCTCATCGTGAGTATTGAAAACCAAATCCATGTCCGGTAGGTATTTCACAAATGCCCCCATCATTCCAGCAGTGGCATCCCGTTGCCACTTCCGATCATCGCCTCCTCCGTCCGTTAAGGACACCTTGCCGTCACGAATCAAAACACCCAGGACCGCATTGTCAAACCCAAGTGTCTCGCGCGCCCTCTCCCGGATCGTTTTCGGTTTCAACCCCCAGAAAGGAAGCAGGGAATGGTAGATGGAATCGAATTCGTCGACGAGCTGTACGTTTTTCGACTGGGCGAATTCGAACCACTTGTCGAAGTGTGGCGGCGGGTGCATGTTGTACCGACGCTTGTACTCCTCGACGGCCTGAGCCAGAGTCTTGGACTGCTGTGATTGCGCATGGTCAAAGGTCTGCCGGGCATTGCCAATCAAACGCGAAATCGGATGTTCCTTCTCGGGGAGGTAGGTATTCTGCCCCGCATGGAGTTGAGGGTGTTGGATCGGTTCGGGAGGAGGCAGGTTTATAGGCTTTTGCGGCGAACTTGGGGAGCGCAGGAGTAAAAGAGAGAAGATGGCGAGCACCCCAATGGCAAGTAATACAATCAACCGTTGGATTCGCATACTGCCATTGGACAGAGGCATGAAGGCTGGAGAAGATCTCAGGGAGGATTCTCCATCAAGCGAAAACAATTGCCAAGACTTCTAACGTAATCGCGTACAATGCCCTTGTTTCGGATTTTCTTTTGCAATGATGAGATGAAAATAAGTATATGTTGGATGGACGGAAGCCCCCTGTGTTCGGCCAATGCCTTTGTGTCCACTCCAATGTGGCGTTTGCAGCGATCATTGGCAGCCAGTCATGTCGGTACACATACTCAACACCATTTGCAAAGACTATTGGACCACTTTGGGGATAATGATCAAATAGAAGGGGTTTTTAGATCTATCAGGGTCCAAGTGGAGTGAAACAGAATCTAAGCTTTTGTGGAGAGTGCTATATCGCCAGCTCTCAGGCAACAGCCATCCCTCGGAAGGAATGTATATGGAGTCGTGGATCCCAATTTGCAAACATATTTTATTTGACACGATTTACTTAAGTAGTTCTGGCTGAATCTTGCAAATTTGGAAGCTTCAAAGCACTCATACTTCAACAAATTTCAGAATGACCCAGGAACAAACCCCATTGAGCAACGAGGCCCCTAAACTCTGGATGATAAACCTCTGCGCTTGCTGGACATGCGTATAAGCCACAACACACAAAAAGATCACCAAAGACACATGGCCAAAGTAGAACATGCGCCGGCGCTCTTGTAACGAGCCCTGCATCAACCAAGATTGCAGTCCGCTTTGAGCAGTTCCCCGGGGGCGCGCGAAGAAGAAGAGAAGCACGACTGTTAGGATGGCAGCAATGCCACATTGAACATCCAAGTCTTGAACTCGCTTAGCAAGCAGGGTGCCAAATTCTGGGTGACTAGACTGCACGAAGAAGAGCGTGTAAAGAGCAGCGTGAGCCAGCAAGAGAGGTGAGATGACTACCCGGCCGAAGAGACGATGATAAGGGGTCAACGTTGGCTGAGAGATGCCGGTTACGATAGAAAGAACAGAGGAGGTCGTGGGCTTTGATGAAATATAGGCCATTGGAGACATCAATACTTGTAGTGGTAGTTGAGACAGGCCGACTTGACCAATGGCTTTTGTTAGATGGAGGTAGTCTGTTCACACCAATTAGCTAAAGCCTGCAACGTTGAAGTTGAAAGAATGATTGTCAATTGCATACCATTACCACTATTCCATGCGGAGAGAGCGACTAGCCACGACAGCCAGAGTCCGCAGGCCAGATACTGTCCTCGAGTCTCGGCCCATCCAGGGAAAAGTGGTCGATCCCAAATGCTTGAGGATCGCTTTGGCCGATTGCCCGAGCTGAAAGTAGTGGAAGTTTTCATGGTTTTGACGATCAAGATCGCGAAGATGATGGACCATTGCGCATATTGACCCCGAAGGTCGAGTAACGCCCGGCGCTGCACTTTGTCCTCTTCAGACAGTGTAATGAACTGATATGGCCATTGGAACGACATGGCTGCAGTATCACAAAGATGCCAATTACACGGGGAAATAGTGTTCTTTGGATAGAAATGCTGGGCTTGTTTCCCTCGGGTTGAAAGTACACGTGCAGTTCAGCTAGGCCGCGAAACAGGCCAGAACAACAAGCAGCACGGGGCAGTGTATCAATAAGGATATAAGTTGGCCGATTGATTCACCCTAGTCTGACAGGGTGTAATCGCGAATGGTTTCGAACGTGGACAAGTGCAGACCCGCTGACAAATAGTCTAATGTGACTCGTGCACAGCTCAGTGGGTGGATTCATCTCCGTGCAACTCCGTACATCTACACCTCAACTTATGCGCCAAGATTGTTTTTGACTTGCTTTTTTCTTTGGAACCTACATGATTTGAACGATTTTGTATGGAAAACATCTACATTAAAACGCCGGGAACAAGATTTCATCCCAGTCGCGTGCTGGCTATTCTCTAACTTCACAGGATGCGCTGCAACCGGGTTGGCGGGTATTGTCTGCCACGCAGAGCATGTTGCTCAAGAGGAAATATGGGGGCCCACTTTTTAAGGCGAGGTTTGCATGGCCTCATCCTGATTACCGCCAGCAGTCGTAGCAAAGTATCGGACATCAACATCGTCATCCTGCTGAAGCTTCTCCAAGCTGGGCACAACCCTTGACTGAATCAGCTCCTGGCTCTGAGGTGCAGGTGTGATGGTTTCCTCAGACTTCTCAACCTCAACCAATGTCTTATCAGTCGGCAGACGACGCAGCGTAGCGATGATGACGGCATAAGACTTGGCAACGTTGAAACGAATGTTGGGGATTTCATCGCTAACCAGGCGCTCCAAAATAGGGAGAAGAGAGCTTTCAATGATTTCAAGTGTGACAACGGGGGTGAGAGTCTGTCAAAGTTAGCCTCAGGATCTTGGAATTAGTCGGATGAAAACTCACAGAGACAGCGAAACACGTGGTCATGCGGTATAGGTAGTTGGGGTGCTGGCCCATGGCCATAACCTTGGGGATAATAGAGGCTTTTGACCATTCAACGCCAAATACCTCTGTCAGCTTCTTCAAGTTCTCAGTGGCCGCCTCTCGGATAGAGAAGACAGTGTCTCCAAGCCAGCCCATGCAGAGATCGCTCAGCTGCTCATCGAAGAACTCAACTCCAAGTTGACTGGCGAGAAGAGGAATATATTCAATGATGGCAAGACGCACACGCCATTGCTTATCCTCGGCCAACTGAACAATGGCGGGAAGGAGTGACTGGGAGAGAAGCTGGATGCCAATGACTATACCTAATTAGCCGAAATCAACAGTGTTTAGATCATGTTAATTACCTTTGTTGACTTGCTCAAGCTTGGAAATAATGTGCAGTCGGACATCAGGGAATTCATCTTTGAGCATCTGGAGGAACATGGGAAGAAGGTGGGCAATGGTTCTGAAACGGTCAGTATTATTTCTGATAGAAAGCTGGGTCACTTACTCTTCCTTTCCAAGGATAGGGGCGAGCCCACTGATTTGGGTGCCGAGGGAGGCTCGGACGTGCTGAGAGGGGTCTGAGACCAGATCTTCCACACTAGTCATGATTTCATTGAGCAGAGTGTCCCGATCAATCAAATGGCAGAACCCTATTCCAAGTTAGACATACTTCATCCAGCACAGACTTGAACATACCGGGAATCTGGCCAGCAATGGCAGTGCGAACTTCGGCTTCAGTGTCCTTGAGGAGCTTCACGAAAGCGGGAACCATGTCCCGGGTGACAACCTCTTCGTGGACGGCCTTGGCAATCTGTGTGAGGTGTTAATAGTCTGATGTATAATCAAAATTCTGCCATAACACGCAAGACAAACCTTCTCATATCGATCAGCAACCATGTATCGGACTCTCCAGCTCTTATCCTCAAAGAGACTGCGCAGCGATGTCAACAAAACGCCATGGCTGGGCTGCTGCTCCTTGGGGATCTCCTCGGCAATCGCAATGAGAATGTCAACAGTAAGCAGGCGGACACTGTCCTGGTCGTCGCTCGCCAAGTATTGGAAGAGAGGAATTATTTCTTCAATGACGGTTTTGCTGTCCATTTCCTTCACGAACTTGGCCAAGTTGTTCGCCGCCTGTCGTCGCACCATCGGGGTTTCATCGTGTACCAAAGCTCCAAAGTGCTGTCGGAGAGACTGCTGTAGAGCCACTGGGGCCTTCTTGTATGGTGTGGAGTAGAGACCAGTCGCGGAGACCTTCGAAGTGAACCAGTCTGCCTTTGACAGGCGGAGGACAAGAGGGACAAAGTGCTCCTCGACTTGGCTCTCTGAGAGTTGCTCGCAAACCTTGTTAAGGGATTCGACGGCCTGTGCATCAAGAGAGGTCAGCGGTTGGCCATCGATAGGCGTATTTTGAACATACCTTCTCCCTCACCAAGGGCTCCTCAATGGCTGCCAAGTTCTCCAGCGGGGAGAGGAGCACGTGCGCGTATTCTGGACCTCCAACATATTCTGTGAAATTACCCAACTCCTCACTGAGCGCAGTCAAGACCTCATCCTCGTCCTCAACGGAATCTGTGATTGTTAGAGGGGTCCAGTCATTCTGGCGGAGAGCGGTGACAAACCATCAAGGAATGGAATGAGCTCCTCCCGGGTTCGATCGGGCCCGAGGGCAAGTGCGATCGTAGAGAGGCGGTGAATGGCATTGAGTCTGAGGAGCACATCGTCGTGCTAGTAAAGGAAGGATGTAAGCTTCATGATTCCCTCCACACGTATGCCGAGAGGGGGACAAATTTGTACCTTCAGCTCGTCAATGAGCACGGCAATAGGGTAGAGCTCATCATTCTCATTTTGACCTTCCATGGTGAATTTTGGGGTATTGGTGAAAGCTAGGCAAAAAAACGGTGTGCCTAAACGGCGAATATGCGACAGGTCCTTGGTCCTGAGGGAAGGGTCGGTCTCAGGTAGTTGTCGGACCTGACACGGTAGTCTGGAATACTGGCACTTTCAAAAGAAAGCGTATGGTGCGAGGCGAGGTATTTATGGAATAGCACCTGGTTCCAATGGGAGATTAGTTCCGATTATGCGGGCGCGATGAGATGGCAAGGGGATGGTCGGTGGTAGAGGTAAACCGGAGCGAGGTTTCGTGGGGTGTTGGGCCCGCATGGACACTAGCAGAGACATACCTTCGACAATTGAGATAGCACTGTGGTCGATAGGTACCACCTGAAATAGTAGATTTGAAGGATGAAGGTGAAGAAAAGAAGAAATAGAATGTCTTGATGTACCGCAAGAGCACCTGGAGAAGGTCGAGCTTTCGACTTTGTTGATGTAAATTACATACTGGCGGTGAAGGCGCAAATGAATGAGGGCAACGCCAAATGACCGTACCAATACTGCCTGCACATGAGGGGCATTTGATCTCATTTCGTCATGGGTTGTTAGTCTTTCACAGTGTGTACTTAAGTAGACATTATTTTTCGAGTAGTTCTACTATCTTATTTCTTAAGTACTTAAGTAAAGGATATTTTGGTCATGTCGATATAGTGTTATTTTGCTGTTCATACATCTTCACCAACATACACTATTACCGTGCTGTCTCACTACTTGTACTTGGTGTCAAATAGGAACTTTAGAACATGGAAATACCTTGAGTGACGGGATAATCTGTAAAATATCTCTAGATGCCAGTTTTTTTCTCTTGTGTCACTTGATAGTTGCAAAGGATATTCCGGGCTGATTATGGGGGGCTGATAACCGACTCTGTCTGCTTTGGAACTCGACGCCAGATGTACCTGGGCAAAATACGGGGATGGCGTTGTGCCCAAGAGCAAGCTTTACTTAGTAGAACTTTAGAATTTTCTGATCTGTAGAAGACATGCTTCAGCTGTAAAGGGTTCCACTTAATGTCAATATATACTTAAGTAGAAAGTCGAGGTACATATACATAGTCGAACACGGATAAATTGTACATGACGGGGGTATCTAAAATAGATGCTTCTAAATTTTTAAGTTAGATCAAACGTTGATGACAGATGCCATCTAAGAGAAGGAGAAATCCCAAAGATGAAAAAAATATATGAAGCTACTTAGGTTGCTTAATTGATGCGAAGTTGCTAAATTGCAGCCTCTTGTAGTACTTGTGTATACCCCTCCCATGCTCCCAAACCGCACACGTGACCTGTACTTTTCCCGGCAGAATTTCCAGATCGGAGTCATCAACGGCCTGTGTGCTTTTTCTTGTGATCCCATCCCAACTGGAATTCTGTACGATTTTACCCCTTGGAGCTACTGGAGATAATCTGTGGCCCCAGATCCCGCCATCCTCAACCCTTATTGACCGAAACCCAGAATTGCGCCGCATCAACCCCCACCATGCCCACCATTTCGGTCGACAAGGCCGCTCTTTTCAAGGAGCTGGGCCGAGAGTAAGAATTTACCGGTTTAAACACAAGTGTACCGTGCTGATAGACGGTTGCGCAACTTTAGGTACACCACTGAGGAGTTTGATGAGTTGTGTTTCGAGTTCGGTGAGTAGTCTAGATATTCTTGCGCGGGCATAGGCTGATCATGTCCAACAGGAATTGAGCTCGACGAGGATGTATGTTGACATATCACGAAACGTTTTGACTAAGGCTAAACCTCCCAGACCACCGACCAGGACCGCCCTATCGTCGACGGAGTTCAAGAACCGCCTCAGCTCAAGATCGAGATTCCCGCCAACCGGTATGCTCGGCACCAGACAGAAAGAGATTGGATATGTGCTGATCTCTCGCAGATATGACTTGCTGTGCTTCGAGGGCATTGCGCTCATGCTCAACATCTTCTTGGGCCGAGTCTCTCTTCCCGAATACAAGTTGACCCAGCCCGCAAAGATGGAGCAGATCATTGTCAAGGAGGATGTACGTATACTCAGGCAAGCCCCCGAAGACATCAATTGACAAGCGGTAGACCACGAAAATTCGTCCCTACGTTTCAGGTGCTATTCTCCGAGGTGTGAAGTTCGACCAGGCTCGTTATGAGTCGTTCATCGCCCTCCAGGACAAGCTTCACCAAAACTTGGCCCGCGCCCGAACTTTAGTTTCCATCGGTACTCACGATTATGACACTGTCCAAGGACCTTTCACCTACGACGCACAGGCCCCCAAGGATATCAAGTTCACTCCTTTGAACCAAACCCAGGAAATGAACGGCGAGGAATTGATGAACTTTTACGAAAAGCACCAGCAGCTGGGCAAGTATTTGCACATCATTCGCGATTCCCCAGTCTACCCTGTCATCTACGACTCCAAGAAGACCGTTTGCTCTTTGCCTCCCATCATCAACAGCGACCACTCCAAGATCAGCCTGAACACCACCAATATCTTCATTGAAATCACAGCTCTCGACCGCACAAAGCTCGAGATTGTGAACAGAATGATGGTCACCATGTTCTCCCAATACACCTCGGAGCCTTTCACCATCGAGCCCGTCCAGATTGTGTCTGAGCACAACAACGAGACTCGTGTCACCCCCGATATCGCTCCCCGCACCGCCCACGCCGAGGTCTCTTACATCAACCAGTGCTGTGGCTTGGAACTCAGCCCCGCTGAGATCTGCACTAAGCTCACCAAGATGTCTTACCGTGCCAAGCCGTCCACAACTTCTCCCGACATCATCGACGTGGAAATCCCCCCAACCCGTGCCGATGTGCTTCACCAATGTGATATTATGGAGGATGTGGCTATTGCCCACGGTTTCAATTCGCTTCCCCGTGCTTTCCCCCAAATTTCTGGCACAATCGCCCAGCCTCTCCCCATCAACAAGCTTACCGACATTGTCCGTGTGGAGACTGCCATGGCTGGTTGGTCTGAAGTTATGCCCCTCATTTTGTGCTCGCACGATGAGAATTTCGGTTGGTTGAACCGCAAGGATGACGGAAACACCGCCGTCAAACTTGCCAACCCCAAGACCACTGAATTCCAGGTTGTTCGCACAAGCTTGCTCCCTGGTCTCTTGAAGACCATCCGTGAGAACAAGCACCACTCTGTTCCCATGAAGATCTTCGAGGTCAGCGATGTCGCCTTCAAGGACCTGTCCATGGAGCGCAAGAGCCGCAACGAAAGACACTTCGCTGCTGCATTCTACGGCAAGAGCGGTGGTTTCGAAATTGTTCACGGTCTTCTTGACCGTGTCATGGCCATGCTCAAGACCGCCTTCATCACCGGCGAGGAGGGCCTTGAAAACTCCGCCGTAACCGATTCCCAGTATTATATCCAAGAGACCGATGGTAAGTTTGCATGCAAAACTCTTTACAAGAATGACCTTACTGACTTAATAGAATCTACCTACTTCCCCGGCCATGCTGGCTCCATCCACGTCCGCATTGGTGGCAAGGATCAAGTCATTGGTTCTTTCGGTGTTCTTCACCCAACGGTGCTGGAGAACTACGAGCTCAAGTACCCTGTTAGTGTTCTGGAGCTCAATGTCGAGGCTTTCCTGTAGGGTTTCATTATATCCAAGAGCATGGAACAGATAAATGATGACACGAGGAGGATGATCATGTCCAGTTTGATAGAGCCGCAAAGGCCAAAAGCAATGAAAAAAAAGTACATAAATCAACATCAAGTGCATTTCTTTCAAATTCTGGAATCTGTATTAATATTACACGCAGCCAATCCTCTAGCATGGTAAGGGCCTCAAAAGGTCAGAAACTTGAAGAGTATTGATAGAGTCTATCTTGATGATAAAAGTACTTTGATGGGCTTGATGTAGCCGGTGTGAGCCCAGGACAACGAGGCATGGGAATGGGTCATTCCCCCCAGGCAGAGGTTTGAATGACCACAGGCACCATATGTATCGAGGAAACCAATATTCACAAACGAGAAGGGTATTCGAATTAAAGCAGAGAAATGAAGAATGGGAAATCAAGCCGTGGTTGAGCCATCCAATGTCCGTTAAGTCACCAGTTAGGCCGTGAAGGATTGCTGCCGTGGAACACAAGAGCCTAATTGGGACCGATGTGAACTGTCAATATTACTTTTGTCCATCATCCAATCGCTGACCACGGTGCGAGTAAAAATTGGTCTGCTTAATATGCCTGGCCTTGCCAGTTCGTTCATCATAGATACAGAATCCATGAATAGCGGCGTTGGGAGGCGTGTAGACTATGCCGGTTAGCATAAGATCAATGAAGTCCCCATTTCAAGAATCAGACATACGATGCAGAGAGACAGCAAAGTCATTAAGGTCAGGGTTGGAGATGCGATGTAAACCAAGTTTGTCGGACATGTATGTCACTTGATTCTCGCCATAGATAGTTTGTTTGGTTAGTTGCGGAGGGCACTTCTCGCCATTTTCGATCTGCTTTTGGTTGGGCCAAGAGTAAAGATCTTCTTGGAGTCTGCCTTTGAGGATCTTTTCAGAAGTCAGGGCTGTGAATTTCAATCAAGAAGAGATTTCAAATACCTTCATCACACAATGTGCGTTTGCATGATCATGTATGGTACTTCCTTTGCCAGGACTCCATACGAGGATCAACTAGGCATGTTAGACTTTATTCATCAAGCTTGGGTAACCTGGCTCGCCATACCAGATTGCTCTTGCCGTTCCCTTCATCGATGAGATTTCTTGTGTACGTCCTGCTCGCATCTTCTAGAGCATAGGAAGACCACTCATCTGGATTTGACGTGTATTTCTCCATCAAAAGTTGTATTTGCATGGGGTCGACGTCGCTAGAGTCAAGGCCTGAGCTCGGACCTAGAGCAGCGCTTAAATCCTGCACGAGCTTCTCGAAGACATCGATGCCCGCCTCAGTGCCTAGCGGCACCTCAGACTCATTGTTGAGGTATGGCATTGTAGGCAAGTATGCTGATAGAAAGAATAAGGCTGAACGCTGGAAATCTGCGGTGTTGTCAGAGCGGTATCGGAAGTCGATGGTGCAATTTGAGGAAGGAAGAGCTCCCAGATCAACGCGGTGTATTTCCAAGCGACAGATGAGAGCTATGAGTAGAATAATGTATGAATACTTGCAGTAAGATCAAACAAACAGCACAATTGGCAATTGAGCCTGGCAACTCGCACTTCACAGGTCTGCCTCAGGCAACCTATGACATAATTGCCCTTGTTGCCTGAGGCAGACACCCCGCCCTGACTAAAAATGCGGTGCCACAAGAAAGATTAACATTTGAAGTGCTTTCTTTCTCCGAAGTTGTCGCTCGACTACGCTGGTTCTTAGCGAGGGACACATTCAATTTATCGCATCCTTGGGGATCCTCACTTTTGTCCGTGGTGTTTTTTTTGACCATAGGGTCTTCACGCCAAAATGTCGACCACCATTGAAAAGGTGAGTGCGGTCCCAGAATTTTACCCATGGCGTCACAGCAAGCAATTTACTTACAATGGCTTTTTTCCACCACAGATCAAGGAGATCGAGTCCGAGATGGCTCGGACTCAAAAGAACAAGAACACCTCGTTCCATTTGGGTACGCGCGCACACCGACACCTCTTCGCCGATGACGTGCCCTCGCTGACAACCCACAGGACAACTCAAGGCCAAGCTTGCTAAGCTTAAGCGTGAACTGTTGACCCCTAGTGGAGGAGGTGGTGGCGGTGGTTGTGAGTATCTCCAATCCGCAGGGCAGATTTTGCATGCGCTAACTCTACCCAGCCGGTTTCGATGTTGCGCGTACTGGTGTCGCCAGTGTGTAAGTTATGCGAATATGATTGTGACAGCAGCGTGCTTATTCTCGCAGTGGTTTCATTGGTTTCCCGTCTGTTGGAAAGAGTACCCTGATGAACAAATTGACTGGCCAACACTCAGAAGGTTAGTATCGCAAGACGTTCGGAAATGTCCTCACTAACCTGTTGCAGCCGCGGCCTACGAGTTCACAACCCTTACGACTGTCCCCGGTCAAGTGATGTACAACGGTGCTAAGATTCAGATTCTCGATCTTCCTGGTATTATTCAAGGTGCCAAAGACGGAAAGGGTCGTGGTCGTCAGGTCATTGCTGTGGCCAAGACTTGCAACCTCATTTTCATTGTCCTTGACGTGAACAAGCCTTTGGTTGATAAGCGAGTCATCGAGAACGAATTGGAGGGCTTCGGTATTCGAATCAATAAGAAGCCCCCCAACATCCTGTTCAAGAAGAAGGACAAGGGTGGTATTTCTATCACCAGCACTCAGCCTTTGACTCACATTGACAGTGATGTAAGCCTCCAGCACTATCGGATAACATGTGAATGGATACTAACGGTGACCAGGAAATCAAAGCTGTGATGAACGAATACAAGATTTCATCTGCTGATATCTCCATTCGATGCGATGCCACTATTGATGATCTGATTGATGTTCTGGAAGCGAAGTCTCGCAGCTACATCCCCGTTGTTTACGCACTAAACAAGATCGATGCCATCTCCATCGAAGAGTTGGATCTTTTGTACCGAATTCCCAACGCCGTTCCCATCAGTTCAGAGCACGGATGGAACGTCGACGAGCTGATGGAAATGATGTGGGAAAAGCTCAAACTGCGCCGAATCTACACCAAGCCCAAGGGCAGAGCACCCGATTATTCGGCACCTGTTGTGTTGCGTTCATATGCATGCACAGTGGAAAACTTCGTAAGCATGCATTGGTCCTTCCGAGGCTTTCCTTTTCTGACAATGGCCCGTAAAACAGTGTGACTCTATTCACCGAACCATCAAGGACGACTTCAAGCACGCCGTTGTTTACGGTCGTTCAGTGAAGCATCAACCGCAGCGAGTTGGTCTCTCACACGAACTTGCTGATGAAGATATTGGTAAGTCTCAGCTCACATTCAGCTAGGAACCCCAAACTGACTAGCTACAGTGTCGATCGTCAAGCGGTAAAGGATTTTCGATCAAATCCTTAACCCCACAGCCCGTAAGCAGCGAGCTGATCCAAGCGCTGGGGGTGGCAGGTGGTCTGTGCAATGTCTTTGCGCCTTCGCGATCTGACAGGCACGGCGATGGGGACAGCTCCCCGTAAGACGCCACCGGACCCGAATGCGGATGGATAGATTCAAGCACGGGCAAGATCAATGGGGAAATTGAGTCACGCTTTTTTGACATTCAATCAATCAGGCGTCAGTACCCGGATAGCTGCTTCTGATTGATTTTTTGGTTTGCCTCTATTGGTATAGTGCGATTTGGGATTCGATGAACTCATGTCAGGCTTGCCAGGGGTCACACAGGCCCAGGGACACGAGGCGAGAAAAAAAAAAGAGACAGGGTATCTTTGATATCCTTGGCACGCAGTCATTTCTTTGTTCATTTTGTGGCCCCTTGAAGCGACCAGTCCATATTGTTACGATTACCCTTTCTTTAGGAGACTCTTTGTGTCTCTTTGTCCAGCGCAAAAGTTTTTGAAGATCTTTTATTCAATCAATCTAAAGGCCTCTACATTGTAGAATTGTAGTCCATAGATAACTAGGCAAGCCCTCAGTTTCGGTTCTATTGCTTCTCCACGTAATCGGCGTGAGAGCCCAATGGATCAAGCCACAGGATTTGCCTTGTCGGCATGCAACTAAGTATGCGCGCGAGAAATTTTACCCCGTTAGGCCAATGAATCGACTTCCTCAAAAATCGCATCATGCAACGCCATGCTCTTATCGTTCTATACAAACCCTACAGACCCCTGGACTTTACCGAGGATTCCTGCATGGAGCCTGTCGAGGGCTATCCGATTGGTATCCCCTTACCATACTTCCCGTCCTGCGCATATCTAGTATTTAAGTCTGTAGCCCGTAATTTTCAACTTTTATATGCCTGCAGATGGCTTGATTCCTGTGATCTTATTGCTTTTTCCATTTTCTAATCCCCGTCGCTTGCCCGGCTGACGAGTCAGGCACCGAAACTAGTGGCCCTAAGTCTAGACAGGTCTTTCATTTACGTCTGTCGATCACCATGTCAGGTTCAAAGCTCCGAAGAAAATCGATAGCTTCGACGGAAGGGCCGGAAAGGCAATTATGGTGTGCATTGTGTGCAGAGAAGGGCCGCGACTCAACGCATTGACCTACGGGCTATAACTTCGGCAACGTTGATCATGGTCGCGTATACTAGTGAAGGCCCACGAGAGCTTCTTGAATTTGACTTTAAAAAAAGAATGACAGAGACATCCGATAGGTCCAAATACGCTAAATGATTACGATACTAAAAGTTCTCGAGGGACCCCGCCTGGGCCATGCAAGGAATCAAAATGGGATCTGTCAACCGACTAGCACGTTTTCTGTCTTAGCCTCTAGTCTTTTCCTTGGGGCAATTGCTCGGTACCAAAATCTGAGGAGAAACAGAAAAAAAAGTACAGATCTGCAGATTTGTATGCAAACTGCATGCCACAACCCACTCAACAGTATTGAATCCCACCAAACAGAAAAAAGCAAAAAGTGAGGCAAATTAGAAAATTCCTCTTGCAACAAGCGGTGTATACAAACTTGTACGGCGAGGAAATCGGTTGGGTTGAGAACGTTTATCTGATCGACTCCACTAGAACGTGCCTTTGGGCTAGGGTTATGTACGAGTAGTTACAGACATGCATTCCTACACACCCAATGGCAGAGGCTGTACTAGTACGCCTTCTCATGAACCTGTCGACGGAGACTTTCCTGAGGTGGAGTATCTCCCGCAAATCGCCGATCTAGTGTGATAATGAAAACATTGCACTAAATGGGGGGCTGTTCACGATCTGGTCTGTTCTCAGATTGAAGATCGGCAAGCTATACCGTATGTTTACCCAGTATACTATAGTACAGAGTATATACATCTTAACTAGTATATTGAATACACATGTAAGTTATTGAAGCTTCATCAGGTGACTGTCAGGACACCAATCCCCGACAGACCTACATTCTATTCTCGTGGTCCCATCGGTCATCCCCGTCGCATTGCATTGCATGAAGCCATGCTCTTCCCCGGAGTCATGGCCCGAGGTACTATAGATTATGTCATGGAGTTGGAGTAAGTTCTACCTTGGAAGTTCCTTTGATTTCACTCCGAACTTCAGCCTTCTACGAGTAGCAACAAGCAAAAAAAGCAAAAAAATAAAATAAAAAGCAACAGACATCTCAAAACTGGTTCGTCTCTACCTAGTATCACTGTCTTCCGACTTTATCCACTATTATCCTATAGGCCGACAGAAACGAGTCTTCACAACTCGCCGGAGATGGCCCGCGCAGGATTATAACGGCCTAAGGTCTGTCGATCGGTACCTGACTCGAGGTCGTACCCTTGCACTCAAATTGTGCCTGTTCCTGCTTCTGTCCAACGGTAATTTGAGTCAGAGCTTGATTGATCTTGACAGCCAAGAAATGACGGTCCAAATGGAAAGAAGCAAATATACGAATTGGCCCGTCAACACAGGGCGATTTTAATCCTGACCGGTCTAGACTTCCTTGCTCCGAAATAAGGAGATGTAATTGTAAGGGTGGCTTCAAAGATCAACCGAAATTTCCCCCATCAATGGCGTCAGCCCATGATCAACCTACATTTCATACTGGACTGGCCGTGGAACTCGATTCATCTTTTGGACATTGTGTGAGAAACATCAATCTCTCTAGAGCTAAACTAAAAGCAATTTTTACTTAATTTAATTCCGCTAATATCGCTTCCTTGCTTTTTTCAGTTCGGCCGATCTTACTGGCGAAAAGTAACTAAAACCGACGACAGTAAGCCTGATGATTGGCACTGCGACCGAATCAGCCCCCTCGGCCGTCAAACGTATGCTATACCCTATGCGGAGTGCGGATTATTCGTACAGAGCATTTTGGGGTTAAATTGTCAAGTCAAAGGCAACCTTGTTTGCTTCTTGACTTTACTTTTTTTACTTGACTTTTATTTCATTGTAGTTCATTCATTTTGTGGTTTATGCACGACGAACAATATTTCGAAGCCATTCCACGGTTCAACAACTAGCAAGCGCATCTTTCCTCATGGTTCGGCTAAGCGGGAACTCGTATTGGACACTTGGATTTGAAAACTTGGGTAGCATTGACTAGACCCGCGTCCGAATGGGAATCCCGCTCGATAGGACCGGAGCAGTATAGGACCAGAGAGATAGCCCCTATTCCAACGTTTGAGCGCCCTAACACACCAGATTCCATACCCCTATTGCATCTCATGGACTCAATTGGCTCTATACATATTCTACAGAGTTCATAGAAAGACTACTTAGAAGCAAATTACATCAACATGTTGAAGGTTGCCGGCCCGGAGGGGACCGCAGTGGGTCGGTGGAGCAAACGAGCGCTGAAAAGCGCCAGAGAAAAGGAAAAGAAAACGCTCATTGGAGGTTCTTCCCCTCTTTTCCTGACTGTCCTCAAATGCCTTCTATGCCTTATGATAGGGCGAATCTCCAACCTACTGTTCGGCCCTTGTATTCGGTCGTATCAACCGCAGGGCCATCTCTACATCGGATTCGTCCATCCATAGATGATCCATGCTGCTCCTCATTTGGTCCTCTTGACCGTGTCGTCTCTCGTGGATTTCTGATGCGGTTTTAAATGTTGAACTCAAGATCGGCACGTCCTTCACCTCCATAATCTGGCCCCAGTCTAGCAATAGTCCCATGGACGCAGTCTGTCCAATCTAGGGATTTGCTCACTACCCGACTCCATGATTTGTGTTTACCTTCGAGACCTCGGACCCATCCTATTTCCTCATTTCTTCACAGCCTGGGGGCCATCAATTCGTCACATGGACATGCCGATGAATTGGATCGTTGGTTCTTCGGCTCAACGGTTTGCCAGACGACAAGGGTGACTTTTTCTGGCTGAAACCATGCTCGATGCTGCACTGTTGCCCTGCTCCCGGTCCACTCTGATCGCCCTGTACGCCCCCACGGATGTCATGCGGACCTCAAGGTTCAGCGGTTTTTCGATCCGCTCTCGTCGGGCAAATCAACTCCGATCTAGGCTGTGCTTTTCACCGAACCTCGTTCTTCCCCCGGATGATCGACCCTGATTTGACGGGGGTGCCCCTTCGGCCCCTCAGCAAGCCTCACCAAAGCGAGACGAAAACGGCCAGCCACGGTGAAGGGCCTCGTCCATCAGAGTTTTCGATAAGTGGAAAACGTTGAGCAGTTTATGCCGAACACTCTTCGGGTATGTACGAGTAAGATGGGTACCTACATTTGGGTATCTACTTTAGATTGTCAGTATAAAACATATAGACTTTAGTTCGAGGAGGACAGTCCAAAAGAGTAAAAGCAGAGAAAAATCAAAGTCAAAAGAAAAAGACAAGAAAAGAAAAGAGAGAAAAGAGAGAAAAGCAAAAAGACCACAGCCAAGAAGAATTTCCATACTCGTACGAGTATACGGTGTAATACGTAAAACCAAATCAGGCCTGACGAGATGCAACCCCCCTGCCGCAATATATGGTAGGCCAACCAACCAGAAACCAATGCCCCCCTCTCAAGTTACCTATTTACAGGGATCTTTTTAAATTTGCAAGTTTAAATCCAAATACAAAAAAAAAAATAGAAATAAAAAAAGAAATCCCAAGACGCTATAGTATGTATATTATACACATAATATGTATAATATATAGGATACGAGAATATTCAATTCTGTTTTAGGGGTTTTCTTGCTTTTTTCCCCCAAGACCAATCAACCTATGTAGGGATTATAGGTTATCATGATTTCTCCGTGGCCCTCTTAGTTGCAATCAAGATTCAACATTTGATTTTCCTCTTTAACTTGCCTCACCTCTTGACTTCAGGACCTCTCTATACTTACTTAAGTATATACTTTGAGCTCCAGGTTCAAGCTTAGTCAATAGCTTCCTCATCTCGGGACATTACTCTGCTACAATCGCACCGGTAATTTGATACAGGTCAACAGTGGAACATGCATCAGCTCTTATTGTCTCACTAGATTGTCTCATTGTTCCCCCGTTTCTTTTGTCTCTTCTTTGCCTACCGAGCCCTACCCCACCACAAAGGACTGCAATATTCCGATGGACGATTCCTCCATGGAAACTGAGACTCATGCGCCGGACGGCGAGTTCCCACACTCCCCATGGGTGGAAGTAGGCGCATTTGCTTCTCCACAGCACTCGCCTCCCATGCCAGAATATAGTGGTTTCGACTTTGGTCCGCCGATGATGGTGGATTCTACCTATGGCATGTCGATACCGCCACCATATGCCACCATGCCACTGCCTATGCCTTCGCACTCCTGGCCTAGTATGCTCGCCACGAATTCGCCATTTCCCGAGACCGGCATGCATGTTTCCGCCCCGACTTCCGTTTCACCTACTACGCCTATCTTGCCGGTGCGAAAGACTTCCACTGGAGGTTCTACGCCGAGAAGAACCCTGACCGACGAGGACCGCCGACAGATGTGTCTGTATCACGAGGAAAATAAAACTGCCAAGCAGACTGATATTGGAGGTAAGCACGTTTGATTCGTCAGAGTCACGGGACCCAAGGCTGACTTGTTCTAGCATTGTTTGGAGTTGAACGAAGGTATTTCTTTTTGGGTTTGGCATGTTTTAGATGATCCAACCTGACTGACTCTTCTTTCTAGCACTGTCTCCAAGGTCTTACGCCAGAAAGAGAAATATCTCAACCCGGATGATGGAAATCGATCTCCCATCAAACGTGCCAAAGGGAGAGTCCCTGATATTGAGAAAGCCCTTTCCAACTGGGCAAGAAACTACCAAAGCCATGGATATCTTCTTAACGACCAGCTGATCAAGGAAAAGGCTCTTTTCTTCGCCAGCACGTGCGGCTGCCCGGAAGGCAAGGAAAAAGTCTGTACCACAGCCTGGTTGGAAAAGTTCAAGCACAAAAACAACCTACTGGGTGCCAAGGTGCGCAGAGGATCTGCTCAGCGAAGTAATTCCAACAGCCCAACCAGGATCAACACCGATTTTGGATCTGCCTTGCAAAGTCCAACAAGCACCTCACCAAAATCTCCCGTTGATGGATTTGGATCCCCATTATCCCCCAAGAGCCAAGAAGGCATCAAGCGGGATATCGCAGACGCACTACCCGATCTGACCGGCGGTTACCAGCACGGCTACCCCAAGGGCACCACCTCGCTTGATACTTCCTCCGTGGGGATGATAAGCCCAACTTCAACCCTGGTCTCGGACAGTCCCTTCACACCAACCAGCCAATCTCGTCTTCCCAACAACTCCAACCGGCCGCGCAGCCAGACTTTCCCCCTCCCAATCGACCCAACCCTGCTTTTGGCCGATGACCACATGGAACAACTTCACAAGGGCAATGGTGAGCAACAACCTCTTTCCATCGCCACTCTGGAGTCCCCCCTGGAGATGGACGACTCAAAACACTTGTTTGAATGTCCAAGTGTCACCAAGCGCAGCCACAGCAAGCCGAACATCAAAATCAAATCCATGCCTCCGCCACCAAAGTCCAACACCATTTCGCCGATTAGCTCACCCGGCTCACCAACTCAAGACGAGGCTCGCCGTGCTCTCGAATTAGTCCTGAACTATTTCGACCACCAGCCTGCCGGCCTTGCCACCCATGAGTATTTGACCATGGGCAGGCTGATGGAGAGACTGGATCTCACCAGAAGCCAAGCGGGTATGATACTGAATGGCTTGCCGCGCATTGACGAGCACGACGATATCCCTCGCGTGACCAAGAAGAGAAGCATCCACAATCTTGGATGAGTCTTGGTTGCATTTTTTCTTAAGTTTTTCGTTTGCAGTTTCTCCCCTCTACCTTTTTTGTTCTTGTGATTCCCCCTTCTCTTCTTTCTTTCATTTTTGGCGGTCAATTGTTCTATATGATTTCTTCATGTCTTTGTACGAATGTTCCCATCTCTCTCCCCCTTGCCACTGGGAGAACCCCCGGCAGCCCAGAGAGAGAGAACAAAAAAACGAAAACGAAAAAAAAAGCATACACCGATATCCAGAGGGCAACCTCTATCTTCCCTTTGTTATGGGATCTTGGAACCGGCGCACACTCGGAGATAGTCTCAACGAGGTCTATGCATATGGGATGGGCACATGGCAATGTGGTACACGATCTGGGCCCTTGTTGAACGGGGAGTCATGTTTTTTTCTTTTCCTTCGGGTTTTTGCTTTTGCTTTTGCTGTTTGCTATATCCTCTTTTGTTGCATATCATCCCCTCTTACACTCTTGTACTGCATCTTCTTACGCTCTTTTCCTTATTATCATTTCTTTTTCTGAGTTCCTTAAACTGGACCGCTCACGCGGAAAGAACATAATTTCACTGGCTCTCTTACACGAGCCTGCATGTCAGATTAGTCTCTTTACCCCCCTTTTTCTTGTTCCTACTTTCCTTTATCTTGACCTCTATTATACCCCATTTCCCCTTTTGGTTTTTTTTCCCTTGGACAATCGACCTGTTTTGGCTATTTCATCTTGGATCTTATGCTGGTCATAAGCAGGGCATATCACATTAAAATTTAAGTCTGCTAAGAACGAGTACCAGTGAACAGTAATCTATACAGATAGGCATTAAGAGTTAAAAGGTAGGTGCTGGTGTTACTCCACGATCCTCCATCAAGTCTCGCACACTGTGTTCGGTCATCTCGGGGAGGATTTTGGCCAACACTACCTCAATAATGGAGTATACGAGATGCTTGTTGCAGTATTCATCAGCAAAGACATCAAGAAGATCATTCTCGATCATTTCCGTGAGATACAGCGTCTCGAGATCGATCTCCTCGGGTTGTTCGTCTGTGCGCAGCCGCTCAGCGGGAACATCACCGCTCTCCACGCTGGGACGGGTCGATATCGCCGAGTGCGATGACGAAAGCGGATCACTCCCCTGAGGCCAAGGTCCATCCCCGCTGATAGAGGGTGGGGAAGTGGCGAGACAGGGCGAGTTGTTGGTGCTGCAGGTACCATCACTGCTGTAGGGCGGAGATGCCGATGAGGGGACACCAAAGAAAGTTCGTGCGACGGTACGCGGCATCAAAGCGACCAGACTAGCTGCACATCGCCGCTTGATAGCGGCGATCTCTGTTTGCGATGGACGGGCCTTTTTTTCCGTTTCGGTTGGCTTGTCCAATGTTGAGTCGGCAGCAACAGAGGCAAGTGATGCTGGCGCTGTTGGTCCGCCACTATTGCCGCCGGTTCTGGGATATTTCTTACCAGTGATATGACCACCCCTGACTCCTTCCGTAATAGGGGCATCAAGTGCTAGAGTGACGGCTTTCTGACTGGACGTCTGCACAGATTGCGGAGTCGAAGCTCTAACATCCACGGGCTGAGACTGACGGCCATTGGCTGGGAACAGGGCTGTCCTTGTCGCAAGAAGAAGGTTGGGCAACAAAGTGGGGGTGAGCACGTACTCCTCAATGGTCTCCCGTAGGAATCTGTGGAGTTAGCATTTCTCAAATCATGACGTAGGAAAGATGAGCAATTAAAAAAAAGACAATAAAAAAACAATATAACAATATAACAAAAAGGGTAATAAGAAGAGTGAAGCGAAAATGCCTCTCGACTGTGGAGCTCCCGGGACGTTGTGCCTTTTTTTTCGCGCATATTTTAGTTCATGACTTGAGGTCAAAGTCACCAAATAAGAACCGACCGTATAGAGTGGGGGGAGGCGGAGCAAGATCGGCTTAGGCATGAGATGCGAAAGGAGCTTGGGCCAGGTGCAAGGATCAGATTCTTTCCAAGGACGTCAAAGAAAGTGACCCTTCAGCGGGTAGCATCCTGTACCTGGCGCACAAGCGGGCTTCATGCACGAGCCTCGGTCGAATTGCGAATTCCCAACCTCCCCGAGACGAATTTCGCTCATTGGACAAAAGCCAGTTAATTCACTAGCCTCGGGGCTTCTTTTTGTTTTCTCATGCAAGCGCCGAAAGCCAGTGCAGTTCCACCGATGGGGTGATCGACATCAGTCCATTTTCTTGAATCCTTTCGGTCGTGCACCTTTTAGCCCCCTTTTTTCTGCCAAGGGAAGATTCGGTCCGCGATGATTTTCATTTGCACTCTTCCAGCTGCAAATCAAATTTCCTGAAAAGTTGGCACATGTCGCAATCTCAAGTTTCGCGCAGAAAAGTGGACAGCGCGGCACGGAAAGGCCCGGGCCCTGGCGCTATCACACACAAGGGACTTCTCTTTTTTTTTTCTCAAAGAAAGCCAAAGCGACGGGGACGGGCAGCCCATCCCTGCTCGAAATCCGAGGTTCGCTCGGACCAGGTCGACAGCAGCCAATCTGATGTCAGAATGGGCTAGTAAGCCTGACGGTAATGACCGTACAGTAAGCAGACATCGTAAAGTTGTAAAATAACAGTACGAGTCAGCGGTAATTTCCGTCTTTTCCCCAAGGTCACAAGCAGGTCAAGTGATCGATGCAGTATGCGAGCAAGAATGCTCACTGTCCCACCTTGAATCGCACAAGTGACACTTTGACCTGAAGATCGTGGTTCGGAAGATCGCACCGTTTGCTCCACAGTCGAGCATTCATTTCCCAGGAAGGCTCGAGCCCTGAGGGGAAAGGCTTGGAAATTCGCAGTAGGCACCGGAGATAAGAAATCATAGTAGAACTCACCTATCAAGTACCCCGTCCGTCTCACCGACCCTGCCTGGGCCTGCCAGAATAAGGTGTTGGAAGAGAGCGAGCAACCCACTCAACCATGGCATCCTCCGAGGAACCCCTAGTATTCGCGAAACCATGGAATATACCCGATAGTCCAGCACTGGGCGCTTACTTGTGACGTCCCTGCTATCGATCCCACCGTTCTTCTGGCCCTCGAATGCCGTAGAGGCAACTGAGACACCAACACCGTGCGAGGGGCCTGGACTCGATGCGACACGGAAGAGGCCAATCGCAATGAAACGCAAGGCGACGTAACCGATGTAGATAGTTTGCAGAACGTTCCATATCCAGGCCGTGGCGGGCAATGACGCCGATGGCTGGACCTCGTCCTCGGTCGAGAGTAGGCCAAACTTCTCCAATCGGTTGATTTGCGAGTCCGGGGCACCCTTGGTGTCATCCGGTTGGTTCTTATCCCCTCGAACGGCGAGTTTGGCTATAGTTTCCCAAATGAACCACCCTTCGCATGCTCGGCCGCTGATTTGATTGCCCAAGATGAGGTCAGCTATGACATCGACTACCAAAGCTCTGAGGCTACTGTTCTCAAGGTCTTCGGTAGGTAGTAAAACCGCCAGACTGCCATTAGCTAGTAGCCTTCGATACGCTGCTTCATTCTCGCTCTGCTCGGTGATCGTGTCTGGATCTTCTGCATCAGGCACGGGAGATAGACCAGGGTGTGGGTTAAGCTCATGAAAGAGAGCACGGTGTGACGTGGGTAGACCAGACAAATGTGACTGTCGCCTAGCCAGCCTGTACGCTGCAGGGTTGATAGTCAGTATAAAGTTTCCTCACAGTTTCCCCTCTCTGCAGTATAACCAAGAACACCGCAAGGAAGGATTTTGGAACAGTCGAGTCTCACAGTGTACATGTGCTTCCACAAGCATTGGAATTTCGTCCAGGGCCAGTTGTGCAACGTCGATTTGGCGCAGCCTTTGTTCAAGTGCACGCGTGCAATGTGCGATTACTTGTAGGACTTCATTCACAAGAGCCTGGTCAGAAGTGATTTTGGAGTACCACGAGTAGACAAATTCTTTTATTATTATGGCGAGGAGTGCATAAAGTTGACGGTCGACGTCATTGGAGCTCGTGAGGGGAGGTAACAGCTCTTCCGGAGGCTGTGGAGAAGACGCTCCATAACTGCTATTCTGAGGGCACAGGACGCGTCTGATGAGGGCAGTAGTGGCCTTTTCACTGGCTGCATCTGCATCATCTTTGTTCGATATTCGCTTGGAGCGCAGCCGGGAGGAAGGACGCGACGGAGGTTGTAGTGTCGTTGTGGATGGCAGCGCGGTGGATCTGGAGCTAGAGGTTGTCGGCCCAGCCTTGAGATGGGAGACCGGCTGCAGGCCGGGGCGATAAGAATCGGTCATCTCATCACATAGCCATATGACCGAGTTGACTTGATACCAGTAAACACAGGGAATCCTTGCTGCAAGAGGAAGTGTGAAGCCAGTGACATCAAAAGTTAAACGTGGCTTAGTAAGGCGACATGCGATAAGGGCTTATCGCGATAACCCTCCATTGATGCGGGGATCGTGTTCATAAACACCTGGGTCTTTTTGTTCTATTTTCCCTCTTTGAACTTGTGATCGATTTTGAGAATACACAATGACAGTCTCAGCCAGTCAATACAGCGCTACTCCCTTGTGGCTGGACTGTGATCCTGGTTTGTAAATTTATCTCCGCCACGGTACCTTTGCTAACCCCGACCAGGCCACGATGTAAGCTATGAAGATGTCCTAGAAAGTGATACCCTGGTACTGATACTTCAAAGGATGCCTTTGCAATTCTGATAGCCGCTCATCATCCCGGGCTGAATCTTCTCGGCATCAGCACCATCCATGGCAATGCTTCCCTAGAGAAGACAACTGCCAATGCAGGCAGTATTTTGACGGCCATTGGTAAACCTGATATCCCAGTCTATCCTGGTAGTCAGAAGCCTTTCTCTCGACCAGCCTTACATGCACCTGACATTCATGGTGGGTCTCATAATAACTCGATATAAACATCTTTAATGACAACAATCAAGGCGAATCGGGGCTCGATGGAACCGACCTCCTACCCAAAGCTGCTAAACCACCCATCACCGATAAAAACACCATCCTGACTATGAGAGATGCTCTTCTGGCCCAACCGAAAGGATCTCCCTGGGTGGTTGCTACGGGGACTTTGACCAACGTGGCCTTGCTGTTTGCAACCTTCCCCGAAGTCGTGGAGCACATTGCAGGACTGAGTCTCATGGGCGGTGCCATTGGTGAAGGGTTCACCGATGCTCCCATGAGTCGAATTCCTGGTGAACATACCAGAATCGGAAATGTGACACCATGGGCCGAGTTCAATCTATACGTTCGTCTTTCGTCTCACCCCATATGTTGATCAAAACACTGACACAGATCATCACCAGTGCGATCCAGAGTCTTCAGAATCCATCTTCAGTAACCCAGCTCTAGCTGCCAAAACAACCATCATTGCTTTGGACCTGACACATCAGGTATTGGCCTCTCAGGCCGTTCAGACCCGTATCTTGCATGGCTCGATTCACTCGAACGAAGAGCCAACCATCCTTCGACAAATTTTGCATGCACTGCTGACTTTCTTTGCTGCAACATACGAGAAGGCATTTGGTCTGAACACTGGCCCTCCTCTACACGATCCCTTGGCCGTGGCGGTGATCCTGTCGACATTGAACCCAGCCTTTTCCACCAAACATCCCAACCAAGCCCTTAAATTTGACGACAAAGACGGCGAAAGGTTTGCCCTGAGTATTGTCACAGATGGGAAGCATGGAGAGGATGTTTCTGTCACAGGGCAAATGGGTAGATCTATCGCTACTCCGGTCGAGGGCCCAGGTGTTGCAATTCCTAGAGGTGTTGATCTGGAGGCTTTTTGGAACATGATCCTGCAATGTGTCCAGCTAGCGGACGATTGCAACGCGGCAAACAAAGCTTGATTGTTTGACCATGCACCGCATAACCCTGTTGATCTAGTCAAATCCAGAGAATTAGACTTCTTCGAGTACATACTTCCGCAACCACTGTTACCGATTCACTTTATATGAGCGTACTTAAGTATCATACGGCTTTATAATATTGCTATAGCCATGTCTCATAACTCTTATAGAACGTACATAAAGTCGGGACGAAGATCACCCTGGATCCACTTCTGATCATCTGTCAGAGTGCTCCAGTGTTCATCTAGCTTGCCAGCCCTGCGATCTTTGTTCATCTTGCGAAGTCCAAGATGCATCCATATGGAGCCACCAAGCAAAAACACAGTCAAAAAGCCAAGAAGAACACCATGTCCAGTGTAGTAGTGAGGCTTCTGCTGCGCCAAATAGATGTTTGAAGACACGACACCATTCAGATTTCCCCAGCCGACGACGACGCCCAAGACAAAAGCACGCTTCAGGGAACCTTCGGTGTTGTTGTTCAGCCATGAGAGCGTGTTCGGGATGGTTGGATAAATGCCCGCTGCGCTGAGGAACACAGCAGCGTACTGCACAGTTGGGTCGGAACTGGCGATCAGCATGGCGAAGCCAACAATGCCAAGCAGAACAGTGGCGATATTGCAAAGGCCTCGCTGGCGAGTGCGGTCGGCATAGAAGCCAACGCAGACAGTCAACGCGGCAGCAACGGCATAGGGAGGGACAGAGAGTAGCTGAGCTTTGGTTCCTTGGTGGCCCATGCCAGCAATGATCGTGGGAAGGAAAAGAGAGAAGGCATACAGCGGAGTGAGGCAGCCCATATAGATGACCATATATCCATATGTCTTCCAATCTCTCATAGCGGCCCACATATGTCTCTTGTCGGAGTCTTCGGCAGTGCGGCCCTGGCGATCCATGATAAGACGTCGCTGAACGCGAATGCGATCATCTGCACTGAGGAACCGGGCTGTCTCAGGCCAATCAAAGACAAGCCACCAGCAGAAGCAACCTGCGATGACAGTGGCAAGACCTTCGAGAATGAAAATCCATGCCCAACCGTCCTTGCCACCAAGTCCATCCATCTTTTCAATAGCGGCCGCGAGCAGACCACCAAAGGATCCGGCTAGTGCAGCCGCCGAAAAGAAGATGGAGGAACGGATACCAATTTCGGAGCTCTTGTACCAGCAAGAAAGATAGTAGTTCACACCAGGGAACAAGCCGGCCTCAGCCAACCCGAGGAAGAAACGGGCAGCGAGGAGACCTGAGTTGTTGGTGACCAGACCCATCAGAGTCATGATGATACCCCACGAAACGATAATTATGGTGAAGAATAGACGAGGTGTGATCATCTTGAGTAAGGCATTGGTGGCAGGCTCCATGACCGCGTAAGCGACAAAGAAAACGGTCAAGTTGTTGTTGTAGTCTCCTTTGACCATCCCGAGGTCGTCCTCGAGGCCCGCCAGACGAGCATTACCAATGTTTGTTCGATCCAAGAAGGATAAAAGGTACAAAAATGAAAGCCAAGGAATCAGAGCCATGTCAACCCTCCACATGAGCTTTTTGTCCTGGATGCGGGATTCCCGTTAGTTCAAGTTCTCCATATAGTTCGCTCACATTCAACTCACTATTTGGCGACGCTCTTCGTCATCCTTGCCCGCGTCCGGATCGGGGAGATTGGCCAGCAGCTCGGCACGCTCATGCTCAATCTCCGTCATCTTGACCTTCTCGATCTCGACGGGGGTTGAGGGTTTTTCGACTTCCATTATGACTTGACTAGTTGTTGATGGTGTCTGTACAAAAATTGTTAATCAACGGAATCTTGAGCATGTAGCGCTAAGTCCGAGGTAAATACTTACCAAGTTGAAAGGAAATTGCGAGGGATGATCTTAGAAGGGGGATGGTCTCGATCTTTTATAGGGTCCATGTTCGTATAGTGGTCCACAACTGCTGACAATCCCCAGATTTTGAGTGCGGGGCATGATCCTGAACGACCAGGGTCTCGGTCATTGATGGGTGTTCGAATGATGACCTGCAGCTAGTTGCGACACTTGGGGGATCAGAGTTCTGCGCATATATACGGAGTGGCTTGGTAATTCGTCCAATTGTCCGACCGGCTTACCTCCACGATCTTGGCATGCCGAAACATTGGCTCCGGATGGGCCGTGCTGGAGCAAGTGGACTCCCCGGGCTTGGGCGGCAAGTAACTACGAATAGGCGCGGTAATGCCGACTCTCATAGTACTCCTCTTTTTGTTCTATGGTATTGGGCGTTTCGAAGTGGCGTAAAGATTGTAAAGGTTTACTCGTAAAGCCTTGATATGCAATTTCTGTCAAAACCTTGGAAGAATGCGGGATTTAGATCGTCCACGTTTTTTAAACTTTGCTCAGTTAAACTTTTGGGTTTTTCGGACCAGGGGATGTCGCACATGAGCCTCAACACGTTTAGATGTGAGGGCTATTCTCACTCTGAAATTAGGGATTTTGAAGGCTACTTAAGTAGCGTTTGAATGTGCAAATGCTGTTCCCTAAAGAACACTCCATTCGCACGAGGGTCAGAGGTTGAACCCTCTTCTTCCAAGACCGACGTGGGGGTATTCCTTGGCACAGCGGGGGTTTGATTACGGAGTATGGGGAAATCATTTGCAGAATCTGGGGAACCAGGGCTTGGAGCCAGAACGATTACTCCAAGATACCTACTTGAGATCTCTGTATACATATCAGTAAAAATAAAAATCTTGATCGAATGACAGGCATAGAATTGAAATTCCATTCGCCAAAAGCACTCTATTCGCGTTGGACTTGTTGCGGTGGCTCTTGAACTCAGAAGACCGCTTGGGTCAAAAGTGGCTGAGAGTAACACCGCAGAGACCCATGGATACTAGTGATATGATATGAAGATCCCTGGGTGTCATGATAACTAATAGGACGAGGAAACCTTGGATATATCCTGAACCTATAGGACTTGAGTACTCGCTTCGATTAATAAACATAGTATCAGCTTCGAAAGTTTTACGCAGTTGATCGATTTTCCAGCCGCTGGTCCGATACTTAAGTACCTGCTCACCAAATACCGCCATCCAACTATAGCCCTGGAGACGGATGGCTGTGTCGCAATTTGCCCACTTAGCAGCTGGTACGGAGTACACGAGAATGCCTAGGTGGCGCTCCTTGATGTCTCAAAGCACTACAAAGTACTTTGTGTCGATTTCGGAGATGACAGAAATGCCACAATGCCGACTCGGTAGAAATACCAAATGTGTTGAACGAAGCTGGAGATTATTCTGAATTTGAACCCAAGTACAGAGTATCAATAGACATTGGCAGAGTCAACTACTCAACTTCATAACCCTTTGTTCTCTTACACGGGTTCTTCAAGGTACCTTCCGTGGCTTCAGCATGATCCTTAAGTGCGTTTCCACCTATCCAAATTTGCCTCTTTCGCGAGTCACCTTGGCCAAAAGCCACAGGGGCAATGCCCAAAACTCTAGAAGTATTCAATGCTCTTGATCTTGCCCCTGTCCACTTCCATTCATCGGTCTGAGGGTCATAAACCCCTTCGCTAACCTTATGTATCATGAACAGACGAGAGCCTCAAGACTAAAGGCGGGTAAGATTGCAAACCGGGCATGTTCCGTGCTCCGCCACCGAAGCGACAGCCGGATTGCCGACATGGAGTGTCCTCGGTGGCCTGGCAGTCGGCCAAAATCTGAATGTATACTCGGTACACATGTGGTGGACCTATGGGGGCCTGGGTTATGGATTAGAATGCTTGCAGCCCTAGGGTGTACTAAGTACATATACTCCACGGCTCCGTATAGGTCCGCGTGTGGGATACTTGCCGATGTGGATGTCCAAATATCCCAAATCCCTTCTGTTTTTTGTGCGGAGTAGAGATGAAGGCGAAGAGATGCGATTCTGATATGTAGTTTCACGTGGTACTATACCCTTTTCAACTGGACTATTACTCTGCCCTGTCTGTCAAGCACCGCGGAGTACTCCGAGTCTACGGAGTATACTCAAGTACTTCTAACTTGGAAAGTTTTCCAATGTAAAGGGGGCTCAGGGGCTCGGAGTAATTGATATGCAGGGATGAAGTAGGCATAGTAGGCATTTACTATATAAACCATTCATATAGGTACATCGCCGTGTCAAAACGGCTCGGATGCCCGATGGGAGAACCCGGCTGAAAGGAAAAAAAACGTCATACAAACAGTTTTCTCCCTGAACAACTCTTAGATCTCCAGGGATTTTTGATTCAATTCGCATTTGTATGGCATCGACCCACACTCGTTGACGGCGATAATCATGCCTAATTCCGTTGGTGTCCCTTATGAACCCCCTTCTGGAAACTCATTAAACTTGCATAGCAACCCATCTCTTCAGACCCTCGCCGATCGTCGATTCCCGCCCCTGTGGAGACCGATGCCCACGATGACAACGTGAACTTCCTGCGATCGCGACCTGCTCTTTTCAACCCGTTACTACCCTCCTTGAGCCGACAACGCCGCCGTCGGTATCCAGCCAACCCCCAACCAGAGGCCGATCGCATGGAGGTGGATGACCCAAACAACCGCACTGTCGAACTCAATCGTCGCATCCCTATCCATCGAGAAGAATCCACGATGCCAAATTACGAGGGTCGAGGGCCCAACTCCCGCTCCCTGTATGGCTGGGCGCCTGGATCAGATGACGAAGTCGCGCGCGAGGAATCGGAGGATGATCAAGTGCAGCCATTCCTCCATGCCGTCTCAGGCCGAACAGCCACCCGACCTCCGCGACATGAACTTCCAGGCCCCGCGCAACTCGTCCCTCAAGATTCTGGAGCCTTGCCCGCAACCAACCGGGCGCGAACGCCGATCTCCGCCATGGCGGCCTTATTACAATCTGCAAGGCGTCAACCTCGTCTAGCAAGAACTCGCACACTCGAAAATTACCTCCTGGATCGATATCCTGAGCCCACGGAAAACCAAGAAGTGGAAAATGAGCATGCGGTGGCGTCTGCATCTCGCGCATACCGCTATCGCCCCTCAAATCGGTCCGACTCGCAACAAACCACCCACACCCACAACGATCTCCGCGCTCGTGCTGCCGCTCACCGCCAGCTCCAGGCAGACGGGTTCTCAAACGACATTTTGAAGGAAACAATAAACTATCTCGATCGTCTGCGATACTCGAGTTCCCTTGAAGAGAGCATGCTCGCCGCGGCCGACAGCCGGTTACCATTCTCGATGGACAACAAATCGTGGCGAGACTCCGATTTCATCCTCTACACACCCAATATTGCACCCCCAGCAGCATGCTCATGGCTTCGATCGGGTATGGCCTTTGCAGGCTGCCAGCGCGCCGCGAGTGCCGGATCCTCCATCCTCCCGCAGCGGATCTCCAACTTGCACGCACCTACCGAACCGGTCATCGTGAATGGAAGTGAAAGCGATGCTCGGCCGAGCAGTACCCCTGCGACAAGGCGTCGAACTTTAACCAACCCTCGTGACGAGAACTGGCCCGTCAAAGTCACCATCCATCATATCAACGAGGAGGAAATGACGCTGTCAGGAACCATGGAAGCCTATAACATCCCCGATAAGACTTCCCCAACACACGATGCACACATTGTGACATTTTTGGAGGGTGAAATCATCGACTTCAACAAACATACACTGGAGACCAAAAATTTCAAAGCAGATGCCGACATCGATAGTACATACTGGCGAGAACTGCAGCCTTTCAAGGATCTGACAGATGCAGAGATTGCGCGTAATCTCGTCAGTCGCAAATGGATTACAGAAGAATTATCCAAGGGTTGGATCTTGATGAGATGGAAGGGTAAACAAAACCTCAACCCCCGGCACTTAACAGAAGCTAACATATACCCAGAGCGATGCTTCATCACGCCCACCGACGCCCGCCAAGGCTTGACCATCTCTGGGTTCTATTACATCTCTCTTCGACGCGAAGACGGACACATCGAAGGTCTTTATTACGATCCCGGAAGTTCACCATATCAACAGTTGTCTCTGAAGCCAGAGATGACCAAAATGGTCCGCCCGGCTTATGACTTCCGCTAATGGCGATTTGTGCATATCTTGTATTGGTCTTTTTATTGGCCCGGAATAATCTTCTGGGCTTTACCCCCGGCTGTCTTTACTCGGTGTTTTGGGAAACGTTCAGGCAGTCTCTGACTCGGCCTTTTGCATAGCTGCTGGTGTTGTTTTATCACATGGATATTTTCTCTTCTTCTGTTGCATCTTTGCGGGACGAAACTGACGGTCAGGCTACCAGTCCTTTTCTATTTAGTCCCAATTCACATGTGGTTCTTTGTTCTCCTTCTGGTTGCTTGTGCATATTCTTGGGACCTATCCTTCTCTGCCCAAAGGTGGATGTATCTCGAGGAGATGGGAATGGTGCTTTGCGAGACAGTTTGATTCTCTAACAAGTTCCAATGGATATTGTTTTGTCTATATTGAGAATTTCACATTCCACACACGCTCTGAAGGCTTGGCAAGCCACTCACCACTACCGGAATACTAGGTAATTGCTTGTATCAATTCCGGCTAGCCTCCAGGGCTGAGCCCTCATAAAACAACCTTGAAAGCCTACATTCAACCGCCTGGCCTACTTAACAAGGCTGATTCAAGCCAAACCCACTACGACGGAGTACTTTGGTAGTCCGTCGTTTCTTCAAGGTCCACATAACGCGGGGCCCCGCAACTCGCACCCATGATGTAGCCATTCCGGATTTGAACTAAACCCCGATCTCAGCGCGGATAGACCAATCTATTTATTGGGATGCATGTCGGCCTCGATATCCAATCCATCGCAAAGCTCGGCTAGACCTGGTGAGTTTGGTTTGGGGCTGTTGTGGGCGAGGATCCGGCTCGTGGCTCACATAGTACGGAGTAATACGTTACACGCATCTGACTACGAATAAGCAGCATCACAATTGAGCATCGGTATAATGTCAATTTCAATTTAGTGACGTGACTCTGAGGGGTTGGCTGTGATTATACATGGCTTGGAGAAACAAGGCATCAATGCCTAATATTGAAGCATGAATATGCAAAGACAGAACGCCTTGAAGCACCCTGCTAGCCTGCATAAATGCCTAGGGAAACCTGGGAGCTAGAGACCGATCGCCAATGCACAGAGCCTACAGTAGACTATGGTTTAACTCGGCTTTACCGGCATTACTTGGGCTGAGAACCAGGCACCACTCATATCCCATGCAAGGTGAGATAATTGCGCAGCTGTGCACCTGGGAATATACGGCAATCACTATACTCCTGAAGTATTTCGGAGTACTCCGTACTAGTGACGCATATCAATTGCCTCCGAGCTAGATCCGAAAAAAGCAAAGAATAGCCCGGGCAAAAAAGCGAGCTGCGATATTGCTTGCAGATACCGATGTTTCAATACTTTGGTCGATCTTCAAACGTAATGGAAACGAGATAACTACCTAGGTAAGTAGTTAACTACTCAGTATCGATAGGGAGAGCCATATCCCCGCAATTTAAGAGATTAGCGTTTAATCCTTAACCGCGTGTACTTGCCGAATGCAGCACTTAAGTATGCAACCTCGGAGTTGAAAGACTTCCTTTTGACTTCAGGACTTCTTTGCTTATCTACGGAGTATTTCCAAGGTGATATAGTTATCCCGCATCAGCTCTAGTGGGTTCCTGTGGACGCCTGTGGGGCGATGCGGCCCATGACTAGTAGTACTTAAGTATCCGCAACTACGATGGTATTTAGGTTCTTTTGTTTCCCAGTCTTCAGTTGTTCTAAAGTTCAACATCATGCATTGGTATCTTTCTCTTGTGGCAGCCCTAGCGGGCTGCCTGGTCGAGCCCGTTGTCGGTGTTCCTCACCCAACTCAGCAGGGAACATGCAAAAAGACCAAAGTTGCCATCTTGTAAGAGCTGCACTGTGCGTTCGTGATTAGGGTTCTATTTTCTCACAAACAACAGAGGTGGTGGCGTGGCTGGAATTACTGCTGCTGTGAGATTACCCCTTTCTGCCTTCATTGAACTTATTGCTCACAATCACTAGCAAGCATTGACCAACGCGTCTGTACATGATTTCGCGATCCTCGAATACCGCGATACCCTTGGAGGCCGAGCCTGGCATAAGCCATTTGGCAAGGATAAAGATGGGAAGCCATATGTTATTGAAATGGGTGCCAATTGGGTGAGTTTCCATCAAATTGATACCGGAGCTATGACTCATGCTAACAACTGCAGGTTCAAGGTCTGGGAAATCCAGGAGGAGCGCAAAATCCGATCTGGGTCTTGGTGGGTCTTGAAAATCTCTTTCGATCAAGCACTACATGACTGACTCTGCAAACAGGCTCAGAAATATGGGCTAAAGACCCACTACTCGAACTACGATAATGTCTCCACTTACAATAAAGATGGCTACTCGGATTATAGCCATTTGCTCGATCTCTATGAAGATGCATATGATATCGCGAGTCAAAATGCCGGCGAGATTCTTACCCAGAACCTTCAGGACCAGAATGCCAAATCGGGTCTCGCTCTGGCAGGTTGGAATCCCAAATCAACTGATATGGAGGCACAAGCCGTTGACTGGTGGTCATGGGGTAAGAACATCCCCTTTGAAACATAGATGCTTTGATCTCTAACACTGGATAAAAAGACTTTGAGGATGCTTACTCGCCCCTGGAGAGCTCTCTTGCTTTCGGATGTGCAGGTGATAACTTGACTTCCAACTACTTCAGTGATCATGACAACTTCGTGCTGGATCAGCGCGGCTTTAACATGATCTTCAAGAAGATGGCCTCGACTTTCTTGCGCAAGAATGACCCGCGTCTTCACTTGAACACTCAAGTCACCAACATCACCTATTCAGATGACGGTGTGACAGTCCACAACAAAGATGGAAGTTGCGTGGAGGCAGACTACGCAATTGTCACGTTCTCTTTGGGTGTTCTCCAGAACGATGCTGTCAATTTCTCTCCCAAACTCCCCGACTGGAAACAGGAGGCAATTCAAAAGTTCACCATGGGAACCTACACCAAGATCTTCTTCCAGTTCAACGAGACCTTCTGGCCCTCGGAAACACAATACCACCTCTACGCCGACCCAGTCACCCGTGGCTGGTACCCAATCTGGCAATCCCTCTCTACAACAGGGTTCCTCCCAGACTCCAACATCATCTTCGTAACCGTGACCAACGAGTTCGCCTACCGCGCCGAACGCCAAACCGACGAAGAAACCAAAAAAGAAGCCATGGAAGTTCTGCGTAAGATGTTCCCAGAGAAAGATATCCCAGAACCAACTGCCTTCATGTATCCACGCTGGACCCAAGAGCCCTGGGCCTACGGCAGCTACTCCAACTGGCCTCCCGCTACATCTTTGGAGATGCATCAGAACCTCCGCGCTAATGCCGGTCGGCTTTGGTTTGCTGGTGAGGCGACCAGCCCTACATTCTTTGGCTTCTTGCACGGTGCGTACTTTGAAGGCCTGGATGCTGGTCGGCAAATCGCGGCTGTGATGCAAAACCGATGCGTCAATGCCAATTCCACCAAGTTGAGAGAGTGTGGGCCACGCAAGCATTATGAGACCTTGCATGGCACCTCGCCATACTCCGATTATACTATGCTCAATGGCTGGGCTGTGGACAGTTTCATTGACACTAACACCGACTGAAGTACAGAGTAATGACATGTACAAACCAGTTGACGGTTATGCGTCGGCCTGTTTGACATGCTGCACATGGAGCTCTAGAAGTTCGAAATCTTGACTAAAGAAAGATATTTTGAGAGAGATGATGATCTGACACTTCATAATAAACTATGTCTATCGAGTGCTTGCATCGCTGGTCCTGTTGAAATTCTTCATTTCCCTTGATTCCACAAACCATGGAATAATTAGTAGCGTAATGTTTCCCACTTAAATCATTTTGCTTGTCAAAGTGACATGAGATTTCAAGGTTACCTAAACACCCTGCTTTTACCTCGCAGCATCGGCCCATAAGCCCTGAATACAATTGGGATCGGAATCATGATGGCAGCCAGACATCCTAACAAAGTACCAGCCCATTGAATCCCCATATTTTGGAACATTTGTCTAGCGAAGAGAGGGAACCCAGCAGCTAACGCTGATCGGAGGATGATGTTTGCAGCGACAGCTGAAGCGGCGCTATATCAAGTCTTGTCAGATGATTCCTTTGACACCATTCCTTTATAAACGGAGGACTCACATCGGCAGATATGAATCAACAATATAGTTGAAGCATGGAAGAAAGATGCACAAAACTCCAAATCCTATGAAGATTCCAGCCGCGGCGGGTGCAGCCCAATGTATCTTGGAAGTAAAGCCGGTCCATCCAAACCTGCAAGGATGAAGTTAGCAGCCGATACTCGAGAGATCCCTAGATAATTGAATGGGCTCACCAGAAAAGACCAACTGTAAACACAGGTGCTCCAAGCAGTGTAGGGCCCAGGCGCCACTCGGGAACTGGCACGCCTTTGTTCTCCGCGAGTTTCTTGGCGTAAGTGACTTGCCTGAACAGAATGAACGTACAAGCAAGTCCCACGCCGATTGTCAATCCGATAAACATCAGCCCAGCAACTCCGGGGGTCATCCCATACACACTTTCGAAGACAAATGGGTACGCCTCGAGCAGCGCATAGACCAGACCATAGATGAAGGACATGTATAGAGAGACAACGAGAAGGATGGGTTCCATGAACAGCAGCTTCAATGGTCGCATGAAGTACTTTTCCAGAAGACTCGAAAAGTCAAGCTCGAGTTTCTCCTGTCTGGCATGTATGCCCCAGTTACCCGACTCTTTGCGAATGCGAGCAGCCTTCGCGACAAGCAAGCAAGGAGGATACGTCTCGCTAAGAAAGAGAACGCTTATTGCACCGTTCACCAAGCTCAGAATAGCAGGGATATAAAGCGTCCACCGCCAGCCAAGTTGACTAGATGCAATAAAGCCCCCGACAAAAGGGGCCATGAACGGTCCGACAAACACCGTCAACGCGTACAGTGAGATTGCCACTCCGCGGGTCGAATTGTCGTACAAATCTGCCAGTACTCCGGGGACAACTGTCAACTGGCTTGCACCGCATACCCCCGCGAAGAACCGGCAGATGATCAATGTTTGGAGGTCTTTTGCAACGGCCGAGGCGATGGTAAAGATGCCACCCCCTAACATTGCAATTGTCAATGGCCATTTTCTGCCTTTCAGTTCAGATGCTGGACCCCAAATCACAGGTCCGAATGAGAAGCCCAGGACGTAAAGAGTTGTTCCTAGTGTTCCGACAACAGTGCTGACTCCGAAAGCTTTGCTTACTTCATCGATTCCAGGTGCGAATATCGCACTTGTGAGTGAGACGATGAATGTTCCCGAGCAAACAAGGACCGAGATGAATACTCTACCAAAGTGCACAGTGTCAGATTTCAAGGTATCATAATTCAGCGAGGGTATTGTGCTCACTTCAAAGAGACTTTCCAGTTTTGTGGATGATCGGGGTCATTGTGGCCATTAAATTCCACCACATAGTCTTCTGAGGCTGGCAAGGGTGCTGGAAACGGCTTGTTCACGCCGATAAGTGATTTATTCTCCATTTTAAGACTCCTTTGTCAACGCAATCAAGGGTATGTCGTAGCCAAGCTCGGGTACATGGCCTTTGTTCAAGGAGCACAAATATCCCAAAAGCCCTTAAGAAAGCAACAGCATACTCGTAACATCACTGAAAACACGCATTCGGGGGTTGGGCGGCAATTGCGGAACATGTGGCAAAGGCAGGTCTAGTACAGAGCTCGTATGAAGGGACACTCATCATAATTCGGGTATTGCGGATCGGGATCGGGAACAATGTGTACTCGCAATTTTGAGACTATACAAGCGCTCCCGCAGAAGAATACAAAGTAATTTTCTTGATTCTTATCCATCCAGGAAACTTGATCCATCCATCATATCCGCATTGAGAAATTGATCAAGGTCTACTTTTTGCAGACCAGGAAGGTCAGCAACAAGAGCGCCCAGCCAGGAGTATTCCTCGGCACTTGGGTTCTCTTGTGGAGATATTCCTAGAGGAACTTCTGGTGGCTCCAGGTCAAGGGACTGATTGAAGATAGCTATGTCGTCTTTCCGGCGCTGTTGATGAAGCATCACGAGCAAGCGAGCAGCACTCCATGCTTCTCGCATACTATCCGTGTCATATGTGGATGCAACAAGCTTCAATGTCTGCATGGCTTCAGGAAGCATTGATAGTGATGGCCTTGTGTCCATGACAAGCAGGACACATGTGATTTGAAATGGGACATTTGCCAGTTGATGCCATGGAGTGCAATTCAGAATCATTGCTCGTGAGCAGTTCAGAGCTTTTTCTAGTAGGGTTAGAACCCTCTCTGCGAGATGAGATGGTATGTCCAGGTTTTGAGTGTGGATCCGTCTGAGAATGCAAAGCGTAAGGTTGCACTGTGCCATGATGGAGGGGGCCTCATTGTGAACCCCGTCTAACGTGTTAGATAGCGTCGCTTCAAGATCCACTTCATTTTCTTTTGAATTCCCTGGGTCCAGACTTGCTGATACGGGCAAGAGACCTAAGACCTCATGGGTGAAATCCCCAGGCTTGACTGATACGGGCAATGGGAGATCATTCTTTTGGAAAGACACCCTGGACAGACCAAGGTCATAAGAAGTCCACATATTGAGATGCTGAGCTACTCCAAATAGTCTTCTTCGGGTATCTGAATTGCAGCCTGTGGTGCAGCTGCGTGGGAACACCGACTCGGTGGATTCTAGATGGAAACCCGCGGCCTCGACTAGGTGCATCAATCTTGAGCTGGCCATCCACGTAGCATGGGGTGAGTCTGTCATTCGCATGTATATGACTCGTAGGGTCCATCCAGTGAGAAGGTCTGCTGGAGGGGTGCCTGACAAGACGTGCATTTCTAGCGTGGAGCACGCTGACCCGACCAGATGTATTTCGGTCATAGTCATATTGCGTTGAGAAAACAAACATCCTATTGCGGCCACACCACCCAGAACACTGTCATACAGCTCATTAGCCGATGATGACTGCCATCGAGCTGTTAACCGCTCAAAAAACTCAGAACGGTCGATGAATCCATAACACGGGTGCACCTTGTCAAAGTAGACCTGAGCAAGACTTTTCATGTGCTCCAAGGATGTAATATCGGTAATTGTAAGGGCCGGGCTAACACTGCCCAGTTGCGAAGAAAGATGTCGCTTGCCAATATTCCAGCCAAAAAGACTAAGTTTGGGAGCTTTGGCAGGGTCGATTTTCAGGCCCATCTTCCGTACAAACGCCGCCCCAGAATTAGCCTCCAGACGACGGACTAATCCATTCTCATCCGCTGGGGCCTTGTAAGGGGAGCTTGGTCCCGGAACAACCTCTGTGGGGGTCTCTCGATGCTGGGTGCGCCTCCGTCGAGGCTGACGATCGTAGTAACAATCATAAGCCCATTCGCGACAAGTGCTGCACGGCTCATCGCCGTCGCATTTTCGCTTGCGTTCGCGACATGGCTCGCATGCCATTCGCGCGCGTTTGCGCTTGACCTCTGATTGCGACATGTGAAGCCCGCAAGTGCCGGCGAAAGCGGGTGCGGGTATTGCGGAAGTGAGAAAGGGGATCTTGCGGAATCTGGGTCGAGATACTCTCTTCAAGTACTCTGGCAGTTATTGATTCAGTAAATCATGTCTTTGCTCTTTTTCTCCTGGCTCGTTTGTACGGAGTAGACTCATACAGGTTGGAAGGGCGTATGAATTCTCGGGTATTGCGGGAATTGGGGATGACGTCGACGATGCCTCGGTTTTGAAAGACGTTTCTTCTCTTAAAACATCCAAAGCTGTTTAAACAATTGAGAGACAAACAACCATTCGTGAAATCCCTGAATCTCTCAAAATGGCTCACAGCTTGCTTGCGCGATACCCCTGGGTAGCCAGCCCGTTTGTGGTCAGCGCCCCAATGAAAGTCATGTCAGGCCCAGCACTCGCTGTCGCAGTATCCCGCGCTGGCGGACTGGGATTCATCGGACCCGGTGCCAAAACACAAGATACGACTAATGACCTGGAGAAAGCATCAACACTCATTGCCAATACCATCCCAACCACCAGCGCCTTACCCGTTGGTGTTGGATACCAGCTTTGGGCCGATGACGTTGGAATCGCCGTTGCCGCCATTGAGAAATACAAACCGTGTGCTGTATGGCTATATGCACCGAAACAGGGCAGTCAAGACTACAACGATTGGTCCAGCAGGATCCGAAAGGCTTCACCCGAAACCCAGATTTGGATCCAGATCGGCACACTGAAAGAAGCCAAGCAGCTACTCCAGCTTTCCGAGTCACCGGACGTTGTTGTAGTTCAAGGTGCGGAATCTGGTGGTCATGGTCGGGCGAATGATAGTATGGGCTTGATGTCACTGTTCCCCGAGGTTGCGGATGTCATGGCAAGTAGTCGGATTCCTCTATTTGCCGCGGGTGGTATTGCCGATGGGAGAGGCCTTGCTGCGGCGATGTGTCTGGGTGCGTCTGGTGCTGTGATGGGGACTCGGTTCTTGGCCGCTAGTGAAGCGCGCATCAGTCGAGGCTATCAGGATGAAGTTGTGCGCGCGTCAGATGGTGCGGTCTCCACGACTCGTACGCTTCTTTATAACCATCTTCGGGGTACTTTTGGGTGGCCGGAGGAATACAGTCCCCGCACTATTGTGAATCAATCTTATGTTGAACAGCAACAAGGGAAGTCTTTCGAGGAACTGAAAGTACTTCATGATGAAGCTGCCAAAGCGGGCGATGAAGGCTGGGGTCCTACTGGGAGACTTGCAACTTATGCTGGTGCTTCGGTCGGACTGATACATGATGTCAAGAATGCCGGGGAAATTGTTCGTGAGACTCGGAACGGGGCACTCGAAAGACTCCAGCAGCTATTTCCTCTTAAGAATTAAATCTCCCTTGCTGGTTTTACCTGTCAACCGGGTCGCTTCTAGTTGGCTTCTTTAGGAAGTTTCATCTATAGATGTTGTGCGCTTTTTGTGTCTTGCATGTGATGATTCGATTGTAGCTAGTCCAGAATTGAGCTCAAAAAAGCCGATAACGAGGCATCTCAAGGGGTATCAAATATAAATCTTAAGGATAATAACTCATAACGCATTAACTATAAAGGAAGGCGAGCAATTGAAACCTCAAAGAGATCCCAGGAACTCCATCATCCAGCCGTCGTCAATCTGAGGCAAAGAGAGGCCCGGAGGCAGTGTATTGTCGGAATGAATCATGCTAGCATCAGTATCATTGGCAGGCATAGGCAGCCCCCACAGTTCGATCAATTTTGGTTCCCAGTTGCTTTTCAAGGCTTCTGTCATCTTTAGTCCCTTCTCGAGCAGATTGATATCTTTTCCTTCCTCGAAACGAAGATATTCTGGATATTCTTTGATTGCCGCGATGGATTTGTTCAAGAAATCAAGAACATCCGCCGTTTCTCGTACCACGGACTTGCTCCATGTCGGGTCATCCAGGGTAGTGAGTCTGTAGAGATTGAGGATGGCTCTGGCCCACTGAAAGAAGACAATGGATGACACTTGCATGTACTCAACCGCTCTCAAATCCAGCCAGATATTCAGCCAGATTTTTGTTGCCTGGAGGGAGGTATGGAGGCTTTCGAGGCGTTGGAGATCAGGTAAATGGGGAATAGCGGAGGGTCCAAGTGCCAATTCATTAATTGTGAACTCGGCGCTGTAAAAGTACATCTGTACGGCTCCTTGATAATGTTAGAAACTTCTTCAAGCCTTTGTGTGAGGACAACATACTGTGGGTCTGGATATGGCTTGGAATCTCCTGCCTCGCGGCTTCAAGTTGTATCTTGAGCGTGCTCAGATAGAAGGATGGTGAGCTGATGGTATCGCCATCGCGTCGAAGATGGTATAGTCTATCCAAGACCAAGTACATCTTGACCATTGCCACTAGGATTTCATCTTCTGGGCACTCTTTAGCCTCAGCAAGCACTGACAGACTTTCTTCCATGTGTGGTGTCCACCTCATGGCGTCAATTCGGGACATTGACATCGCAGTACTAATAGCATTTATTTGTGTTAAAAATCCTAGCAATAATCGGCTTTGGTTCAATACTGACCTGGATGAAATCAAGAAGCAGCCCAGCACGGCTCTTCTCTCCTCGAGTGTTCTGATTCCAGATTCGTTTCGCTTCATTCCGATGGCAAATTTAAAATCTTGCATGAGGGAGTTTACTCCTATGGGGGATTGATTGATTCCGAGCTCTGCGATTACCCCCATCAACATGTGTACATAGGAGTTGAGGAATGGCCTTTTCGAGTATGCACCCCTGGACGATGATTAATAAATGAATATCCTTGGTGGACAGCACTTAATGCAGTACTTACCATGAGACAAAGGTCATCATCCCAAGAAGAAGATCCATACTTGGCCCAGCATCAACCATGACTCTCTGGTGGATATGGTTAGTGATTCTCCTGAAAGAATCACCCTTCTCCGTATTTTGTGGGGTAAGCACTTCCATGATGCAAACCCAAAAGAACGGCAACTTATTCTGGAGTTGCTCAGAAGTCATGTCAGGGGGCAGGTAGAAGAACGGGAGATATTGCAGGTGATGGGTGCGAAATAGATCCAGGCATTCCTGAGCCATGGGGGTTTGAATGCGCAGCAGTGACAATACTTCATTGCGAGCTGGCACATTGTATCCTCCAAAGATCTTGCTGCCAGTGTAAGGCGAAGAGATGCTTGTTGGAGTAGGGGCCATTCCTGGCTTAGACTGTTCAAGGGCATCACGTTGGGTCTGTGCTGGGGCTGGGCTTAGAGCTGCAGGTTCCCAATCCGGCTGTCTAGAGCTTGTACTACCTGGGAGCGCAGGATAAGTGGCTAAGACGTAATCCATCTTAGCCTCAAGTTTGGCAAATTTTGAGGCTGTTGACCGTTGATTGGGCTTTCGAACGCTCTGTGCTGGCATGCATGTTTTGCCTAGACGATGGCATCTGTTGATTGTCAGTTGTGTGCCGGTATAGTATCTCACTTCTCACCTCTCGCAGCCACCCGATGCAAACAGCATACATTTGCACTTGGCATGTGCGCAGTTCTGGCATGCACGGCCGTAAGGTGCAGGGGTCCCACCCGGGAGTCGAGCGGGTTTCATGCCGATGTCCGGTTTGGCGGGATTGGGAAGATATGCAGCGGACAATTGGCCAAGAGCAAAATGACTGAGAGCGGATCTCGACCCCAGTCAGACAATCTTTGAGGAAGATGCCCTTTCCAAGGTTGTTCTTTGTTTAAAGCAACACGGAGTTGGGGCCAACTCCGTCCAACCCCGTGTCTCAAGCCATGGGTCACGCCTTGGCACGCTTAGGTACTCACAGCCCTAACTCCCTTAAGTCCTGGAGTACTTCAAGTCCCCAAGTCAGATGTAGATCAAGTAGAGAACAATGACAAAATACAAATTAAGAAGGTCTGAACTAATTGGAAAATCTTGTTTGTCAAGTGACAAGTCCAATGTCATTGGCGTCGCACACCCGAGTGAACGGGGCACGAAAAATAGACTAGGTATATCGAGGGATTCCAACAGAGATATCACATTCCACCAAAGCCAAACGATCCATCCCGATCTTCAATCCCAACCACAACCCCGTCACCCCTGACACTTAACTACTCACAGCCTGCAGAGAGATAATCTACTGCTCGGTCTGGAAGTAGTTGAGGAGGACAGAGCGCTCCTGGGACTCCTCACCCCAATCCTTGACAACGACGCAAGAGCAGTTGACAACCTTGCGGGCGTTACCCTCACGGTCGAGAGTGCCTGAACTAGGTTAGCAGTATTCGAAGACATAATAATCGATAATAACTTACAGAGACCGACCCACTCGCCGAGCATCTTTCCATCGGGAACCTTGATGAGGGGGATCTTGTGCTCAGAGCAGAGAGCGACAACGAGCTTCTTGTAAGCCTCCTCCTCGCAGCCCTCGTTCAGGACACACATGTGGGCCTCGCGGCGGTCGAGAGCCTTGGCGGCCTCACGGAGACCACGGGCAAGACCATCGTGGATGAGGGAGATGCGCAGAACACCCTTGAGGGCGTCCAGGACGGACATCTGGCCGGAGCCGGCATCGGCAGAGACCTCGACCTCGTCGGCAGGGGCGATGGGGGATGTGGGCTCTTCTCCGTCCGACTGCAATTATCAGTTAGTATTCATCTTGGTAACGGTGACATTTTGGTCGGCCGATCTGGACAGTGAGGCTTGACTTCAACATGCAGTTGACGACAGTAAACCCCGCGGATCTGTTATCGGCGCATGCTGAATCCAGTCTCAATTGTCGCAAATCTGGGTGTGCAAGGACGGTGAGGTATTCGACGGTAAACGTACCATTTTTATTGCTGATTATGCTTGAATCGGATGATCCTCGAAGAGAAGCTGAGTTAGATGGAGATTAAAAGGTGGTGCGGGCGGCGCGAAATTTGCCGCTATTTCTTGAATTTTTCGGCTGTGTGTGCCCTACTTATGTCATCGAATCTGATTGGCTGGGTGATCCCTGGTCATGTGACTGGGTCCCAATCGGCGGTCCCAAGGTTCACTTGGGTCACGATTGCTGACGGAGTAGAGGTTTTCATACTTGAGTGCTTCCAAGGTTCAAAGCTGGCTTTCAAGACACCCTAGACGCCATAGACACCCTATTTTTTTACAAATCTACTGGGAGGATAGTTTGAATTTGAACTTCTTGTTGACGCTAAGAATGCAAGATTCCATCAGCAACCACAGGGACCACAAAAAGGCCCAGTAACTATCAAACGATAGTAGATTCGTTCAGAAAACGCAAGAGGTATCATAATCGTACAATCAGAATCCGCCTGTACACCTCGCAGCAAGGCTGCCATTGCGGCTAGCGAAACGCTTGAAAAAAACTAGACGTATGTACTCGACCGAGAATGGCCATAGCCATTGATCGGCCCGGTCCCGTTCGCTTCAGTAGAGTCCGGGCCGTGGCCGTTGGTGTGAGCGCCTGAACTGGTGCCAGCCACTGGCGGCTCGGGGTCGACATGCATGCCCAGGAACTCAAGCTCGAGGCCGTGGAGATGGGGAATGTGGGGGACAAGATCAGTGAAATCAGAAAGCTAGATCATTGTTAGTGAAACTCAAGTTGAATGGGTAGTGTCCAGACTTACTCTGATCCAAAAGACATGTTCCATCTCAAAGTATTTGGGTCTGGTTTCACAATCCTGTTGCATGACCTGCCCGATGCTCGAGTTGGCAAGTACTTCCGTGTAATTCAACATACGGCGGGTGACTCGCCACAGGTTCACGCGCTGAGTTGGGGTTGCCTTGCGCTTCTCCCAGCCAGCATACTGTGAAAGCTGTAGATCGTTGGTGGCCAAGAGAGGTGCAATCAAGTAGTTGGGTATCCATTTCTCATCCGCGGCATCCACAGCACAGCCTGGGTCGAGTTGACTGGTGCGCGCAGTAACGAGGGGCATGAAGGATTGGAGCCAGTCATGACTTCTGGCACGGGGATCGTTGGAGCCAACTAGGTTTGCTGCAACACGAAGACGGTCGGGAAGTGCATCGCGGCGTTGTTTCTCTTGCGCTTCACGATCACGGCGCACCTTGGCGATGCGAGCACGTTCTTGCTCCAGTCGCTTGAGTCGATCATCATCAGCTTGTTTGGCACGTCTTTGATCGGCCTCCTTGCGCTTGCGGTCCTCTTCATCAGCCTTCTCACGGGCGGCTTGGGCGGCTTGAGCGGCTCGATCGGCTTCCTCTTTGGCAAGTCGCTCTCGTTCAGCCTCGTCCGCAAGCCGCTTGTCGTCTGCGGCGCGCTTATCTTCCGCGACGCGCTTCTCTTCAGCAATCCGCTTGTCCTCTGCGATGCGCTTGTCATCCGCAGCACGCTTTTCGTCGGCAACCCGCTTATCTTCTGCGATGCGTTTCTCGTCTGCCACGCGCTTGTCATCCGCAGCACGTTCTTCCTGTGCCTTCCTGGCCTGTGCTCGACGCCGTTCGTCAGCCTCATGTTCCGCACGCTTCGCGTCTGCACCAACTGCCGGATCATCAGCGTCCTTCATATCCACATCCTTTCTGGCATCGTGAGCAGGCGAAGGAGGACGAGTGGAAGGTTTCTTGATTTCGGCTTTCTGAGAGTCTGGGCGGGTGGAATCGTCTTGTCGGCGAGGCTTCTGTTCGTCCGATCGCGGGGCACCATTTGCTGCGTGGTCTTCCGATACGTTTCGTCTTTTCTTGGGACGCGACTCGGGGGAAAGTCGACCACTCTCTGTGCCGCGAGAACGAGAGCGTTCTGGAGAACGATCGGGGCGGATACGCTTGAGGGAGAGGTTGTTGTCTGTTTCACGTGGTCTGGGTGCTTCGTCACGTCCAGATAAGGAGTCCGAGGAGAAAAGGCTGGGTCTGCGCTCCTGTGGCCGACGGCCGGGAATGAGACGGCGTTTTTTGACTTCGTCGTTTCGAGCCATCCCGCTTGACTCACTGTCGCGTCTGGCTGATATGGAGGATTTTGGTTTCGGTTCAGATTGTCGTGAAGGGTCGTCTTTTTGGCGCTTTTCTTTCATGTGATCGAGATCTTTGAAAGAATCACGGTTGCGATTAATGGTGGGGCTGGTGTTGATCTTTTTGGTGCGAACGGGGGAAGAGGAATTTCGGCGCGCAGCACGTTTGTCGTCTTTCTCTTTACGTGCACGGCGGGGTGAGTCGTCTTTCCTATTTTTCTCGCCCGGGAACTTCTCATACGCATCCTTCAGAATTTGGTACTCGTCTTCCCAGTTTTCACCCATACGACCTCGCGACAGATCAAAGTACGTTCGATCTTCAAACAAACGACGAGTGGGATTAAAGCCAGGCTGGTTCAAAATCAACTGGATCACAGCACTGTTTCCTCGACCGATGGCAGCAAGCATAGGCGTGTTGTAGCCTGGCTTTTGACCTCGCAGTGGATTTGGGTCGGCGTCGGCGTTCCCCATTGCGTATAGAAGAGAGAGCACGTCATGGTGACCACCTTTCGCAGCAGCGATCAAAGATGCATTGTCAGCCTTCTGCAGGATATTCAGAATGCTAACCACTCCAGCCTCGTCGCCTTTGGCAGCAAATTCACGAAGATTCTCAAATGTCGGCTTCGTCCAGAGCAAATCATTTCTTGTGGCTTCACCTCTTCCGCCTTTCCGTCGATTCGCTGCAGAACCTGCAGGGGGCGGACTGCGCATAGGAGGTGATTCTCGAGGACTGGTCGCTGATCCCCTAGCTGCAGAGGCCCGCCGTGAAGATGGTTCCTTGCTCTCTGGTCTCGTGTGTTCCTCAGAGCGCCGCCCGGGCCTCAAGTTAGCCTTGGCATCTGCCAAAGCCTTTCGCATTTCTTCGTATTCATCATCGTCAACAAAAGATGGCACAAGCTCGAAAGGCTCATCGCCTTCCGCATTTACAGTTCGTGGGTTAGCACCTGCATCAAGCAAGAGCTTCACGACCTCCACATTTCCATTTTCCACAGCATCGATCAACGGAGTGTCTTTGTCGATGTTTTTCGTGTTGATCTCACAACCTGCCTCAAGCAGGAACTTGACGATCTCAGCTTCACCAGCGAGCGATGCGATTTGCAGGGGGGTGTTGCCTGCGTTGTCGGGGATATTAATGTCTTCAGGTCGCTCCGCATGGCGCATCATGACTTGATCATGCTTTCGATCTGCACACGCCCGCGCAAGAGGAGTCCGGCCGCTCTTGTCGCGTAGTTTCTTCGGTCCCATCTGCTTGGCAGGCGATGCAGATGCGCCTGCTCCCGATCCAAGCTTGCGCAGATGAGGGGCACCTGGAAGTGGTGAGCCACTCGTCGAAGAATCCGTGGAATGTCGCTCTTCAGAGCTGTGTCGCCCGAATCCTGAAAGCAGGGGGGTCGGTGCTTTCTTCTTGCTTGGGAATTGGGACCCCGATGCAGACCGTTGATGAGATCGACGATTCGGGGACAGCGATCGTGTATTGGATGGTGGTCTGGACAGACGCGTGGTATTATTATGCTTCAACTCTCGAGCGGGGTGGGCAGCATGAGAGTGAGCGCGACGGCGTTCCCTGTCTTCTTCGGCACTGTCGCTGAAGCTTCGCTTTCGGAAGGCGCGAGGCCTCGCATGATCGATTCCATTCACACCTTCCCCGGGTAACACATCATCAACCTTCTCGATCTTAACCATGGAAGGCGAGATCTCTCGATGTGGCGAACGGGTGCGTTCTCGATCTGTGAGAACCCGGGGTTTCTTTCGCTGTGCATCGATTCCATTGAGTTCTCGGCGACTCGGGTCGTGCTTTATATGTTTCCTTTTCTTCTCTGGTGACAAAGACTCTCGACCGGATTGAATAATGGTTTCCGCCTCCGAGTCCGCCCTGGGACTGGGAGGCCCTTCCTGCGCATTATGATTATTGGAACCCTCGTCTACCCGGGGGGAGTCACCATCTCCCGGTGAAAGCGCAACAGGATCGGGCTTCACCGGAGCAATGTTCTGACCGACGTCCAGGGCAGCTGGGAAAGAGACTGCCTCGACATCACTCATAGCGATAGCACTCGGAGATTTGAACTGCCGCTCGTCATTTTGGGGCAAACGCGACCGACAAAACGACCGGGGTCGACAACGCCAGATGTCGGACGCCGATCCTCGGCCACGGGGGGTCGCCAAAGGGTGGGAGAACGTGGGAATTATCGCTCAACGGGGGAGCGATAGTGTAATTTGAGTAATTACGAGGGAGGATCGTATAAATTTAGGGTGGTAAGTTAAAGGTGTCAATCGAATAGGGAGGGAAGAAAGAGAAGGGAAGAAGGAAAAGCGGGAAGGGAAAGGGAATGGGACTGGACTTTGGGGGGGGTGGGCTCCTCACTGGGTCAAGTTTGGCCACAGGTGAATCATCGAGCTCGAAATTGAGCTGGGATTTACGACTGAAAACATACTACAAAGTACGTATTAAAAAAGAGTTACTCCGAGCTTGAAGGATTGAAATGTTAAAATTACTCGATAGCTCCAATCATCAGGAGTGAATACGGGAAAATGCGAGGACGACACCGTTCCCAACTGCGAACGAAAAGGGCCCTTGGCCGCTAGTCTCGATCCAGCCACTGCAAAGGCGACAAACAGTGCAAATGTTGCAAACAAGACAAATGGGCAGAATCCGCTAGTCCCCGATTGGGACTAGGGTACCAGGCTTGAGCCACTCAGAGCGCCAGCCCATATCAACAGCTCGTACTCCGTACCTGTCGTGTGCTTTAGGCAACTCTTTTTTATGTGACATCTGGTGTCGAACACTCTACTCTGTGTGGATTACGGATTACTCGGTATGTGAGAGTTGGAGGAAGCCTGTTCGGATGGGTTCCATCAATTTCACCTAGTCCGAGCTAACTCCAGACCAAAGGGCGGGGACTGGCTTGTCTCCACAACTGAAAACACCTCAAGATCGATCTCATATGGTCAAAACAAAGGCACGAGTCCTATAGTTCCATCCGACCCCCCAGTGCAATGTTCCTTAGCGCCTGGGTTGACAAGGCCCTAGAGGTCACCGGCATGGACGCAGTGGATGCTCTTCGGGCGTTCTTCCTACTTGCCGCCGCCACCGTATGTCCTGCACCGTGATAGGGAACTGCAGCAACTAATGAACCTAGACGATCACAATCAGCATCCCAGCCTCCCTCCACTCACGCTTTCTCGTCTACGGCCCACGCGCGGCCTCGACCAAGGCTTCCCCTCCTCCCCAAAACAAGGGTCTCCTTGACACTCTAGCCACCTGGCAGGTCCCACACAGCTACTTCACCCAATTCTACATTGCATCTATTCTTTCATCCATCTTCTGGGTAATTCAGATATCATGCCGGGGCGTGGTGTTCCAGGCTATCGCCACGCGCGTTAATGAAGAAAGCCGGCCCAGCATGTCCATTACACAGCTGGTGATCTGCTGCGTGCTGTTATTTATGCAGGGAGCGCGCAGACTCTGGGAGTGTATTGCATTTTCGAAGCCCTCGACCTCGCGTATGTGGTTCGTGCATTGGCTTCTTGGTCTGAGTTTCTATCTTGCTACTGGAGTGGCAATTTGGATTGAGGGTTCGCGCACGCTGTTGACGAGAGAATTGTCCATTGCGCATTTCCAAATGACCAATGCCCCCAGCTTGAGAACATTTGCCGTCGTGCCGTTGTTTTTGATCGCTTCCGGATTACAGCATGATTCGCATCACTACCTTTCTTCTTTGAAGAAATACACCCTTCCTGAACATCCCATGTTCCGTGGTGTGGTCTGTCCCCATTACGGTGCTGAATGTGTGATATATCTATCCCTTGCACTGGTCGCCGCCCCGCAAGGTGAATGGATCAACAAGACTATGTTGACTTGTTTCATCTTTGTGGCTGTGAACTTGGGTCTAACGGCGAGGAATACCAAGGAGTGGTATGCTTCGAAATTCGGCAATAACTCGGTCAAAAACTGGTGGTTCATGATTCCCTATGTCTACTAACTTGACCGCGATGGATTGTAAAAACAGTCACCTCAGGAACTTCATAGTATTACCTATTTTTGCAACATGACGCACATCTCGATATGTGAGACTCGTCCTCGTCCCACGCTCACTCCATCCACTTCTGTAGGCTTCCTGATCCCGCAGGAGGTCCCAATTGCAGATCGTCTCCGGGCTGAGGTTTTCATCCCTGGTCGTTTCCGCAATGCCATGCAGCAAATCCGTATACATCTTGTCCCCCGTGACAAGCAAGCTTCGCCTCTCCTGCAAGATCCTGTATCTCAGTCGATTGGTGTGCCCTGTCTCCTCTTTTTTGGTCGCTGTATCTCTGCCGATGGGCTTGTCGTAGAATTCAAGCACAATCGGTGCGCCCAGGCTTACTGTGGCGACGATGGGGTAGTATGCTGCTCCGTCTTCATGTGGCATGATCCCTTGGCCCGGGCGGTACTCGTTTACCAACACATGATTCGGTGCTTGATGTGGTGAATCGTTGAAGATGCCCAGTTTTTGGAATCGAGGCTCGATGATTGGAGCCCTGAGCCAAGCTGGCAGTGGTGATGCCAGAAGTACATTACTTTTGGTTAGTGCGGATGGCCATGTCTGGAGTCTGCGGTGGGAAAGATGCGTCCAGCGTGGAAGAGGCGCTGATGTCACCTGTTTATATCATAAGCCATCTAGCATGGTGGTAAATCGCCCTCCCCTTGGGGGAGAACCGTCGGTATCGATACATGCTCGGGCTTTAATGCTTGAGCTAGGATGTTTACATCCGCCTCGCCATCAACCGAGATGGTATCGAGAATCCGCACATACCTTTTGTAACAGCCAGTCTTCTTCGGCCTCTGTAATGAAGTCCGAGATATAGAAAGCGTCATTGGGCAATGCAGAGATGCGCGCAAGCTCAACATTGAACCCCATCGGTCTTGTATGTTTGCATGATAATCGGGTCTGGTAGGATATGAGCTGGCCTCTTGGAATATGTTAACTTCGACGGTACAAAGGTCATTCAGTAGTGAAAGTAGAAGGGAGCAAAACAAACAGCAGAAGTATAAGCAAACCCCACGTCACTTTCTGCCTTACAGCCTGAGGCACTACACCCACCCCACATCAATCGTCCGAAGAAAACAGCAACACTTCACCATTAAGATGGCTCCCAAGAACAACGCCAAAGCCGGCAAAGGCAAGGGGAAGGATGCTACTGAAGACAAGGGCAAGGGTGGCAAGACAGCCGTGAAGGGCGCGCAGTCGATCAACGTTCGCCATATTCTTGTATGTAGCCCTTCATATGCCTCAGGTTTAGATTTGCAATCAGATCTAGTGGCACAGCCTGTGCAGGAGAAAACTGATGGATTGAATCTAGTGCGAGAAACACGCTAAGAAAGAAGAGGCGCTGGAGAAGCTTCGAAATGGCACCAAGTTTGACGAGGTTGCCCGTGAGTTCTCAGAAGACAAGGCTAGACAAGGTAAGTAAATGAGGACTCCATTTGCATTCCCCAGTTACGCTTAGCTGGAAATCTCAATGAGCTCGGCTTATACCCAAATTTTAGGTGGTGCCCTAGGATGGAAGACCAAGGGTGGGCTTGACCCGGCCTTTGAAGCTGTTGCCTTTGAGCTGGAAACCAGCACAACAGGCAATCCCAAGTATGCTGAAGTCAAGACTGGCTTTGGGTATCATATCATGATGGTTGAGGGTCGAAAGTAAACTATGAAAGGCAATCCAATCCATACATCCATTTACCCTGCGGTCTTGTGGTGATTCAGTAAAAGAAAATTTGCATGGCTGTGATATTGCCAAGTCTATATTGGGAATCTAAATGCTATGAAAGCTCCATATGTTATTTTACAACTCTTTCTTGGCCTCGACCTTAGAGCGCTCTTTCGCCTTCTTCTCTGATCTCTGGACCACGGCCTCGGCGCCAATGCCACCAAAGACCAGGCCAATTCCTAGCCACTGACCGCCAGACAGAGAATGACCGAACCAGAAGACACTAAGAAGCATCGTCAACATCTTCCGTGTGACGGTGACGGTAACAAGCAACAGCGAGGAGAAACGGGAAAGAGTATGGAAAATGAACAGTTGACCGACAGCACCACAAGCCGCGAACCCAAGGACATGCTTGAGCGCTTCTGGGTGGCGGGTGAGGAAGGAAATAGCGCCGAACAGCTCAGTCTCCGTGGATGGAGGGATAGGGAATGGCAAGAGGTTGTGCAAAACGCCGCTCTGGGAGAGATGCGGCATGACAAGAAGGTATGTAGCTGTCAGCACGGTTGAAAGCACATTCTGCGCAACCATCATCTGGGGTCCGGTGAAGCGCGTGTAGAGCTTGGGCGAGCTGAAGATGTGGTCTTGTGTGGTATTGGTCAGACCATCCAACAGAAGGTTGATGGCCAGTAGGAAAATGCCCCAGCCGGAAGAGCCCGAATTCGCCGCAGCGACCTTCTTACTGGTTCCTGGGTGGTGTAGGCTGAACGTAGCAACGCCGAGAGTGACCATCAACACAACACCGTATTTGTATAAAGGATACTTCTTGCGGAAAATGGTCAGGTGCAGGACCATGACAGGAAGAAGCTTGCATGATTTCGCGAGGATGAAGGTCAGATAGTCGATGTGTTGAAGACTGGCGTAGCCAAAGGGGGAGGCGAGCGATGAGGAGATAGCAACTAGGATGAGAGGGACCAGGATGCGACTCGTTGGGAAGATAGATGGGGTGCTTTGGCCCTTGGGTGTAGAGATCAGGAGGTAGATGAAGCCTGTTGTCGCAGCAAAGGAGGATTGGATGGTGTTTAGAACGAGGGAATAGGTGAATCGCTCTGTAGGCGGTTCAGGCTCAGCGGCAGTTGGTGGGCGTACGGGGTAGCTCGTCGTTGTAATCGCTTCTTGGAGAACACCCCATGAGAGACTTGGATGGTTAGTCTTTTGTATTGTAATGGGTAGGCTCGACTTACAATGCTGCGTAGATACCAAGGACACAGATTACCAGCTGGGCCAATCCAGGAGTCTCGGCAACAGTTTCCAAGACTGCTGATGCTTTCTCAGATGCGCTCCCATTAGGTATGGAACTGCCATTCGCGGACTTGGGCGCGCCGGCATCATCGTGCATCAATTGAGAAGACGGGGCTCTCTGGAGAGGTGTTGTTTGCTTCTGACGTCCCATTGTGGAAAATGTCGGATAAGAAATAGCAGGAATTATAATCAAGCACCAGGCGATGAACAGGAGAGGTGAAAGGAGTGTCGAGTCGAGGTGAAACAAATAGACCTAAGATGCCATGTGTTCAAATGCGCGCCTTATACAATGATCGCCGCTGCGCCCCACATAACCTTTTTTTGAAGAAACTGAAATGTCGACGGAGCCACTTGATCTGTTAGATGCTAACAGAATAAACTGATCACAATCAGCCCAGCACCTTTGAAGCCCTGGAGGCACCACATCAACTCGATCTAATCATCTCCCAAGTCAGGAAAGCGGTGTCACAAAAAGCCCAATAAGGCAGGCGGTGAGGCGCAAATCCTAAGTTTTGCAGCTTCCAGCTCTCCGCATCGCAAACTCACTGCTCCAATCTCCAACCTCTGAGCAAAATGGCGCAAACGACCCCTCCTACTGCGTCGGCAATAACCTCGCACATGAACGCGAGCAATCAATCGAGCCCACACCTTGCAACAGCCGCTCAAGTCCAACACAACCTCCAACATCAGCACCTCTGGACCTCATTAACGAGCTACACAATCCCAGCAAGCACCACACAAACAGATCCTCTCAATGCACCAAAGGAACCAATTGCCTTGATTTCTGGCTACCCGCCACACCGCGTGTACACCCACCCAGACGAGCAATTGTTCATGCTAGAAAACAAAATCACAGAAGACGATCTGCGACCCGAGCGCATGTTCGTTGTGCCGACTACACAGGGGCAATCTTGGAGTCTGCGTCATATGTCTGTTGTCTTTGACAGGCTGCCCGAGTTTGTGCAACAAGCAAGAGAGCAAGATGGTGGATCCCTGGGCGTGAAGCCTGCGGATGATCCTGAGAAGCGGGAACAGTTGGCCAGGTATTATGCCAAGAAGGAGGAGGTTTCGGGCACAGGTGAATGGGGCTCGCAGCATTTACTGCTTGCTATGGTTGATAAGGGAATGGGTGGAGATGGGACGGTGGCGTACTATGTTGTACAGGAGGGAGAGGTGAAGCCTCGGCAGAACTGAGGTGGGGATCTGTGGTTTCGACATGTATATACCCATTGCAATCCTGGAGGATTGAAGATATGATGTGATGAATCAAAAATTACAAATTGATTACAGTTTAGTGCTCGTGGGTTGAACCGTAGTATTCAATAAATTACAACGCTAGGATGCAAAAACAACGTAGAATAGGACCTCCCAAGACTGTACACAAAGTGTCCGTAGATAATCAAGCTGATCACCGGGAATGGTGATGGGCCGAACAGCGAAAGGTCGTATATAGCTGTACAAAGGCTGGACGAGATGCAAATGGACTGCTAACAGGGTTCAAGGAATTAGGTCACCACTTCCATTCAATGTGGCACGATCCTGCTCCAATCGACAACTCGAGCAGTATTCCTCATACCACTGCTTCACGTCGCTCGCATGCTCGGCGAACACACGCTCCGCCTGGGCGAGTCGACCCTGTGAGTCGCCTTGCGTATCGCCGCCGAGAAGAACCTCAACCTGTCGACAACGTCGGACTTCTTCACGAAGCCAGCGCTCCCATTCAGTCTGGATGACTTCTTTCTCGATGCTGTTCACCACACGCAGTGCGACGAGAAGATTGTGTCTGTACATCCCAAGTCGCTCACGAGTCTGCTGGAAGCGTTTGATAGCACTCTTGGTCAAAGTATCGCGGGGGCCTGATGAGCTGAGTGACAGTGGCATCTCTGCATAGCGCATGGTCTGCTCGTGGAAGGTGGCAAAGCAATCACTTGCATTGCCGGACGACGACCAGATGGTAGAGTTTGCGACTGCCTCATCAATGTCGTGCATGTAGATTGATTTGCCCATGACAAGGTTAGGCTGAACGCCAAGCCGAGCCATAAACTTACTTGCATGGCGCTCGTGCCACCAGTCCCAGCTGTCCCGGGAGGAATAATACCCGTTCATTACTGCACTTGTAGCAAGTAAGAGCAGGATGATCTTGTGTGCGCTCACAGTCTTCCAGGACCATCGGACAATGTCGAACATCCACATCATTAGGAATGAGACGCTGGTCTCTAGGAATGAGAAAATCGTTTCGAAGAGAAGCTCGTGCATGCTACGAGGCGTGCGAGGCTTGCGAGACTCCAACTTTAGATTAGGACCGGCGCCAGTAAAGTGAGAGACGTGATTCTGGCGTCCAACATGGCCAAAGATCGTGATTGCCTTTTTGGTGCGACTGTGTGCCCCCAGCCGGCGCACTTGATCACCGACCAGGTCCACAAGATCTAAAGCGTCTTGCTCCAAGTCCTCACTCGCTTTTTTGTCAATCACATCTGAGAATGTAAGCATGCGACTTGGGGGCGTAGAAGGCAATTACTCACTTTTAAGACCGTATGGGGACCACAGCCACTCGACTTTGGTGAAGATGGCAATTTTGCTCTTCGATTTGGCATGGAACGTGATGACCACTTTGCTGACCAACCTGAACGACCGTCGGAATGGAAGATGCCATGGAGTCTTCTTATCCGTGACCACGTAGCACAGATGGTCGTTGAGCACGTCAATGATCTGGTAATCTGAAATCGCATTTTCATGAGTGCGACCTATATGAGTTAGTCAAAGTTGAACGATTAACGTACAATTCCACCTACCCATGATATCTGATGATCCAATATTGTAATTGAAGTCACGTCGCAAGTGCCGTGATTCTGTGGCAGCCCATGGACCCTGCTTGATATCTTTAAAAAAAGATTAGCAACCAACTTTGTAACTAAAGAACCAGATGAACTTACCGCGAGCTTGCCGTTCGTGTAACAGAAGCTGCCAAACGGCACTTTTGTCGCCAAACAGGATGTGGAACAAGGCTTTGGGGCTGATGTCGAGTACCTTTTCGGCGACCAAGGCTAGGTCACCTTGTGGAACATACTCCACGGGTTGTGTCGGGAGTCTGAACTTTGCGATGTCTCGACCCCGGCCAGCCTTGCTTGCATCTAATTCAAGATCTTTGTCAATGTAAATAGGGAGCTGAAGGTCCTTGTCACGGCCCCGGTCAGCGGGTTTCCCATCGCCTTTGATGTCTGCGAGCCCAGACGAGAGATCCTCCCAGCTATCTGCACTGGAAGCTCGGGTTGGGGATATTGAGTCCATTTTGATCAGTGCTTTGATGAGAGATTCGAGAGATAATTGCTCCACGGCAATTGACCCTTGTATCAAGAAGTTAAGACGTTTTTGAAGAACTCTGAGGGGCTCAAGGAATGTTTTAATGGTGACTCGGCCTGGTGTATCGCTACCAAGTGGGGGTATGGTGTGGAGGAAAAGGAAGTCACAGTCTCGCCCAGGTGCTGCTGTCACTTCTTTAATACTCTCCAAAGTGACGCCAGTCGTCAAAACAAGTCCAAAGTGATGGCTGTAGAAGTAAATATTTCTGGTGGTGACATAGGCTCGTCCAGGGAACTCTTGAGAGTCATTTGGACTCCATGTGGCCCTGAACACCAATACCAATGCTTCCTCCCTCTTGACGTCTGGGAAGAGTAACCGGAACTGGGCATCTTGTATCCTCAACTGCTGGGGATAATAGCTGGGATATTCGTGTCCGATTCCTAACGCAGCTTGTGTGAGCTTTACGTCATCCCCATCAAGACTGACTGTCTGTCTGTGGCGTGGCCCTGGCTGCTTTTGAGTTTCAGGGGAATTTGAGACATCGGGTTGTGCGGCAATAGTCGCAGTTGAGCTGTCGCTGAGGGTAGAAGACGGACGGCCCTCTGAGCCATGTGCTGCATCTATCTCGCGTTGTTCACGTTGGAACTTGTTGACGAAGCCCCAATTAGAGCTACCCCACAGGTTCGCCATCATACCACTAGGCATACCACCTGTGCTGTCTGAAACACCCAATCCAATGCCTCTTTCGTTGCTCACAACTACCGCAGCTTTGCTCATGCTTGTAGGTGCTGGTGGATTGGCGAGCGTGGCGGGTGCAAGGCTTGAACCGGGCTCATCCACGCTGCTCAAACTGCGACCCCGGGTGATTTTATCATCGTTGTGGTTCATTGAAGCATTCGTGCTGTAGGGCAGAATATTATGGCTGGCAGATATGAGACTGGCTATCCCACCTGCCGGGCCAGGGATGGAGGGAGATATCGGGGCTGCGTTGTTCGATTTACGGTGGAGATCCAACTTCTGAATAAGTCGGGAAGTATGGTCTCGGGCGTGATCTCGAGTGGAACCCTCGCTGTCCAAGCCCGTGGGTCTCCTGCCACTTGCGATGTCGGTGCTATTTCTGATCACATGCCCATCTCGGTCTGGCACGGGGAGTGTCATACTGCGTTCTGTCGAGCTGGACTCATCGTTCGCATGTGGAGTGAGGGAATCCGCAGGGTCTGCGGCGAATTCGGGAGCTGGAGGTTGAGAGATCGAAAACGCAGGGTCCTGTACCGTGTGTTTTCCAGAGACCGAAAGATCAGTGCTGGCAGGGTTCTCCAGCGCTTTTTGCTTGGCAGCCTCAAACGCACCAATCCATTCCATCAGCTCCTTTTGATTGTCTGCTTGTAAGAGAATGGTGTTGTTCTTGGTCTTCACCTGGAAGCAGAACCGCCGTTCCTCTTGGAAAGCAGGGCGAATGCTGCAAAGCAATACACCGATGCGATCGCTTTCTTCGACACCACCAGTGCGAGACCCTTGCACAAGACACCCAAAGATGCCGTGCTTGAGGAAAGCCCACCGCTTAACCCAAACATGGCGAGTGGGCTTTCCCGACAGTGTGCGCAGATACAACCATCCTTGCTTCTCGGGCCTCGTCTCTTTGCTAACTGGAATAGTCGAAATAGGCCGGGAGCCTAGGTATGGAACAGTGGAGATGTTGTAGTCCTCCAACTCTCGTGAGGGGCGAGCTGTCACCTCCGCCGCCTCCTCAATGTACTTCCTCGTCGAAAGGAGCTCTTTCTTGGATGAACGTTCGCTGGCTTCCATTTCGTGGAGCCAGCCTTTGATGCGATCCATCTCACGGGACCATTTTGAGAAGGTGCCGTTGTTGTGGTCGTGGAACCCACGGAACTCCCGCCATTGATTAAAAGATATCGTGACCAGAAGCCGGTCCAGCGCATTGCGTACCTGGGGACCTTGGACTGAGTAGTCCAATGATGCTTTTAGGTATGCCTTGTGGGCCTCATGCAACTGGAACGCTTCTTCTCTTAATGCCGATGCTTCCTTGGATTTTGACTGCGAGGCATAGCGGGCTTGGAGGTAGTCATATTGCTTTTGAGTATGCTCGAGGTTGCGACGGATTTCCTATTGTTGTACCAAAAGTGTCAGGTAAAGTCCGGGCAATGTGGATCATGGGTCCCGTACCTTGAATTGGCGCAGATCCTCGTGGATGAAGTCTCGAATGGGTTCGGAGATCAGCGACTCTAACTTCCTCGTTGTTGTAACTAGTCCGCTCCAGAGGTCTTTTGAGCTTTCCCCGCACCTCCTCATACCCAACAGTGTGTAGTCATGGTCAACAACCGCCTCGGAGACCACAAGAGGGTGTGTCGAGTAGGATAGAAAATTGCTCACAACGCTCTCCAAGGCCGTCAGCTCAGACGAGAGCTTAGTTGCAGCCTTGGCGTATCCATCAAGCCATTTCTCTATAAAGTCGACTTGATCGGAGAAGTGATGCGTCGTGGCGCGGAAGGTGGGCGAGTCGAGGGCAGCTTCTTTTAGACCGACCGGGCTGGGAGATGAAGTGGTTAGCATGCTAATAGAATTTCGCTTCTCCAGCACATGTACTCACACAACGCTCACAAGCTTCCCAACCTGGGGTAAAGGGGTATGTGCTGGATTCGACATCTAGTGTACGAGTATGTCTCCAGCCATACACTCGACACGGGTCAAAAGCAACAGGACCGTGCAAGCGGGGCCCTCCTGTCAACAAAATTGGAGGAATGTCTTTCAAGTCACCAATTCAATCTCAAGGCCTGGAGACAGCCCTCGTGTTTGATAGTCTCGACTTCGTAGACGCTCAGCCCTGAGCCTCCGGGGATGGAATGATCTAATTGGCTACGTCAGTGATGATGTTCCTGCCTGGATGCCTGATCTTCGAGGCGGATAAGAGGCGGTGTGAGATTTTTTTTTACTGCCATTTTGCCCATTTGCGGGTCTGCGCATTTTGTCCAAAGTCCTCCAATCTCATAATTCATAATGGAGCCTCCTTCTAAGAAGATGCGCAAGCTCTTGGAGCACGACAGCGACAGTGATTCCGGGGACGAGTCTGGTGGAGTTCTTCTCGGCAAGCAGTCGCCTGATGCCGGATTCAAGATCAATGAAGACTTCGCTCGACGATTCGAACACAACAAGAAGAGAGAGGAAGTTGCGAGATGTATGTGCTGGGCTTTTCCTCTGCTTAATTGATATCAGGCTAATGTTATGGTGAATAGTGGAAGCAAAGTACGGAAAATCCTCCAGTCTTGGAAACCGCCAAGTTGGTGAAGATTCCGACGATTCAACCGATGAGGAAGAGGATGACGATGCTGAGCTCGCCACCGAAGCCCTGGACGCAGAGATTTCCGCGACTTTGAAGGCCATTCGTTCCAAGGACCCTCGCGTTTACGACAAAGATGTCACTTTCTACACCAAGTACGACCCCGAGGCAGCCGATGCTGCCAAACAACCCAAAGAGAAGTCCATGACTCTGCGACAATATCACACCGATAACCTTCTGAAGGGTGTTGACCCCGCCGAGGAAGAAAATGCTCCGAGAACCTACGCCCAGGAGCAGGCTGACTTGAAGAACAACATTGTCAAGGAGATGCACGGAAAGGGAGCCGGTTCCGATGATGAGATGGAAGATGCTGATGACTTCTTGGTCCGCAAGCCCGGTCAAGATGTCTCGCTGCCCAAGGAAGAGATCAAACTCGACATTGAGAATGCGGACAAGGATCCCGAAACTTTCCTGTCCAACTTCCTCTCAGCACGGGCATGGCTTCCCACCAACAAGGCCGAAATGCAACCCTTTGATTCAGATGATGACGAGGACTTCAATCGGGCAGATGCCTTTGAGGAAGCTTACAACTTCCGTTTCGAGGATCCCAACAAGATGAACGAGGCCCTGGTCACTCACTCTCGTGATCTCACCAACCAGCAATCCGTTCGTCGTGATGAGAAGAGCTCTCGCAAGAAGATCCGTGATGCCGAGCGCCAGCAGAAGGAAGAGGAGAAGAAACAGCGTGAGACCGAGAAAAACCGCCTCCGCAAGCTGAAGACCGAAGAGCTCCAGAAGAAGGTCGACCAGATTAAGGAAGTTGCTGGTCTTCGAGCCTCCAACTTCACAGATGAGGACTGGTCTCGCTTCTTGGACGCTTCTTGGGACGACGAGAACTGGGAGTCAGAGATGCAAAAACGATTCGGAGAAGAATACTACGATGAAGCCGAAGGCAGTGATGACAATGACAAGAAGAAGAAGAAGCCCAAGAAGCCCACATGGGATGACGACATTGATATCAAAGACTTGATTCCCGATTATGAGGATGAGGGTGAGGAAGCCCAGCCTACAATCGAGCAATCAGACGACGAGGGCGACGATGAGGCCTCCGGCTCCAAGAAGAAGAGTAAGGCCGAGGAGAAGCGTATACAAAAACGTGAGGCCCGCAAGGACCGGATGCGCATTGACGATGCCGTCGAGCGTAATCTGGATCTTGACATCACTCTGCTTCCTGGAGCGACCAAGAAGAACGCGACCAAGTTCCGTTACCGCGAAACCTCGCCGCAGAGCTTTGGTTTGACCGCGCGGGATATTTTGATGGCCGACGACACTCAGCTGAACAAGTTTGCCGGTCTGAAGAAGCTTGCCTCCTTCCGCGAAGAGGAGCAGAAGCAACGTGATCTCAAGAAGCTGGGCAAGAAGGCCCGACTTCGCGAGTGGCGCAAGGATACTTTCGGAGACGAGAATGGGCCAGAGTTCAAGTTTGGTGGCGATGTCCAGCCTCAAGCTCAGCCCGAGGAGAATGAGACCAAGCTTGATATCAGAGAGGGTGATGGGTCTAAGAAGAAGAGAAAGCGCTCGAAGAAGCACTAAGCTAGTATTGCTGTATATATCGTTGTTTAGAGGGAGTACCCGATTGTACGAATGAAACAATTTTCATGTTCAAAGCTTTCTTAACTTGGATATTATGGGCTCAAATTCTAAAGTTTGAAATTCTTCGTAGTGACAAGGTTATTCTCGTCTTAGATCTGAAGATCCTGAAGTCTCAAGGCCCCATGCATTCCACTCTCGAGCTTCCGCACTTGAGCATTACCCATTTACTTAAGTACCAATTTCAAAGATTTTCACATACTCTGGCTGTCCAATATATAACTTTTGAATGAAGTACTTGAAGTTATACTTAAGTAGTTCAGAAGTTTGGTTGAAACGAAAAATGCTGTTGTGCTTGAGGCGGCTGGTACATCGGAGTTCTGGCCGTGATATATATCTCAGTTTTCTGATTTACTTCATTTTCATTTCCTTGAGTAGATCTATAGATATAGATCGGGTATCGAGTAACCAAACCAGTGACATTGAGCCAACCGCAGCAGAGGTTTTAATAAACCGAGGTAGGCCTTGTCCATAGAGCCCTCTGCACAGAATATCAGAGTGAACAAACAGCCCAAAGCGGAAAGCTGCCATGCGACCCGGATCCACTGCCGTTGCTGGGGCGAAGAGACGGGTTGTTTTGACCGCAACGAAGCTAAGAGCAGAGCTATCCACTTGGTCTCCGAGAGGTCCAATCTGATACCGAGGATTGACTCGTAGCCTGCAAGCTGTGAATTTTTTCCTTGAGATCCAGGACAAAAGTGGGTTTTGGGCACTTCCGTACGGAGTAGCTAGGATTGTCATGTGAAGTACCTTGGTACATTGCCCATGCGGTGATCGATCACCCTAAACCTTGTACTCGCGACATGTCAATTGAATATGAAAAATGTCTCATATCCAACCGGGTTATCCCTCACATTGATTGCCGCGCCAACGAGAACACATGCGTACTACAGTCTAGTACAGAGCCGTGATGCAGGTGTAGCTAGTAGAGCTGCAGCTATGGAGAATTAAAATGGCCACACGGAATATTTAGCATTGGCGTGTGAGTTGCTCGTTATGTAGGACTCGAGCTTCTCTGTACTTGTGCTACGTAGATTCTTGGAGACAAATAGTCCTTATGCTAGAGGTTATGGGCTTCACGATGTTCCTACGAGTCCTATATATGGAGTAGCAAAACCTGAATTATGCAAATAGCCCGTTCACCGGTTCGCTCTCGGATGCCCGGGCAGCAAAAAGGAGGCCGGGGAGTGGAGGCCCGGCATTGGGGGAAATTTACGCCGTACCCCTACCGTACCGCGCTTGGACCGTGAACTCGGATCAAAGGCTTGGAAGTGAAGTAGTACTTGGATACTATTGAGCTCAGGATAGATTCAAGTAACTCGTAGCTGTATGAGATAGACAATTCAGCCAATTGATCCAGTCAGTTCCCCATAACCCCATAAAACGGATCAAGGGAAGGCCAGGGTGTAGGCCAGATTGCAGAATTTTCAGTGGATCGGGAGATATCGGCAGGAGGCAGTTTGATACAGCCCAATACCTTGTTATTACCGTAATCTAGCCCCCCTGGGCATCCTGATTGGCTGTTACTGCCCTGCGTCCGCTTTCTTCCCGTGGTAATTTTTTTTTTCTGGCCCCCCTTCCCGCCTCTGCTCTTCCCTTTTCTTCCCTCTTTATCCCTGGTGTTTCTTCCTTCTTGACACTCTCCATCTCCTCTCTTTTTTTTTGCATCTTCTTTTTGCACTACTTTCAAAATGGGTTCCGGTGACGTTAACCAGGCCGACAAGTCGGTCTTCGGCATGCCCGTAAGTTACTCCCTGTCGCAAGCTCGTTGATGTTGTGAGCATCGAATCGTGAACGCGATTCAATGGCCCAGAGCATCAGTCCCGAGTCTCAAAGAAATGAACACGATCAGAAACACGATACTAACAATCGACACAGGGCTTCGTTGTCGACTTCCTTAGTACGTGATCACTACACAATGCAACTGACAGGCATCGGCCTGCTTCATCTGCAAGAACAATACTAACATTCCCCTAGTGGGCGGTGTCTCCGCCGCTGTCTCCAAGACCGCTGCTGCCCCCATTGAGCGTATCAAGCTCCTGATCCAGAACCAGGTTGGTCATTCCCTCCTTTCACAGATCCATTGGGGTGAACGGCAGGAAAACAAACACTCGATGAGCACTGCAATCAACTGGAGACTCAAAACTTGGATTCGAGTTTTGTTTTCACATGTTGCACCTGATTGGGAAATTTTTTTCTTCGGCGTTCACCGCATTCGGCACACCCCTGCGACAATCTCTAACAACAACCACAGGATGAGATGCTCAAGGCCGGTCGTCTCGACCGCAAGTACAACGGTATCGGTGACTGCTTCAAGCGTACCGCCGCCGCTGAGGGTGTCGTCTCTCTCTGGCGTGGAAACACCGCCAACGTCATCCGTTACTTCCCCACCCAGGCTCTTAACTTTGCCTTCCGTGACACCTACAAGTCCATGTTCGCCTACAAGAAGGACCGTGATGGATACACCAAGTGGATGATGGGTAACCTTGCCTCCGGTGGTGTACGTATATCTGAAAATCTCTGCGCGCTTGGACCATGCTAACAGATCCCAGGCTGCCGGTGCCACTTCCCTCCTGTTCGTCTACTCCCTGGACTACGCCCGTACTCGTCTTGCCAACGACGCCAAGTCCGCCAAGGGTACCGGTGAGCGCCAGTTCAACGGTCTCGTTGATGTCTACCGCAAGACCCTCGCCTCCGACGGTCTCGCCGGTCTCTACCGTGGTTTCGGTCCCTCCGTTCTCGGAATTGTTGTCTACCGTGGTCTCTACTTCGGCATGTACGACTCCATCAAGCCCGTTCTCCTTGTCGGTCCTCTTGAGGGCTCTTTCCTCGCTTCCTTCCTCCTCGGTTGGACCGTCACCACCGGTGCCGGTGTTGCCTCTTACCCTCTTGACACCGTTCGTCGCCGCATGATGATGACCTCCGGTGAGGCCGTTAAGTACTCCTCCTCCATGGACGCTGCCCGCCAGATCATCGCCAAGGAGGGTGTCAAGTCTCTCTTCAAGGGTGCCGGTGCCAACATCCTCCGTGGTGTCGCCGGTGCTGGTGTCCTGTCCATCTACGACAAGGCCCAGCTCCTCCTTCTCGGAAAGAAGTTCTAAGTTATTCGCTGAAATGTGAATGCTTGCCGATGACTATATATCGTACCGGGGTAATCTCCCGGACGGTGTAGGTATCGGGTGTGGAACCGACGAAGTGGTCGTCAAAAGATAGATGCGTCAAGAATGGGTTCAGGGGATCTTGAAGCATAGAATGGTGATTCTTCCTCTTATGTACCCAATGTACTTTACTGCCTGCAACTATTTCTTTTTTCTTTAATCATTTTCGAACAAGACTTGTATTCCCATGTAGAATCCACGTATACATCACCCGTTGGCCTCTGTTGTTGGCGGCGTCAGACTCTCGTATGCACGTCTTAGGAAATCAACCAACTTATGAGACACCAACATATAATATGCACATCAATCAATGAACCACTTCGAGAAATACTCGACCTTGGAAGTCATAGACCGGAGACGTACCCAGGGCCAACCCAAAACATCTCACATCCCAAAACGGCAGGGGCTCCACAGCGGCTATCATGACGTCTTGAGCCTCCTTCTTTACGCCTCCTGACTCTCCAACTACACAAACCATACTCTACACATCAAGATGTCCGTTCAAACCTACACTTCCGCGCCAGTCAACGCAAACGCGCCCCCATCCGAGGAAGGCACATCTCCATCTCCCGAATCCGCCACCGCCATAGAATCATCCTCCGAACCAGCCAGCGCCACAGCAACAGCAACACCAACAGCAATAACAACCCAAAACACTCAAAACCAAGCACAACCAGGCGCAGCACCACCAAAGCCAACTCCCCACCCCCAATCCCAACCCCCATCAACAACCTCATTCCCCGAATCAGCAACCTCCATAACCCGCACGCCACCGGCGCCACAGCCCGTCTCTAGACCAGAACATCCAACACAGCCAGGTGCAGTTCCCCCACCGCCAAAAGCAGGCGAGGCAGTGCCCAGTCCTGCGCCGATGCCAGCAGCGTATACGCAGTCGTATTCGTTACCGCCGAATTCGACTTCGTCGCCTTATACGTCTGTTTATCCTTCTGCGGGACGGCCTCAGTTGCCAATGCATGGGGGCAGTGCTGGGGGTGGGGGTGGAGCGGATAGTATATTTCCAGAGAAGGAGGATGGGTTTATTGGGGCTGCGAAGGGGTGGATGAAGTGGGGTGGGGGGAAGCTTGTTGAGGTTGAGAAGGAGGTTTGGAAGAAGATTAATGATGTGCATGAGAAGTAGGTGGATTGGATTCTTGGGTTGAGGCTGGGTTGGATCGATTGTGGATTGCTTTGGCGTTTGGCATGTATGTTTTAGGGCTTTGGTTGGGTATTGGGTGAGGCTTTTGCATGCAATGAATTCATTATGTTCACTCCGTGTTCCATACAGAGTACTACTAGAGAATTAGGTGGAGCCGGAGCTTTGGCCGATAGGAAATGCCAGTAATAATGTACAAGCTTTTACAGAAAACCAGAGACAAGTAATAGGGAGGAAAAGCCGTGCATATAGCACCGGGTAGTTAAACTGGTAAATAACCTCAGTCACTATGTACTTCCATCCTCGGCGAACAAATGTTCACCTCGACCCGAATGACCAAAGACAATACAAGATCAAATGACCTGCCTGCGTGTACGGAGTACAAGAAAGTGCGTTGAGCACATGAAAACAGGATGGAGAAGAGCAGAAAATAGAAAAGAGTAAAGAGAAAGAATTCGACAATTCTCAGTGAAATCAATGAAGATGACTGAGACAATCTGACCAGGATATCCTAGAAGTGAGACCAGTGGGATCAATGAAGATGACCAGATCATTTCGTAAGATGTCGTGCAGATTGGTGGATTGCCGGGATGAAGCGCAGGGAAGAGGAAAAATTATTAAAATCCGTATGATAGTATGAAACGAAGCAGCTGAGCCACGACCGATGCAATAATAACGCCGAAGAGAAGAGGGGGTATTGACTTGTCATGAAAGGACTGTCAGAGTGGTCGTTGGCGTCATAATAAAAAGAAGAGAAGCGTCCGTCTTGAATATCACGCCACTGTGCACTGCACATAGCAGCTTGCGTTTTCTGGATCAATAGCACACCAGCGGTCCAGACCAGCTGCGGCTATGTGGAATAAAAAAAGGACAAAAGAAACCCGAATCGAAACGCCAATTATGCAGGGACTACATGGAGCCCAGTCGGAGAAGTGCCTCCACAGCAGCACGTTCCTGGTGGTCGATGGTGCGGGGAATTTGGGAGGGACAGGTAGCGGGGAAGATCCCGGCAGGCTGAGGCTTTGCCCGTGCGGCATCGTTCATAAAACTGCCGGTGTTCATGGAACGGGCACGCAACGCATCCGCACCGATGTGGGCCCAATCTTCCTCGTCGGTAACGTCGGCTTCATTCCACTCGTTCTCTTGGATTTCATCCGGCGCCTCCGATGAAGAACAGTATTCCTCGCCATCCAGCGACATCTTATCAGCTTCGTGTTCGAGAACGTCCAGATCACCGTGCATGCCATAGTCATCGGTATACGAGAATGCCGTGGACTCGGCAAAGCTCATCCGGTAGGGATGACGGTTGCCACCCTGCCAGCTGGACTGGCCTTGGATCTGAACGCCACGCTGCAGGGAGCCTCCGACACTAGAAGGAGGTGATGTAGATGCAAAATCCCGTGCCGGCTCGCCACGACGTCGTGCATCCCAGCGGCCCCAACCGATCTTCTCAAATACCACATCACTGCTACCACCGTTGCCTCGGCCCTCCAGGGCGGCCACGACCAGTCTGCGTGCTTTCGCAGGCGGGATACGCGAGAAGCCGGGCACGGAGGTTGTCAGATGACCCATGACGTGGCGAATAGCGAGTGGTCCTTGCTGCAGGAGAATATCGGGAAGGTGATACTTGGCCAGCATGGCAGGGGTGATGGCACCGGTGCTATCAAGGTCATCCCGGCCGATAGAGCTGGCGTGCTCGACATCATCCTGCAGATCGATATCCGAGTCCAGTTGAGGAACTGTGGACAGAGGAGAGCCCGGGGATAGGGTAACCCGCTGGAAGGTAGGAGGAAGTGTTGGAGAAATAGAGTTGGGTGGCGTGGGAAGCATGGCAGGCTGTCCGGATCGCGTAGCGTGGCCCACACCTGCATGCGGGATATCAACAGAGGCAGTCTTGCCCATTTTACCAGTTTTGCCAGCAAAAGCCATAGCAATACTGGAGGTTGTCTGAGGAGCCATGATGAGAGAAAGATGTATTGGTGAAAGGGGCAGGACCTGCGCGTAATGTATATATGAGTCAGAAGACCTGTTCCTAAACGCGACAAAGCGGTACCACGGACAGAGAAAACGGGTGGCAACGGAGAATCAAAGGGACTAAACAAAGGGAACTCACCTTTCACACAGAGACAAAAGAGTCACAGACGAAGAGTGGAAAGTTCGACTGTTGGACTGTTTTGACTGCTTAGGGCTTTTTCCACGCAGGGGATGCGACGCGGTAAGGGGCGATAAGTCGAGATAAGTCGCGATAAGGACAACGCGCGACCAGATCTATAAGACTTCAGGACCAAAGGGATGAGAAATTGGAGTTTAGGTATGGAGAGGAAGAGAGATAGAATGGAGGGGAGGGAAGTACTCATAGTACAAGGCATCGGTACCCCAGCCCTGGAAGGTCCAAGTATGGCACTCCGCAGGCGCAGCGTCAGGAAAGCGCGTGGGCCTCGGGGCCGAATGATTGGCGCATCGTGACCGGGTGCTTCCGGCTTTCTATACAATTACTGCATTATGAGGACTTATTACTGATTCTAGACATTGTAGATATTAAATACGATATTTGGATATTAGTGACATCTTCCCTTGATCTCTATCCTAAATCCATATACTCGTAGACTTACTTGTACTGGATAATCTCACACAATAAGATACCCTGAGCCGATCCGAAAATCCCGTTCACAAAATGCAGAAAGGTACCTGACTAGAAAACCCCTCACTGCCAAGTTGCAACTTGTTATCAGCCAGTCATGAAGATCACGAGTGCTCGTGCGCTTTCGAACGCTTATAGCGCTCCAGGGCGTAACCCTATCCCCGGCTGATAACCGTCCCCCAAGGCACGTGGATCATTTCTTAAAGACCATTAAATTCAGTTTAACATATGCGGTTGCTTTCTTTTTTCTTTTTTTTCCGGATCAATCATTGTAATTCTTTGGCCAATGTGACATGATTATGGTTATTACTCGCACACTCATCTACCCCTCCAACCCCTCTATACGTCGTGTACTTTATCTACTTACACGCTAAGTACTGGGTACATCCACTTCTTCTCGGGTCCCACTACCATCTGGACTTGGCCCCTTGACGTCAGTTGTACCAGTGACAAACGCTTGGGCATCTCGGGCACGGTGTTCCATTCCCCCCCACGATGATAATAGACTTTATTATTGGTATAGAATGAACAGCGCAGAGTTGCCACTATCAATGCGTAAATTGAGAATCTCTGACTCAGATTATTGACTATTATTAACTAGGGGGGCCTTTCGTACAGTCAGCACAGGAACCAGCCCTGGAGCCCTGGAGCCCTGGAGCCTGGGAATCTTCCAACCCGGCATGGATGCCGCTGAGGGGTTATTCGCAAGTATGGACTGAACATGCAGGGGCTAACTCGCGTCTACTCCGCATTGGGGGGATATCGCTTCCCGCTCCAACTCCCCAACAAAAGTATACAAGTGGCTTGTATGTCGTACATTGACCTCGCACTAGGGCCATGCATTCCTCGGAAGTCCATTGTGTGACGGGGGCAACGCTCGGTCAAAGTGTCAAACTATGCAGCATTACATTCCTTCCTTGGAACTCATCCCGCAACGCCTTGTTTGGGGACCTCGGGCTGTATGTGGAACGGGGCTTCTGATTCGGGGTTTGATTACGTTGGAGCCTCGTAAACTGGGCTATGAAACAGCCACAAAGCGGATCGTCATTATTATGGATGTGGCATAATAAATGGACACAGCTAGAAAGTGTACTGAGGTACAAAATCCAAGTATCTGTAGGTATCGAAGTTGAACTTTAGAGGGGATTAGGAAATATTAGCGAGGGTTTCATGTGCGATAACGTGACCGGAACATCATTGTTAACTTGACTTGGGTTAACTTTGGTAGACCTAAAATGAGGCAATCTATTGTCTGCTTTATGAGTCTTTTCTGACTTTGAATTGAATATAAGATTGAAATGACAAAGTTGTGACGTTCATGGATAACAAGCTCAAGTACCGATAATTTAGATTGCGCATACCAAAGGTACTTGGTATCGGCGCATTCAAACCCAAACATTCGGTAAAGATACTATTCGGTCTGATGTGTTCGGTGCATCCAGCCTGTCCATCAAAGTTTGCAGCCATGTTCGCCGTGTTATTTTAAATATTGAGAAATTTCGCTGGTTTTCATACTTTGGCTCAACGACGTATTCAAATGCTGGGGAATATCAGCCACATATTGACTTGTGGGTATGCTCGGGCTACTATTGACCAAACCGAATTCCCCTTGATGTGAAACAATGCTGTTGGGTTGTTTGTGTCTCGTCTTGTTGGGTCACTAGGTGATTTGGTAGAGAAGCATTAGGCATTGGGCAGACCAGATGAATCAAGCTGGACTTTTGTACGGAGTATACTTGGACAAATAATTTCTATGTATCTGTTAATCCACCAATTATGCCCCTCATTGCCTCATTACTCACTTCGCCCAACCAAGGCATCCAATGATTGAGTCCAATATGTGACTTGGCCCACCCTCTTGCGATATTCAAGCCTCTCAAAGCGTCTCCTAGGACGACTGCAACGCCAACATCAGGATCAGTGCTACCTAGTCCAACTAATCCTTGGCCAAGAGGTTGGACAATCTTCCATAGAAACAAAGGGTCCTTCTAAGTTTCTTGTAAAATCAATATGGTAGAATATTGGCTACGAGACTAGTCCGGTCTCTTTTGTAAAGGCCAAGTTTAGGGCGACCTTACCTCGTATTCTGTGGGGAAGATTCTAGCCTAGCTCACTTTCACAGCGTGAAATAGCATCTGAGATGCTTACACGATGACGTTCATATATGACAGTAGAACCGCCCTTAGCCGTCGGTATGCCTGTAGATTCGCGACCCAATCACATGATATAACCCTAACGCCAAAAGCATTTTGATAAAGTGACAATAGCGAGGATTGAATAATTCAAGGTAGTGTGTCTGTATTTGTACAGGGAGAGAGTCGGCTTTCACTTCAATCGTTGTCACCGAAACATTTCTTAACGTTAGTGATTGCTCACTGGCCACTAGTCCCTTGATGAATTTGTGATGGTGATCTCAGTAGTGGGATTGTCAGTTTGACATAATATGCAATTGAGAGATTGTTCAATTAACATATGGGTCTCGCAGTTCAATGAAACATCGAATGATTGAAGGTCTATTCAATTGAAGGTCACTTGACCTGAATATCAATACTTAAGTACGGATTCACTAGCGTGGGTGCATTGTTATGTCAATAATGGCAGAACTTAGCATTTTGTCCGAATGAAGCTATCATTCAGCGTGTGATTAGTTGCTCTTCAAAAGATAGCCCTGTCCAGAACTATACCTTCGTACTCTTCTTCTTTCCTACATCATCTTTCTCTTTCAATTTAGAACTCACTTCTTCTTCCAATCCATTATCTGTCACTCACATCTAGCCATGGCATCGCACAACTTCTCAGAGCCTCTCATCGACCCTGAAAAGTTGTTCAAAAACGTGATGAAGGCACTTAAAAAGCACGAGGATGAGTGTGACCTTTGCGTATGCTGACCACTCTCTCATTGAAGAGATCATACAAGAGTATTGGCTGACCTGGAATAGCACAATGCAATGCTTACAATGGGCGAGCTCTGCTCCGGCCGCCCTTCTCTCCCTGGACATGCCTCGCCCGTGACACCCACCTCGCGAGCCCCAGTCGGCCGTGGAGCTTCTGGAATCAAGCGCTCTCTTAAATGATTGAAGCGCAAGCTCCTCGATGACTGTATGTTTCCCCAGCACACCGGCCACTTTCTTTACTCGCATCATGCTAATCATTGCATATACAATAGACCCGGATTCGGGCTATGAGCGTACGTGTGCTTGATGCCACAATTGGAGTATCTTTCATTTGAAGACTAATAATCGCTTACAGATTATGAGGCTTTCTTACTCGCTCAAGCATCCGACTACTGTGAGAACGGTACGGGCACATGATTTCAGAACTGTCCCATCCAATTTAGATGTACTAACCATCGACTCTACATTAGACGCGTCCACCCAATGTGTCAAAACAGTCTGCTCGTTCGGGCTTTGGAACGTGGATTAGGACCTGGGTTATTGCGACAAAACAGTTTCGAAATGGCGTTAGCTTGATACTTTGAGTACGTTTTTAATATGCCTTAATATTCCATATCTATGACCATATCGAAACCAAAATAACTCCTGCTTTTCATTCAGAAACGCTCATTAACTTGCACTTCCCATTCAAACCCCATGTCATCGAGTAGTCACACCCGTCAGTCTTTTCAATTTCTCGAAGCTCATCTCTCCAACCAACGATCCAAGTCAAACGACCTGTCGCTCAAGTCACGCGAATTCCCCACGAAGAGAAACACATGTGCCTGTAGCTGTGACAAAGATTCACAATCCGTGTATTGAGCAGCACAGGGTATGGCTTGATAGCTGGCAGTCTCGTAGCTTGCCAGCCTCTCTGCATGATGGACGGTTTGCACCTCGTACACGGCGCCGGTGACTGTATCATCCGGATCCCCGCTCAGCAAGGCTGGGTACTGCCCCCAAAGCCTGCATTTGAAGCCATTCAGCTGCGCTGGTCGGAATGTTGGATTGTCTTCGAGACCCAAGATATGACGGAGTAGGCCTGGATCCTGCAGAGAGCCGTAGAAAAAGTAGGGACCTGTTGGGGCTGGGCCTGGGTCTGGGTCTTCAGAGCGAGCCTGAGACGTGAAATGCTTGCTAGGGGAGGTTGTCCGCATCTTCAAAACAGCTGGTGCGATTTTTGAGCTCAGATTCACCGGTGGGGGCGGAGGCGGAGGTGGAGTATTTTTTTCTGGCATTGAGTCCTGGCTGAGACTGTTCAAAGACATATTGCTGCTTTCACGAGAGATCGGGTTGGTGGATCGGTGTTGATGAGTCGGAGATGTGAGATGAGATCGACAGAATTGAAAGTCAACTCAAATGTTTGATGAGAGTACTAGATGATTGAAGATCTACCAACGTGTGCGGGGTATCTCATTTGTCAAAGGATTCTACCCTGATGTATGTATGCAATATAATATGATCGGATAAATCCATTGTCTTTGAATTTTCCGGGGATTGAGCTGTTCCATTTCCACCAAGGCTGTTTTACCGGGCTCGGGCATTTAGGCAATTTACCCCAGCTTGGAGTAGTATAAAGTACGGAGTAGGCCTGTGATATTCTGCAACAGAATTCGAGATCGTCTGTCAATTTTTGTAAATCATGGTCAACTTGGCGGTGGCATTTCTCTTTCTTAGCATCGCCAATGCTGCAGTCAGCCCAACCTCACTCGACTCTGACATTTCTATCATCATCCACAATGACCTGATGGGTGAGCTCTCACCCCCCTGCTGAAATCTATACAAAACTAACTCTTTGCCTTCTAGAAGCGGAAAGTCCTTTGTCTGATTCAGGGATTTTGGTCCTTGACCCCAGGACATGGAAAGAAGCCACCGAGAGCTGTCTCCAACTGGGAGCAACTCTTTGGGGAAGTGAATCAGGCCCCGAAACCATACAGAGTGGTTTGGAATACCTTGCATATCTTGGCAAATATGCCCCCGGCCAACGCTTTTGGACTGCCTCCAAACATCAAAAGCCGTCAACTCTAAGCACCAATGGGCAGATTCAGACTTCTTCAGCAGATAAGAGGCTGCCTGTTCTATGCAAGCAGACTGCCCCTTACTCCAACAACACTTTCCAGGATACCAGCGAGCAGTGGCGAGTGACCGTCGAGTCTCTCAGCCAGCGCTTTACCGGGTAGGTACACGTTCAGGAGCCATGAAACCGAGCTTATGCGTGGTATAGGTTCCGTGATCGTGTCAGCTTCCGATTTATGGGCATCCGCTATGCGAACAAACCACGGCGATGGGAATATTCGCAAGTGTACGAAGGAGGCAATGAAGATATATCAGCTCTCGACTACGGTTCCAGCTGTGTGCAAGGCACAAGTGGGTCGGAGGATTGTTTGTTCCTCAACATTTGGACTCCTTACCTTCCTCAGCCGACAAGGGCTCGAAAGAGAGACCTCAAACCCGTGATGCTTTGGATACACGGTGGAGCGTTTACAGGCGGCACTTCCAGTGATCCTACCTTCGATGGCGGCAATCTAGCCTCGCGTGGCGATGTAGTTGTGATTGCAATCAATTACCGACTGGGAACACTTGGATTTCTGGCGCTGGATGATGGGGAGACGAACGGCAATTATGGACTGGCAGACCAGATCACTGCCCTGGAATGGGTTCGTCGGAACATCGAGGCATTCGGTGGCGACCCAGACAGGACGACGATATTCGGACAATCGGCTGGTGCGGGCTCTGTGCGAGCTCTCCTCGCCTCCCCCAAGGCGCGAGGTAAGTTCGCCGGTGCAATAATGCAGAGCAACTTGGGAGGCTTGGCTTATGGCACGACATATTCGAAATACTATACCATATTGCAGGAGATGGAAAAGGTGGGAAAGGCCATTCTCGAAGAAACAAACTGCACGCAGGCAGCTTCCCAGATCGGGTGTCTGAGAGATCTTTCTGCATCAAGAATCTCAAATCTTGCCGGCTCAGCACGTTATTTAGTCGTGGATGGTACATACCTCCAAACAGCAGAATTGGACCTCGCCCATCCGGAGTCCACTGCCCACGTCCCACTCATGATAGGCACAATGAGAGATGATGGTGCTGCTATGATAGGATATCCTTCACATGGGGAGACGTTCAAAGACTTCCTCAATGACACCGATCTGCCTGATTCGATCTCATCAAGTCCATTGTTCCCACTTCCATCAACTTCCAACGCCACTCTGGATGTATTCAATGCATCGTCTCGCGTAGCCACAGACGGCATGTTCCGCTGCATCGATGCAGCAACAGCTTACGCGGGGTGGAAGAATCGCATATTTTCAGACATCTTCTACTACGAGTTCAACCGCTCGTATCAAATGCCCGACTGGTCACCTAACGCCCCGGTATGCAATGCGCCCATCACAGAGGAGTGGCAACATGGTGATCCCAGTCAGGAGTACTTCAAGTGTCATTCTGGGGAGTTGTACTACGTATTCGGAAATATCCGCCGTCAGGGCTTAACATTCCGAGATGCGCTCGATCTACCATTTGGACAATACGTGCTGGATTCTTGGGCAAGCTTCGCGAGGAACGCCAAGCCTACACCGGATTCTGGGTTTTTGAAAGCAAGAGGGTATATCAATACTACTCAGGAAATTGAAAACAACGGTTCGTGGGAGTCTTTTGGGAGAAGTGGTCAGATGCGACTTCTCCAGTGGCCTTCTGGGATGTCGGATTTGGAAGATTCGGATCAATGTCGGGAGCTGAATCTTGCATTGGATTACTATGTTCATTGAAACTTCAATTTCATTCTTCGAGATGCAATGTGAGTTTCATTAGCCCTCGGGCTCCATCTTTGGGGGTAAATCCGTGGGTGTCCATGGATATGTAGGAAGTACGGGCTCCACAGCCTTCCAAGGTTTAACCAACCAGTCTTACTAGGTCATTAAAGATAGTGTTAGTATGTATCAAATAACTGGGCATCCCACCAAGCAGACAGACCCATTGTCCCACAACTTGGAGAAAAAGGTATGCGGATGGCTCCGCTTCCGATGCGGCTTCCGAAGTTGACCAAGTGAGATGTGACAACTATATTCGAAACCCATTAGATATGTTGAAGCAGGAGACAGCAAATTTAGAGCGCTATGAATAAGTAGGGAAGCCAATGCCCAGGTGCTAGTTCAATGGTTTACACTGTGGCCCATATTGCTGACGGCCAACTGGGCCATCGATGAATTTTAGAACCCTGACAAGTCCGCAGGTTTATTGAGACATATGGACCATCAGTTTATGCCAAATACAAAATGTGTACTACTTAAGTACCATGTCCCTATGTACAACCAACATAAAAGCACTGGGTCTTGCAATGAACAGACCCAACAGCATGTATAGAGCGACTTCAGGATAAGATCGGATGTGCCCCTTCCGACGGTTCCCCTCATGGATCTCCGTCATTCGAACATATCCTGTTCAATTCCTGTCTCTTCAACTATCTATAAAGTTGAAGATCCTCAATTGCAATCCAATCCCACAAACCATCTAAAATGTCCTACCAAATTGCCTACGACACAGCCCGCGCACCACCCCGCGGCGCTGCGCTCGTCGCATTCATGGAAGACTTCTACCGCACCAGCGACACAGAATCACAGCACGAGCAATACGTCCAAAACTTCGCCAAAGATGCGACGCTCATTATGGGACCAAAGGAAGCGAAGGGTGAATCTGGTACGGCTGCGTCCCCTTGCACTGCAAAGCCCGACGAGATATCCCGACACAGACTACCATATAGCAAGTAACATATTCAAATGGATTTTAGCTGACCATTGGCCTCCACAGGAATTCTCACCCTTCGCCACGGCCTCTGGACTCACGTTGCTTCGCGCCGACACACTCCTACACGGATTTACTTCGGTGGTGACGATGAGATCATGTTGTATGGTGGTGTGAACTATAGACTCAAGGCTAACCCCGATGAAGACGTCTATGTGCCTTGGGCTGGACGGGTTGTCTTTGCTCCTCAGAAGGAGGGAGAAGGCATCAAGATGCAGTTCTATCAAGTTTACTTGGTAAGTTGAATATTCGCTGTTACTATAGTTACAGTGCTGATTACTTTTCTAGGATACTGCGGCCCAGGCGGGAAAGAAATAGTGCAGAAGCAGACGTCATTGGACAGAAGTTGAGATTGTATATAAGAAAATGCAATGCATGAACATGATACATACCTGGGGTTCGATATCAAAAGCACTTAGCCAATGTTGGAACCTTGGAAGCCCACAGATCAAATCGACAAGAGCATCCTACGTCTACATCTACAAGAGATTGGAACGAGTTTGAAGTGTTTAGACATGCTCTTTATTTCCAGGAGACTGCGAGAGAAAACGAGAACAAAGACGCCGTAGGGTGGTTCGGGGTCAAAGAGGTGAGGGAGATCATAGAAACATGTCAAAAGGGAAAAAAATCCCTCCCGTCTACCGCACATGGGAACATGTGCCTCGACAGCAAAAGGAGGGGGAAAACGTCTCGGTCTCGTTCCGCTCTCTTCTCGTTCAAGTCTCCTGAAAGATGCCTCATCCTCATGCACTCTCCACCGCCCAATCTCTCTCCGCTAGAAGCCCCGTCTGGTCGTCAGAAAAAATATGAATTGGAATAAAAAGAAACAAACGTAAAGTCGAGGGACCGCAAGCTCCGAATTTTTATTTGTGTCGTCATTTCGAACAATGCCCAGGCAAAAGACAAAATTAAACGACTTATCCCCGAACTAGTAAAAGCCCATTGTTTGCGATACGTTTATTCCTCGTCAGACTCCTCATCCTCATCGACGGTGGTCTTGGCGATACGGTCAAGATCACGCTGGCCGGACTGAGTGATGCGGCGACCACCCTTGTCCTCATCGGTCTCGAGAACACCGATCTTCTCGAGGGCCTGGAGGGCCTTGCGGTCAACGGAGCCGGAGGCATCGACGTGGTGGCCGGGGCGGGAGCCACGGTTCTTGGCGGAACCGTGGACCTTGCGAAGACGGCCGACACCGACGGTCTTGCGCATGTAGATGTGGCGGGCACAGGCGGCAGCGCGGACGTAGAACCTTTTTTTCTTCATGTCAATATCTCAACTCAATGATCGTGTGGCGGGTGGTGTTACCAGTCAGCATCCTGGGGAGGAAGCTCGTTGGAGGCAGAGGTCTTGACAGTGTCAACCCATCCGGGGATGGGGAGCTTTCCCTGACGCTTCAGGAAAGCAGAGTAGGCAGAGATGAACTTCTGCGCCTGTATGGGAGAATGTCATTAGTATATGGGTCATGTGCGTGATTCGGTCACAGGTCTGCGATGGATGCGTCGAATTCGTTTCTGGAGATATTCGTCGGTCGTAGGTTTCGCCAGTATCTAGCCTTGTTGATTACCAGTACTGAGTTTCTTGAGGATGTATCGGATGGATAGATCGACAAAGAAAAAAAACCCTAGTCCCTCAAATCGAGCACGTCCATCCTTCAATTATCGATTGACAACAGAGTATTCCCATGGCGATGAATTCACTGCCACTGATAGCGTTGTGTAGTCCGTGCGAAGTATTTTCCACCCTGGCGAAGCTAACCGGCCGACGTTGTGATGTCCGAGCATCCAGAAACGAATCGTGCGCATCAAAGCAGACCTTGTGAGTGACCTGTAGAAATCGAGGACACTTACGTCCACATCGCGAACGGTAACACCACCCATTTTGGCGACTTGTCGAGGTGTCGAAGGGTAGGGATTAGAGAGAGAGAGGCGTTGGGCGTCGAGGTGGGCAGGGTCGAAGTCGAAGAGTCTCTCAAAATTTCAAGACACACACAACGCTGGGCGGGTTGGGTCTGTGGGCTGTTCGCTTGTGTCCATTTTGGGTTAGCCTCTCGGTTAAGCGAGTTTATGCCTTGTGGCCTTACCAGCCAGTCAGCAATTACCATCACGTGACAGGAAAACAAACTTCACAGATGCAAACATGAGGCTCAAATAGAATTCTGGAGCCATTGGCATTTCGTACTTTCGAAGGTGATTTGGCAATTTTGACTTAACAAGATTAGAAATTTACATGACTAGAAGCTGAATGCTGTTCGTAAACCCGTAACATAATTCTATCTCATGCAATTGTCATTATTCGTAATTTAATGGATAAAGTAAAGCCCCATTTCCCAATGCTTTGCCTCGTAAACCTCCGATTCCACCTGTGCAACGCCCGAAATATTATTAAATTACAGCGTAGGTGCTCTCTTCAACCCAACGCAATACCTTACAAATAATGTGTCAACAAAGTGACCGTGTCGGATACCGGGTGGCCGGCACCGATTAAATTCATCAATGGCATCTTGGACATTGAACCCAAGATGTTCGATCAAGTAACAAGTGATCAAGAACCCGGTACGGTTGTAGCCATAGTGACAATGAACTCCAACCAAGGGGCGGGGCAAGGACTTCTCCTCATCCGTGCGCTTCTCCATCTTTTGATCAATTTCCTCTTGGAGGCTGCCGACCAGGGCGATGAAGTCACGCGTCTCATCTGGAGTTGGAGGAATCTTGGATACAGTTGGGTGCTTGCAGTAGCGAATACCACCCTTCTCCATTTCGGCCGGATTGTAGACCGGGCTTTCGTGACTGATATCGATGACGGCGTGGATGCGGTCGTGGTACTTGGCCGAGAATTTCACCGGGTTGTGTTCCTCGTCAACTTCACGTAGCATCTTCATCGCAGCGAAGGTGTTGGCAATACGCTCTGAGACTGGTGCAACCTTCTGCCACTTGGCGAGATTCTTGACATCCCATTTTCCGGATGTGTTCATACATTGCAACTGCCAGCCCAGACCGAGACGTTTGTCTATGTTGGATGAGAAGAAATCCTGCACGATTCCTGCAAGTGTGCGGTAGGTTGCGCGGTCGTAGAGTAGTGCATGAGATGCGGGCGCCGGCAGAATTGCCGATTTGACCACCCGCTTGCGCTGGGCAGTCTCGAGAAGTTTCTCAGAGACTTGAAGCCCATACGCCTTTTCATTGGCCAGATCACTAGCCGGAGCCGATATCTGGTCATGAATTCGCGAAGCGTCGGGGATGATGCTGCTGTCACTGGTGTTGATCGCGGTGTGGACCGAAACGTCGCCGAAGAATTTCAAAAGCTTCTGAACTTCGACTGGTTTGGTAACAGCGTCCGCCTCTCCCGCGACCAGCAGGACTGGCATGCGGATTCCCGCCCAGACTTTTTCGCCAGGCATTCCACCATTCGGCTCGCCTTTCTCGTTGTAAGTGGGAAGTGTTCCCCACGCCATGCGTCGCCACACAGGGGTTTTGCTCTGCTTGTTGAACCGAATTTGCAGGTCTCTTGTCTCTGTGTCGGCATCGCTGCCAACCATACGCATGACACTTGCACTTTCCTCGCCACCACGTCTGTCCCATCGACGCCAGAGGTCGAAGGCGAATCCGGGAACATAGAGCAGCTTGCGGAATTTGGCAGTTTCTTCTGCGGAGGGAGGGGATGCTCGTGGGCACACTGCCACGAGCCCAATAATGTGGTCCTTCAGTTTCGCGCCAATAGACGATGTGGAGGAGGCCAAGAGGGCGCACAGGGAAGCACCGAGACTGTGTCCCACCAGAATGACTTCCTGGCCGGCCTCGCGGTCCCGGTGCTGCTCAATTGCCTCGACAAGTAGCTCCGACAAGGCTTCCACAGTGTATGCATCCCATTCCGTGGGCGAAAATTTGGACAGTCCACACCCTGGTAAATCGATACCAAAGCATGATCCTATGTTTGACAAACTCGTTAGGAGGTGGTGAAACTGTGCGAGGGATCCACCCAGTCCGTGAACAACCACAATTAGTGGCAAAGGTGTGGGTTTGGTGGGAAGTCGAGCTAGCTGAGGGTGGGGGCTGTAGAAGGTACGAATGGCAGGATATGTAGCCACCGAGGTTGTGTAGGAATTATAAGTGGTGAATTTCTTGAGAATGCCGGGATCTGTCTGGTGAGCTGCGCAAATGTTAGTGAGAACCATAACCAAGACAAAGAAAGCCACATACCATCGGAGCTTTGCTTCTGAGGCTCTGAAAGCCAATCTTCCTTGGGTTTGTAATTGGGGTTCGTGCCATGGCGCAAAGATGCATTGCTATCGTAGTCTTCGTCTTCGTAGTCGTCCTCTTCTGAGGAACTAAGCCCCTTAGAAGAAGACTTGGAGTTGTTGCGCGAGGTCTTCTGTGCCAAAGGCGAGCGCGACCACTTGCGCCTCACCAGCGACGACACAAGGCCACATCCAGTCATTGCGACAACACAAGTAGTCAAGAACACAACTTGACTCCAGTTCACTTTGTCATTGCGGTAGAGACCGCAGAAATAGCCGGTGATATCAGAAAGAGGACCGTTGACAGTAGCGGTGCGGATCGAGTCCAGGAGTCGCGAGATAGTTGTACCCGAACGGTAAGCCGGCTCGTACATGTCGAACACCATGATTATAAGTACAGCCCGGGGAGTTCTGGACTCTTGCAGAGCCCCCTAGAGCCAAGAACCACGCGAGGGGGCACCTGATGCTGTTTGGATACAGCGATAAAAGCGCCAAAGCCAATAAGCAGAGCGAGATCGACAACGTTGGAGAGAGTTGCAAGAAGAAGAAAAAGTAGCGCAAGAGCGGCTCAGCCACTCAGCGCCTCGGGACGGGCGGCGTGGGGGAAATGACTCACCGCCCAGGTCCCCACTTTCCCTGCAGCCTCAGGAGGGGTACTTGGCTGACTATGGAGTTTACTATGGGAGCCGAGGTACCTGTATAGATCAAGGTCTTAAGCATAATTTGGGTTCTACGGACATGTATCGTAAATCCTTGTTTTTTTGGCTACTATCAACTATTTACCTAATTATGACTACTTGACTACGTCCCCAAGGTATTGAATTCCCGTTTCACCCCAACATGGGGCGGTTCGTACACTCTACTGGCCCAAATTCCGGCGGAGCCATGAAGATCATGTCATCGAATGTTTTGGTCCTTCTAGAAACACGGTAGAATGCCTATTTGTAGATCATAACAACATTATCCCAATTCATTCCCGAAACATAACTACATACTCCGTACTATGTTTTCAGATGCAGATCCCAATATAATCAAAACAGATCAGTCATAGCTCCTTGAGACGCATCACTAACCAATCGGGCATATTTGGCCAACACACCACGGGTGATTTGCGGTGAGGGAGGTGTCCATTGGCTGCGTCTCTCAGCAAGTTCTTCATCCGATACATCCATTGATAGACTGTTGGTTTCGGCATCGATGGTGATGATATCATCGTCACGAACAAGCGCAATCGGGCCACCAACCGCAGCTTCCGGCACAATGTGGCCAACAATGAACCCGTGACTGGCCCCTGAGTACCGACCATCGGTGATCAATGCCACGTTCGTAAGCTTGGCTCCCATTAGGGCGGCACTGGCCTTAAGCTGTTCCGGCATACCCGGTCCACCCTTAGGGCCTTCGTAGCGCACGATGATAACAAGGTTTTCGCCGCGAGGGATACGGCCCTCGTTTAGCGCATCGTTGAGCTGGCGCTCCTTGTCGAAGACGCGGGCTTTGCCGCTGAAGCGCAATCCTTCCTTGCCGGTGATCTTGGCGACGGCACCACCGGGTGCGAGGTTGCCGCGTAAGATCTGCAGGTGGCCGCTTGACTTGATTGGGTTGTTCAGGGGCCGGATCAGATCCTGGCCTTCCGCCAGTGAGGGGAACGAGGCGACGTTCTCGGCCAGCGTCTTACCTGTCACGGTAGGGATATCACCGTCAAGCAGACCGGCTGCGATCAGCAGTTTCTGGACAGATGGGATACCGCCAATCTCATACAGATCCGCCATGTAATACTTGCCACTAGGCGATAGGTTGGCAATGAAGGGAATCTTGTTGCTGACTCGCTGAATATCATCCAGGGTCAGATCAACATCGGCTGTTCTGGCCATGGCCAGGAAATGGAGAACACCGTTGGTACTACCACCCAGCGCCATAGTCATGACGAGGGCATTTTCGAAGGAACGCTTGGTCAAAAGATCCCGCGGCTTAATGTTTTTCTCTAGGCAGACCTTGATAGCATCTGCAGCACGGACACACTCACGCATCTTGGATGGCGACTCAGCCGGCGTGGATGACGAGCCAGGCAGTGACAATCCCATGGATTCAATGGCCGTGGCCATGGTGTTAGCCGTGAACATACCACCACAAGCGCCAGCGCCAGGGCAAGCATGCTTCTCCAGGTCATCCATAATCTCATCTTGAGTCTTGGTTGTGTCACCGCCGTCATCGGGCTGGCGCAGAGTGCCGTAGGCGTAAGCACCCGCGGCCTCAAAGCACGTTGAGACATTGATGGGCTTGCGCAGGTGCTCCGAGTATCCGATTCCAATAGTTCCACCGTAGATCATGATTGATGGGCGGTTGTGGCGAGCCATACCCATGACCACACCAGGCATGTTCTTGTCGCAACCGGGGATCGCAATACAGGCATCGTGGTATTGCGCACAGGTGACGGTCTCGATACTGTCGGCGATGACCTCACGGGTCTGGAGGGAGAATCGCATGCCTGTCAAGCTGTCAGCTATATCAATCTTGAGCGGACGGGTACTCATCCGACCTACCCTCACTACCCATGGTGATCGCATCCGAAACGCCAATGGTGTTGTATTGCCATCCCAACATGCCCTGCTCCGAGACCGATTTCTTGACAGTCTTCGCCAAATCCATCAAGTGCATGTTGCAGGGGTTTCCTTCCCACCACACTGAAGCAACACCGACATGTGGACTCTTGGCCATTGCTTCCGTGTCGGGGACACCGGCGGCGTAGAGCATAGCCTGATCTGGTCAGTGAAGCTCGCCAAGCAGCAGGGATAAACTCACTCGTGCACCGGGGAAGTCATGGCCCTTGGTGATAGTGTGGGAATGGCGATTGAGTGCGGGGGATCCATCTGGGTGCTTTGCATCTGTTGGCAACGAGGGGAAGTTGATATATTTGGACTCGCTGACAGCGCTCGACTCAATTGGTTGGGAGGGACACATGACGAATTGTAAAATGAACAGCTCTGAAGCGATTCACGGTGCAAGTAGCCAAAATAAATAATGATCACATCCCACAGCCGAGGACTCGCACCGAAGACCGACCCCAGTGGACCCCGCGTTCCTCGGGCGGCGGCCAGTAAAAAGTGGCCGATTTAAGATCAAGCTCGGAGTTGCGCCTATTCGGCTGATCCGGGGAATCTCCATGTCATAAGGAGTAGGCTTTGATCTGACATCGAGTTAGTGTGTTTCAGCCCAATTCATAGAGCAGTCTGTTCGCGAAATAGTTGCAGAAATAACTCCCATGAGCGCAATCAATGTCACCTGTCACCTAGGCATATCACAGCTAATCGAGCCCGGAACTTCCCAAGTCCTCCATGATATATAATTGCATGAGAATAAAACTTGCTGGAAACCTTTGGAAGAAGTGCGTCTTTTCTTGGTTGATCTGATGAACATTTCAGAAAGTATGGGTATCGTCAAATTTCTATAGGCTCCAAGCGATCTCAAGTGCTTGTAGTACCTGGAAGATAGTATGGCTTTATAAACAGGTTGGAGAAGAGGATTAAATCAATATGTACCCGGCCAGCAGTAGCTGAAATGCAGGCCTGCAGCTGTCGTGCGGACGCAAACTTGGCATGCTCATCAGTGTGCTTGAGATTGGTCGACACCCTCGTCTTCTGCGTCCTTTTCAATAGTAGACCATTGCTCCGAATGCTGCAGAGCTTCATCGGCACTGATCTCCTGTAATGGGCTGGACTTTTCAAAATCATCCTGGTCACGATCAGCCCCGCGAGGTTTATCGCCGGACTCTCCGTCCATGGCGAAGCCAACGATCTTGCCAGTGCCTGGCTGAGAGCGCGCCTCCTCAAGGACATCTCCGTTCCAAGGTTGACATTTCTTGACAGTTTCTCCACATCGTAAGCAAGTCCACCCTTGGCCTTCTTCTGCTTCGACTTTCTGCACGATGCAGACGAAGCAATAGATACAACCACACGGGACAGTCTCATACGGGTTTGTGATGTCGGTCTGCGCTGATCCAGAGATACCACCAGATGCAGAAGCCGCTAGTACATCGGTCTCTGTCGTTGAAGTAGGGTTCTGATCCCGGTAGCATATGGCACAGGTGCGCTCGGGGAGGAAGGCTAGCTCTCCTTGCTTCTCGGAAGGCTCGTCGCTTTCCCCGCTCGATCGGACGGAATTCATCATCTTCCGCCATGCGCGGGAGATCCATCGCCGCCAGCGGCCGATTCCGACCAACGGAAGGAGGAATAGGAGGAATTCAGTGAATGCGTGCCAGACCAGTTGTCGATTTAGATACTCGAAGGACACTTCACGGCTAGCTTGGGCGGATGGAGGGGTCAGGCGGATGCGGAGGATACGGTCGACCAAGGTGCGGTATCGGCCGTTCACCAGGAATACGAGGAAAGAGACGAAGGCGGCGATGGAGTGGGAAGTTGAGATGAAGTCGGTGAGTCGTGATAGCATGCGAACATCCTGTGAAGGCTTTGGTTTTGTCAGTACGGTGGTGTTAATGTGTAATGTTGGTTCCAACTGACCTCCTCATAGCCGCCCTCTTGTGCAATCAACCAGCTCTCCCACTTGTCCCAGGCATAGCGGCCTCCGACCGTCAACAGACCATAGACAGACTTCTGCCATTTGGTAGGAGTGGAAAACACAGGTCCTTTGCTTCGACTATCGGTGTATTGAAGACCTTGGAGTGCAGCACCATAAGAGGCATTGTGATCCCATATAGATAATTTGAAGAGAATAGCCCGTAAGCCGAACAGAATCTCGTGGGACCAATCTTCACGCATTTGGGGCTAAATAATTGTCAGCTAGAACCCCACTGTAACATTTCCAGCAACACGTACTCCGAAGTATTTGAGGGCATCGCCGACCTGGCTCTTCATGAGACCCAGTAGCTCTTCATCCAACAATTCAGCATCGACCTGACCAACTCGGAAAGCAGGCCTTGTTCCATCCCGACCCTTCACAGAGTTCCATATGCGCCATCCGGAAGTGGGTAGTCGATTCAACGGATACGGCAATCGTTGGACAACGGCCGGGCTGATCGGGGAAGCCCGCTGCTGTGCGGTATGGCGGGCGCGGGCTTCGGCCTCGCGTAGGCGACGACGTTCCAGAACCCGCTCTTGGGCAGCGGCGAAGTTGGTTGAACTCATCGTGAAATCATCGCGTGCATGTGTGGATAGGTGCGGATTGTAAGAGCATGGGGAAATGGGTCCCGTTGCTTGCGCTCGGTCCCCGGACGGGGAGCCGAGGTTGTTTCTCACGTGACATATACACTTTCTGTAATTTCTCGCATTTGTTGAGCCTCAATATGAAGATCAGAAGGAATGAATGCCTGTGAGGATCAATCTATAGATGTAGTAATGAGTGAGTGGTCATCTATCGGGTGTGGTTGGCTTCAAGGACCTTCGGAGGTAGGTAGTATCCAGGCCGATGCCCTTCGGAGTTTATCTACCGAGGTAGGTGAACACACCGAGTTTTTTTTTTTTTTTTTTTTTTTTTTTTTTTTTTTTTTTTTTTTTATTTATTTTTTTTTTTTTTTTTTAGTCTGTGAGTTTGTTTTGGTTTTTTTTTTTGCTTTTTTTTTCTT